ATTTGAGAGTAGAGGATGATTTGGAGCTTGCATTGATGCCGTGACGCAGTTTTACCATGGCCTGTGCTCTTTTCCGTATTGTTGTTGACTGGACGTTGTGAACTGCTCTTAGCAGTGGTAGAAGTAGGTGTACCAGATGCAGCAGGAGTAACAGCCTTGGGCTTCCCGTTCGGTTTATCGTCCTTATTCTTTGCTGTCTGTTTGGACTGCTGCCCCTTGGCCGGACTCGGGGGTGCGCTGGAGTCTTCAAAGGGCGACCCCTTCAAGATGACACCCAATCCGGACTTCGACTTACCGCCGACAGCGGTTTTGTCAGGCTCGACGTTCGAGACGATAGAATCAGAGGTCTTGCGAGGTGACACGACCCCGTCGAGGCTGTTCTGCTGCTGGGGCGTCCCCCATTTCCTCGGTGAGGTGCTGTCTACCGGCGTGCGGGTGGTGTTTCTGTCAATTGGGCTCCCCATCTCGTCTGCAACACTCCTTGGAGCCCCAAAGTAATCTCCAGCTTCACCAACTCTTTTCAGGCCGAGCAGAGGGGACCCAGAGCTGCCTGGTATGTTGCGTTCGACGGCGACGAAGCTGGCGCGGACCTTGGATAGCGGACGGGCGGCGGATGAGTGGTCTGACCCAGCGGGAGAACGGCCTCGAGACGGAGGAGATGTAGATATGTTGCTGACGTTGTTGTTTTCGAACTTCGCCAGAAGGCCACGAACGCCAGTTGGGGCCGACATGGCAGGTTCAAAGATATACCAGAGTGTGAGAGGCCCCCCCCCTTTTTTTTTTCCGTTTTCTTTCTTTCTTTTCGTGCTTCAAGGGTTATTTTCTCTCTATTGGTACCGTATTTTAACCCTGTAACCTTCGATATAGATTCGCTGGAAGGGCGACGAGAGCAGGAGATGTAGTCTGGTGAAGGGGTGTTATTATCACAACTTCGACAGGGCGCTTCTGGTGGCCACGGCAACTGGGGGAAATTATTTTGAAACAAAGCGAAGCCGGCGACCGTTTCTTGCGATCATCAGGCTGGGCCTTTTTTTTTTCTCCCAAGGGCCGCGCCGACAAGGGGGAGGGGAACAGGTAAGTCGAAGGGGGCAAGCAAAAGAAGGATGTTTTAAGGGTGGAGGGAGCTAGACACGGCGCTATTGAAGTAAAATATTATGATTGCAGTGTAAGCCAGCTCAGAAACCACGGCAACCAGCAGCAGCAGCAGCAGGCGATATAGCAAGAGAACAGCAAAGAGGACGAGAGAGAGAGATCGTGAAACTCGAGCTTCTGTGAGAAAGGCCGGGTGGAAAGATATAATACGACGAGAACACACGTATAAAGCTGAGTTGTCTCTGTTGGTTAGTTCGATGGCCCTTTTTTTGACTATATAACTAACTTGATATAATATCTATTCGGACAGCTGGCAGTCTCTCTCTCGTCAGGCGACATTCTTTCTTCTCTACTCCGTCGACTTTTATATTGAACCTGAACCAGGCTTGTTATATATATCTCTAGTGGCAAACTCGAAGCTGTTATTATTATCCATGGTTATTTTATTATTGCCTGTCGACTCGCACAAGGGTCGGTCTCCTTTCCATCAGTCACGAAACAAGGAGTTCTGCTCATATCGCCTGTAGCAGGTTATAGCTTAGGCCGTTTGATCGTTGCCTCAGGGAGTCTTCATTGAACCTCGTGTATATAAGTGAAATAAACAAATAAACAGTGGCTTGCTTCAAACACGGCCATCTCGCTCTGCTCTTCTATCGTATCTTCCCCCGCTCGTTCTTCTTCCTCTCATCTCGTCTTCTTCCGTTTCTTCTTCATCTTTTAAGGGGTTGCTTGCTTACTCAGCAGTTCGTGATAGCAAGAAAGAAAAAAAAGAACCAAAAAAAAGACATAAAAAAAGATGACTCGAGAAAGTTGAAGCAAGCAAAGACAGAATGGCTGCCAGAACACTGAGAATAGGTCAATTGCTCCCGACTATCCGTCTACCGTCTATCTCGGTCTTTGCCTTTAGGGATAAAATGCTAACAGTTTTTTGTAGGCCTTATTCCGGGCGATGGGATCGGTAGGGAAGTAATCCCGGTACGTTCAAGCTTCCCTCCTCCCCCCCTGCCAGAGCTCCGTTGACCAAGGAGACAGGCCGGTAGACGTATCCTCGAGGCTCTGCCAGCGTCGTTGGGCCTGAAGTTCTCGTTCGTCGACCTCGAGGCGGGATATGACACCTTTCTGCGCACCAAAACCGCTCTCCCAGACAAGACGGTCGAGACCTTGAAGAAGGAGTGTGACGGAGCTCTCTTTGGAGCTGTCAGGTAGGTTCAACGCTTGAACGAGCACGAACGAGGACAAGTGAATTAACCGAGGGATGTATGGGTTAGTTCGCCATCTACCAAAGTTGCGGGATACTCGTCTCCCATCGTCGCACTTCGCAAGAAGCTGGACCTCTATGCGAACGTACGGCCGGTCAAGACCACGGCCGGCGCCAATGCCTCTGCACGACCAATTGACCTCGTTATCGTCCGCGAGAACACCGAGGATCTCTATGTCAAAGAGGAGAAGACCTACGACACCCCCAACGGCAAGGTAGCAGAGGCCATCAAACGGATCTCCGAACGAGCCTCTTTCCGCATCGGTACCATGGCTGGTGACATCGCCCTCCGTCGCCAAAAGGTTCGCGACTCTCAACAGTCAACTGCCACCGCCACCACCAGCCCAATGGTCACCATCACCCACAAGAGCAACGTTCTCAGCCAGAGCGACGGATTGTTCCGCGAAACTTGCCGCAAGGCCCTTGCCGATGACAGGTTCGACAAGGTCCATGTCGAAGAGCAGATTGTGGATTCTATGGTGTACAAGCTTTTCAGACAGCCATCTTACTACGATGTTATCGTTGCTCCAAACTTGTACGGTGACATTCTGTCTGATGGCGCTGCGGCGCTCGTGGGAAGTTTGGGCCTGGTGCCTAGTGCCAACGTTGGTGATGGCTTCGCTATTGGTGAACCATGCCACGGTAGTGCGCCTGACATCGAGGGACAGGGGATTGCTAACCCCATCGCCACTATTCGAAGTACGGCCCTGATGTTGGAGTTTTTGGGCGAAGGAGAAGCGGCCGCTAAGATCTATGCTGCCGTTGATGCTAACTTGGACGAAGGACGATTCCTCTCTCCTGATCTTGGCGGAAAGGCCACAACTGCCGAGGTGTTGGAAGATGTCCTCGGAAAGCTTTGATTATATACCGTAGGATTCACAGCCCTGCATTAGGTGTTGTATATCAGATGGTACACACAGTTTCCAAGACTTTGACGTCTAATTGAATAAAAAAAATATACTTCTTCTTTCCCACCGAATATCAAGTAACTCCGCTAACCTCTACCAATGCTGCTGTTGATCTTTGAAATAACAAATCTAATCAAGTTCCGACTCGCCTGGTTCGCTTTCATCCTTTGGTAGCTCTGCTTGGGCTTCACCCTGCATCAAGAGAGTAAAGAGCACCACAAAGTAGATATCACCGTTAGCCTTGTTCTTCAAAATATACCGCAGCTCATGGTTCTTTTCATCGATATACTTCGTAACAGGAACCGGAAAGCCAGGGATACGGATCGTGAAGTCTGTCCGGCCAAAAAGATGTATACATGGTCAGAATTACCGTGGCATGCTGAAGGCAGGAATGGATATCATACCGCTAAACCCAATATATGGGTTTCCAAAATCCGCTTTATATATCCGTCCTGGCTCGAATTTAAAATCCTTCCGCTTCTGTTCATCCAAGAAAAACTTCTGTCTCAGGCTTGGGTCTTCGGGTATCTGTAGCCTGTCGCGGACTGCTTGTCCACTACCTTCAGCTCCCTCTTCAACAACCGTCTCGTGTATTTCCAACTGTGATATCTTGTCTGATCTTTCTCTGTCCGCAGCATTATCCTCATGTTCCTCCTCTTTACCGCAAATGCGGAAATAGTTCCAACTTGACAAACACGGCCCGTAAATGTAAGGGTTATCTGCGTATATGTCGCCTTCTAAGCCTGGGTCAACCCACCACTTGATAAATCTAAAGGCATAGCTGGAGCCCGGTGGGAGCCGGTCGCGGATTGGGCGGTCAAGGTCATTACCGAATACTATATCATTACCGGATATAGCCTTCTTCGGTATCAACGAAATTGCGAGGGAGTACTGGTCATTTTGGCGGGATGGATGCGAGAAATGGGCATGTGTTCGCGGAGAGGAGTCCGGAAGTCCTATATAAGCTACATGAGCGGCTATTCCGAGAAGAAAATTGATATAACTAAAGAAGTGCAAGGGGTAGTAGTACCGTTGTAGTCTTGTATGCGTAGGCATACGTTGACTTTTGCATGCTCTGTGTCAATGCACAGGTTTGTGTCGGTGTTCACATGGACAAGACGATGCGTGGATGTGTCGTATGTCGGACCAGCTGTGATCTGAAGCCTGTATTGAGTGCCTGATCCATTGGACGCCATTCCCTAAGAGGCTCGAAGACGGCCAACGATTGAAGACGGAAATATTCTTCAAGGTTTTCTTTTGGGCCGTGGTTAGTCAAATTTATGTAGGCCCCTGAACATGGGCACGCGATTAAAACTGGTTTCAGTGGGCTGCGAACAACAGCATGCTGGTCAAAGGTATTGCCTGTGAGGTTCGATTCCTCTCCTTTTCAACTCCAGAATCCTCCGTCCATCGGCTAGATTTCTTCAAAGTCACTTCAGGGCTTGTTTGTTTCCGCCAAAATGACGTAGTTACTTTTAAGTTTTTGGCGCTGAAGGATTTGTATATTGATAACTAGCCATAGTCTCATGTTGGAGTCTAGAATTGGGATGGAATCTATCGACTTTATGTAGTTTCAAACAATGCTAAACTGCTGTCTAGAAAATATTATTGTTATCATTGATTTTGACATTCACCTAGTCATACTCTCTTTTCTATATAATTAAGATGGCTCAACAACTTGCTACACAACAGGAATAACAAGGGGCAGTTGTGATTCACTATCATCTGTTTGTATAATATTTTGCAATTTCAGCCCTTCAAGCTGTAGTTGTAGCATCGATTCTCTTCCTCATCAAGAGACGAGCTGATGGATCCGGGTACAAGTTCTCATCCGCAGTCAGGTTCTTCGGACGAGAGCATCCAGGAAGGTACTTGAACTCGTAATCCATGAGCAGGTGAGCGAGAATAATCTTAATCTCGTTCGAAGCGAAGAAGCGCCCGGGGCATGAGTACTTTCCGTGGCCGAAATGTAGGTTGTTCGTGTCTGTCATGGCAAATTGATGTTTGTTCGCTTCGTCTGGGTGTTGGCGGATTTTATAGTATCGAAGTCCGTCGAAAGTATCCGCCCCAGGAAGGTTATCGTTGTCCTTTAGGATAGCTGCTGCAGGGACACTGAAATGGGTGCCCTTGGGAAGATGAGTACCATCAGAGAGAGTGAGCGGAGTTTGAACGATACGGTTAAAAGCAACTGGTAGCAACTTAAGTTAGCAAAGGAAGCCTTTAAGATCGGATCAAGTTTGAAGTAATACATACGAAGACTAGGTGGATTGACTCGCTGACTTTCCTTGAGGAAACTGTCCAGTTTGCGCATCTTGTTGAGTGTCGTCTTTTTCCAACCGCCATCCTCTTTCATCACATCATAGGCTTCTTGTCGGAGCTCGTCGAAGTATTCCGGATGGGCACAAAGATCATAAAGTGAGTGAGCAGTGGACATTGTAGTAGTATGAATGGAAGCCAAACTAAGCAAAAGCTGACGGTGAGCAAGCTTATGGGGCTGGCCGTCATTCTCGTTAGCTCCGTCCATCATCCACTGGAGCATGTCATTTGGTCTTTCATAGCTGGGATCACCCTGGCGGCTGGCTTGCTCTTTGCGTCTCTGCAACACGATAGGTCCAATAAAGTTCTTTGCGGTCCTCAAATTTGCGTGGAGTCTCCAATAGCTAGGTAGAAACGGAGCAACAAAAGTATGGGTGAATTTTGGTAGCCTTCGGAGGATCATGACGGTAGCGAAAACGTTCTCAGTATAATGAATAGAGGTGCTGAGCCACTCCTCATTTCGGCAAGCTGGTTCACCAATGAAGACTCTGGCGGATATTCTGGCGACAATTCGAAGCACAATGTCGTAAACGGAGACCACCTTGAACTCATCAAGATCCTTGGGAACTTCAAGATCCATTGCCAGTTGTAGCTCCGATTCGATTACGCTGACGAAAGATCCCAGGTTTGGAGTAAGCTTGGTCTGTAACATGCGGGTGTGGAGGTCACTCTCTAAAAGAATATTTGTTGTAGAATATTTCCCCAGGAGGTTCTGCATCAAATCAATCAGTCCATATTTTCATCATATTTACCAGTCTTGTATGTATCCTGGAGGATATTACCTTGATATGAGCTCGGATGGCACTGATCTTTGCGTCTGGGAGGGCACGTAATTCCTCGACGTATTTGTTGGGGATGACCAAAATATCAGCATCATTTCTTGCAATTTTGAACATGCCATGTTTAAACTAGTTCATAATTAGCAGCTGATGCTTTTGCATATCTCTACCTTGAGGACTTTTACTGCATACCTTTTCGTAACCCTCGTTCACTTGGCTGAGAGCTCCTGTTGAGAAGCGGAGGCCGACCAACCATCTAGGTTCCCATGCGGAGCGGAAGCCCACAAAGGGGGCCTTGAATTCCCCCCAAGTGGATATGAAGTTTTGCAAGAAATAGATGCTGGTCAGGGCAACTATAGCAAGAAGATATATATTGGTCCTGCTGATAAATTCGGGCACCTCAAGGGGAAGATGCTGAACAGAGCTAGGGAGCTCTATCGCAGAGACGTTGATGCTCATCTTATCGATGGTATTGGGGCAATGGTATGTTTGAATGTTGCTTGTGATGTTTGTGATTGACATATCAAAAGGGAGCCATATTTAATTGCGAGCAACATGGCTGCTCTTAAATGTCATTGAAGCTACAGTGCAATGGCACGATATTCACAGTTTTAGTTCCGGCCAAGGGATCAAGTCAAGCGACGGGACCAAGCATTAAGATCCCTCACCCAAAAGGAAGGATTCGCAGACACATTCTCGACAGTCCCTGTGCAAGGCTTCAGCGATGGATGTGCTGGTCGGGTTGTCGGTGGATGGATGGCGATGGGATCAGGTCATGATCCGTCCGCTGTTTTCCAAACCATCAACAACAACAGAGCCGAAACTACCATCTAGAGTATATGGTCGACAATATCTTCCATAATCTGTGTTTTTCACCTGTTGAGGTACGGAAAATAGAAATAAATCAATCGTTTTGTGTTGCTATGTACAGGGATTTGACATTTGGAATAAGAAGATATTACATAATCCGTTGATTCTTCTATAATTGTTACTGCCTGTACTTAGAACTGCTACGTAGTCAGTAATGACGGGGAAGTGTCATTATATATCGCATGTATGCTCCTTCGCTCGAAACCAAGGCGGATATATAACTAGAACATTCGCGGATGAGGTTCGCTTTGGAGAATTTTCTTCATGAAAATATATTCTATCAATTTATCGGCTTGCTGCCCTCTGAAATTAACTAAATAGTAACCTGACTATTGCACCAATGTCAACAACATATCAGTAGGTCAAGACAGCTTTTATGCTCATGAATGATGGCAGTTTGCTCACCACGGGGCTTCGATTGATTTAGAGAAGCCTGGGGACTCTTCCACGCAGAACAGGACCCTAAACCCCAGGCCACCAGCCAGCGCTTGACGTCATTCTCCCTTCACAACAGCGTCGACGATATATCACAGTCCTCTTCACCGGGGTACCTGGTGCCATCTATAAATTATCTTGATCCTAGAGATGTAGAGGCATCACCACAGGCGTCCAGCTTGGACATGGTGAAGGAGTTACAGAAACTGCGGCAGGATCTCCATCAGCTACAGTTCCCCAGGTATGTCAAGTGAACGAGCGAGTGATATAAGCAAAGAATAGAGATGGAGATGCTAACAGCAATCTTTTCTTGAAACCAGCAGCTCTGGATCTGAACATAACGAAGCATCCCATGTCCGGTCAAGCGCTGGCAGCTTGAGCAACCCTTCACCCAACGGAGGGGCCCGTACACCTGGCGATGCTCCCCAGCAGCGACCAGCGCAGGCTAGCAACGGCCGGTTCCAGTGCTGGGACTCGTGCTGTAACGGACGTCAGTTTTCGAATAAGAGTAACTTCATACGGCACCAGCGAGAGCGTCGTGGAGAGTCTTACAAGTTACGATGCTCATTTTGTGATGCTGTGTTTTCCCGAAGTTCCGCAAGGAACGCCCATGAAGCGTCGCGGAGATGTAGGAAGCAGTGAAATTTATGGAAGCGTGTTTAGGAGTATGAAGTTACGTTCTCTCTGTACTAGAAGGCGTTTTTGGATGCTAGGATATTGTTTCCGGCAAAATAGATCTCTTGCTTTTTAAATTTTTACAATGTGTATATGCACTGCTAGAAAGAACATAGAATGAAATTATTGATGCAGACACGAATATAAAGGGGTGCAACGGCTTCTGTGACTATCTATCAATAGACTGCTACAACTCGAACCTCTATGCTCTGTCTTGCCGGAATCTTGTCCTGATCAGGTAGACAGAACGAGCCGTGAACAGCACCATTCGCCCTTTCCCCTGGCCTAAGGTCAGAGCAAGAGAAGATCATGGCTTCGTCAGCTTCCTGATTTCCAATATACCACCAACTGTGCTCTCCGCCGCTACTCTTCCCATCCACTATCACTTCTGTATTATTAGGCTCCTCATTGCCACTATATTTCACGGCATAGTTCCAAGACTTCATCCCATTGTAGTACGATCGCGGAACAGAGATGAGATCTGACTCTGGCATCTTAGACATGTCTGCCACCATAAAGGGGTCACGGCAAACTCGAGCCAGAGGCCGCCAAACATTCAGCAGCTGGTATCCCCGATTCGTAAACTCTTCGGCCTGCTCTGGAAACATGAATGCCACGGTGCTCACTGCACCTTCAGGAGTCTGGTCGACGTGAATGCGGCGTGCGGGGCCGGTGACTCCCTGAATCCCCTTGACATGATCTCCGTAGTCGTTTGCGGTGGCATTGCGAACTGTGTGGTTGTAGACTAATACCTGAGAGGCCCCGGTGCTGCAAATCTCCGATTAGTTTCTCGCGCCCCTAGGCAAAACTATTGCTCAGAACTGACACTCTCTTGACGAGTTCCTCGACCTCAGGAAAATAAATCGACCTGATCTCATCCTCGTTTGCCCAATCCTGTACTTTTGTCTGCAGTTTGGCATACATTAGTCCATGGGTATCGAGGTTGAAGTCGTTCTCCCGTCCGCGCAAGTTGTGGATGCGCATGCGATAGGAGACCATGTCCTTATCCCCCAACATGATCTCTAGGTCATTATGCTGCGGTGGAGATCCATCTGACGGTGGTTTATAATAGTTGATCCAGGCATCGACGCCCTCACTTGTGTTGTTGCTGGCAGCCATCGTCTCGGTCCCCGAGGAGCAAGCTGGAAATGGTGAGCATCATGCCAAAACATTGGATGATGCCCGTCTATTTCTGTACTTTCAAATTCAGCTTCATTCCTCCAAGTTCCTTAGCATGGATTGAAGGGATTCTCGATAGAGAGAGAGAGAACACCGAAGTTGGCTCCCTTGCTCCCTTCGCGCTGGACTATTTCTTTGATGAAGCTGTCGGCATGGAGCTGATCCTTCGGCCCGTTTGATCCTTCAGGCGGCCGGAGTTCTGACATCATCGCCTCCTTTCTCCAGCCCTATATAGCTATGAAATATTGTTGAAGGAATGGTAGAACTTACCTCTAGCTTCTTAGCCTGTTTCTCTCCTGCTCTTGCTCCTTCAAAAAGGTAGGGAGTATAAACAAATCTAGCCTCGCCTTGGTGAGTATTTATATGCAATTCATTTGAAGCTAAGGAGTGATACTAAATTCTGTAGCTTGAAAAGATCCTATAATCGATTTATTATACCCACTGATAACTGTATCTACTCGAGTGCTATTACAGTCATGGTATCCCTTGCGACTGTTCGAGCATCAAACCAAAGCCTCAAAGCTGCAATCCCCGGCCTCACAGCATTGTTCGTTGGAGGCACAACGGGCATTGGGCAGAGCACTCTACGTCAACTGGCAATCCATGCGGATAAGCCAAAGGTATACATCATCGGGCGAAACGAGTCAAAGGCTTCACCGTTCCTCGAAGATCTCAGAAAACTCAACCCTCAGGGGAGTTTCAACTTCATCGAGCAAGACGTTTCGCTCATGCAGAATGTGGATTCCGCCTGCGAAGCGATCAAAAGCAAAGAAGGCAAACTAAACCTGCTCTTTATGACGCCTGGAGGGATCTCACTCTCTGGGAGACAAGGTAAGACCCGGTGCAGTGTATGCCTGCCACTATTCGAGAACTAATTCCATCCTATATAGAAACTAGCGAAGGTATAGACCATCTCTTCGCTCTCCGATATTATTCTCGCATGCGATTTATCCAGAACCTTCTCCCTTTGCTCGACTCTGCCACTCCAGCACGAGTTATCAGCATATTCGGAGGCGGTTTCGAATTTGGTATCAATCCAGATGACCTAGAACTTAAACATAACTACTCGATCATCAACTGTGCAAAGCATGCCATCACTATGACATCTCTGGCCATGGAACATCTTGCTTCCTCACACCCTTCCGTGAGTTTCATGCACATCTATCCTGGCTTGGTACGGTCGAATATCTACACCAACAGTTTCCCGCCCCCCATGGCAGCATTCTACAACTATGTTGCGTGGCCGATGATGTGGCCATTCTCAGTCAACGTGCAAGAGTGTGGGGAACGCCATCTTTTCCATCTGACATCGGGTATGTATAGCCCTAAGGATGGCCCTGCGGCGGCCGATGGTGTTCCAGCACCAGGAGGGTCGAAGGGGGCAATTGGCTCGACAGGGCAGATCGGGGGTGGCGCATACCTCCTGAACTGGAAGGGAGAGGGTAAACAAGCACCCAAGATCATGCAGAAATACAGGGAAGAGGGGCTGCCAGCCACTGTATGGAACCATACGGTAGATCTGGTTTCGCGGGCCGCCGGAAAAACATGATGGTCATGCTTCTGCTGAGATGGTCGGAAGAGCTTGTACGAATACCCAGTCTGTTCCTATTCATTCAAACCCTTTCTTTCCCTTAACTTGGGCAATATGTATTTCGTTTGGCCTGGCGTTATTAGCATGAGGGGTCTTTATATGCATTGGGAGGCAGATAATACCTAAAATAAAACCGAAAACCCCTATAAAATTGTTTTCTTAGGGAATACTTGTTCCATTTATATTTAATCTCTCCGCCATCTCACTGGTTATTTCGTCTCATTTCACAAGGAATTCGTCTGATCTTTGCGGCTCCGATTTCATAATATTTATTGAATAAAGTTTTGTGTTGCTCGATAGCTTAGTAAGATGCAATAGCTGACTAAGCATTCGACCGATATCAAACACGAAACATGAACATCCCATCATTGTCGTCAGGCGGCAACAAATTGGTCTTCTACAACTTCCAGTGTTTGCCATGCTTCGTGATATCAATAGGCTTAGTACGGAGTACGGAAGGCGCGGGTTATGCGAGAACAGATTCGGGCTTGATCCGTCGGAAGACTGAGACCGACGGATCCAGGGGCTAATCGCACAGCCGTTTATCTCGCTGCTCCCTCACTCCATCAACGCTTAGGGGCAACAGGAGTCTCGATATGTGGGAACTAGTGGTCTACCTTGGATCCTGGCCGCTGGCGAGGACTGGAGTTTATAATGTATATATTTAAGGAGCCTTTCTAGTTCCTCGCTATAGGGTTAAACATGGTAAACGGACATTTCTTCTATACCCTCCATTAAAAAATCCTACGAGAGACTGACCATGTCGCCAGCCAAAACCTTCGATTTATCGACACAAGCATCCAAGCTTGTAGGTCGACTGTTTTCTGGTCAGAATGACCAGGTTGGGTTTATGACTTGTGCTATTTACGACACAGCATGGGTATCCATGATCACAAAGGATTCACCAGAAGGTCCGCAATGGCTCTTCCCTGAGTGCTTCAACTACCTGTTGCAATCGCAGACAGAAGGCCAGGGATGGGAGTCTGTCGAGCCTGGGATCGATGGTATCCTGAATACAGGGGCTGCATTGCTCGCCCTTGTTGCACATTGCAAGCAGAGACTCCAAATCACCTCTCCATCTGACGATGAGCTTCGTCGGCGGATAGAGTCTGCTACTGCATCTCTCAAAGACCAGCTTGAGGCTTGGGATGTGGCTAGTGCTGATCGTGTTGGCTTCGAGATCCTTCTGCCTTCAATTCTCCGTTTGTTGGAGCGCGAGAACCTTACATTTGATTTCCCAGGTCGACCAGCCCTCATGAAATTGAACCAGACGAAGCTATCAAAATTGAAGCCGGAGTTCCTATATTCGAAACAAAAGACAACCGCACTCCATTCTCTTGAGGCTTTTGTGGGGATGATTGACTTCGATAAAGTCAGTCATCACAAACAATCTGGCGCCTTTATGGCCTCTCCATCTTCAACCGCTGCCTATCTAATGTATTCTTCTTCATGGGATAACGAGGCAGAAGAGTATCTGTGCAATGTTATTCGGAATGGAGCTGGCCAAGGCAATGGTGGTGTACCTAGCGCCTTTCCGTCAACTTATTTCGAAATGACATGGGTATGCAGTCACTTCTTTTTTTTCCTTTCTATTAAACCCTCTCTACTCTTCATATTAACCGTTTCAAAGCGTATGGCTAACATTGTATAAAGGTTCTCACCACTCTCTTAGAGAACAGCTTTACTGTTTCCGATATTGGAGAAAAACAAGCGCAGTGTGCAGCTGTTTTCCTTAAAAAGGCCATTGAAGAGCATAGTGGTCTACTAGGATTTGGTAAATACATTCCAATGGATTTTCCTGAGATTTATACCTGACCATTGTTCGATAGCATGTAATCTGGAAGCAGATGCAGATGATACGGCCAAAGCTTTACTTGCTTTGAGTATTCTCGGTGATCATACCTCCCCAACCGGGTTACTTAAGGAGTTTGAATGCGAGACGCATTTCCGTACATATAAAGGGGAACGAAATGCAAGTTTCTCCGCAAACTGCAATGTTTTGCTTGCGCTTCTCTCCCAGCCAAATCCATCCCTCTATACATCACAGATTGAAAAGGCTACAAAATTCTTGTGCAACATGTGGTGGGAAAGCGATACATTCATTGAAGATAAATGGGTAAGTGATTTCTTGCACCGCCTCCCCCCTCTTTTTTAAACAAGTAGATGATGCTTATTTCTCTTTTAAATAGAGCGTATCACCATACTACCCGTACATGTTGCTGACAGAAGCACTCTCGAAGCTTCTGGCCGTATGGGATTCCGGAAACCTGCCATCATTTCCTAAAACTCTCATTCGCGATCGAGTTCTCATATCTATTTATCAAGCGTTGATTCGTACATTACAGAAGCAGAATCCTGATGGCTCCTGGGGACACCGCGGATCCCGAGAGGAAACCTCCTACGCAATTCTCACCATATTAAATGCGTGCTGCATACCACATTTGGACTCTCTTTTCCCGGTTATCGATACATCGATTGACAATGGTCGGCAATTCTTGGAGCTACACTCTGGCGAAGCTCCAGACCCTCTCTGGATAGAAAAAGTCACATATGGATCGGCGGTTCTATGCGAGAGTTATGTTCTGGCAGCTCTTAAATCGCATCACAAGCGTGAACAAGCTTTGGCTAACATCCGCTCGCTCGTTGATGTACCGGAGAAATCTGTCAAAAAATATGTCGCATTCTATTCCAGTCTCCCACTTTTTTCAGGTATGGAACCTTGGAAGGTTCGTGCTGCATTAATCGAGGCGTATCTTTTTCTTCCGCAGCTGCGTCAAATCCGACTAGACGTCTTCCCTCGTACTCACATGGAAGAGGACAAGTACTTCGAATATATCCCCTTTACATGGACTGGGAACAGCAACCACAACAACACTTTCCTCCCAACGAAAACACTGCGAGATATGATGATCCTTTCTTTCCTCAACTACCAAGCCGATGAGTATATGGAAGCCGTTGTCGGGAGATACTTTGGCACAGAAAATGAGGCTATAATTTCCCTGATTGATGATATATTTTCGGATATCGAAGACAGTCTGAAGGGTGCGACAAACATGGAGGAAGATGGTAGCCCAGCTCTGAAGAAGATGAAATTAACAAAGCATCATTCAGCGTTCAGTGGCAGTTCACCCACGAAACTGGGAAATGGACACCGGACCAAAGAATCCAACAATGGCACGGATACTCCAGGCCAGAAAAAGTTACAGGCCGGCCCTTCCCTTCAGGACGTATCCGAAGTCCTACGATCGTTCATCAAATATATAATGCTTCACCCTTGCGTTAGCGAGGCCACTTCTTTGGATCGCTCCCGTGTCAAAACAGAGCTACGAACATTCCTCCTATCACACATGGAACAATCCGAGGATAACATGCAATTTTCCAAACAGCTTGACCAACAGGGTAGCAAGGCGGACATAACCTTCCAGAAACCACGTTCTAGTTACTACAACTGGGTGCATACGACCTCCGCTAATCATACCTCGTGTCCATACTCATTTGCCTTCTACCAGTGTCTTCTAGCTACAGAGCAAAAGAACCGTACCGCTGCAAGTCTCGGGATCCAGCAAAGGTACATCTCAGAGGCTATGTGTCGCCACCTTGCTACTCTTTGTCGCATGTACAATGACTATGGATCCGTGGCTCGAGATAGAGATGAGAGAAATTTGAACTCTGTTAATTTTCCTGAATTTGCTCCATCGTCTCCATCTGACGGGGGCTCTGATGACGATTCTCTTCGGAAAGAGCTGCTTCTTCTTGCAGAGTATGAACGCGAGCAGATGGAGACGGCTCTTGGGAAACTTGAAGACCTGGCTGCAAACGACAAAGGCCAACAGAGGGTGTTGCAAAAGGTCCGGATGTTCTGTGATGTAACCGATTTGTATGGTCAGATATATGTTGCCAGGGATATTGCAAGTCGGATGTAAGTGGGCTGCCTTCTTGATTTCTATTTGTATTTAATTCAGATATAGATAATATTATTCTTGTATTTGGGTGTTAGCTATCACCAAGCAAAATTTATATTCCGGTAAAATTACTAACCAGTGGATATTCTACAGGGGCATGGAGATTTACTCGAATATATGCGAAGTAAAGTGGTGGGTATAAAATTGTGCTATTGAGATAGCTGCAGGAATAATGGAGTACGTATTAAAGGAACAATAAATCGCAAGCTCTATACCTAGTTAATAAGATAATATTGAACAGGATGCTAACCTTCCCTTGATATTAACACACATAAGGCTGCTAGTGTAGCTAGGACTGTCAAGGGGCTTTGAACGGCTCCGTTGGTGGCTGGTTAGGCAAACCCTCAGATACCATATTCACAACTGGTGCAACTGCTCTGAACATTGGTAGATTCGTTATACACACGAACCAGCCTGTGAAGTAAGGGAATCGCTTACGCCACTTTTCATCGAACACCTTAGCGAATCCAAATGTGAGCAAGCCAGCACAAAAGATATCCGCAAGTGTGAGTCGATCTGCCACAAGATATTTCCGGTCCTGTAGATGATCCTCGAATATCTGGATTGCCTGGTCTGTTTCTCTCTGAGCCTTTTCAACAGCTTCTTTCGAATACGGAGTATAGCCGATAAGGGGGCGGATCCAATCTGCCATCCGGTTGACCACATCTGTGTTGGTCAAAGAGAGCCAGCGGAGGACAAGGATGAAATCCAGTTCGGACGCACCCAGGAGAGTGCTTGTTGGATCTTGACTGGTAACTATACACAGCAATTTCGAGTTGTTAGAAATGGCTTATGAAATGCTATTTCCAAACTGTACGTACTGTAGAGCGCGATGGCTATGCATTCAGTGAGGACTAGGCCATCAGCTCCAACGAATGTAGGTGTTTTCCCCAGCTTGTTCAGCTTTCGATACTCCTCAGGAACCCCGTTGGCAGGCTGTATTTCGACTTCTTCTATCTGTAGCCCACTCGCTTTGGCGACTGCTAATATTCCTATAGCTCGGGGACTCCCCTTGAAAACACTGTTAGCACGGCATTCTAGATATACAGCACTGTAAATGCATCTTTCTGGAGGAATGAGAGAATAGCTACCTTGTACGTATACAACTTTCCGAATGACATTTTATGCGGCATTTCAGATTCTTCCCTTTCGATGTAGAGACAAGACAAAAGTAAGGCTCGATATTCTGTCAGGAAATGGCCCAGAAGTGCCTCTGTGTATACATTTATGAGTAGGTTAACTATTTAACTACGGAGTATCTTGATGAAATGACAGATGCGTTTCCGGTTGAAGGATCAGATCCATTCTCCGAGCTGCCGACGGCGGATCGTGTTAGATCAAGGAGACAACAAGATATAGACGAACGCAGAGCATACCCGAAGGGCTATATATTGTATACCTTATAAGAAGTAATGAGAATGTCATTTGCAATAATATTGCTGGTAGAAAGTCGGAAGAGCCTTCTCTCGTAGCCCCTTTTTAGCAACTGTGGACTTTTTCATGGTTTCACTCTCAATGCATATGTGGAGGTTAGTTTTTCTTAGATCAGTTATTATTACTCCTTATTTACTTCCTATTAGCTATTTAGATCTAAGAATAGTATGAAACTCGATATACAAACTACATGACCTGTATCTGTCATCACTTAACTACCTTTAGGCTGTCATATAGCCAGGGTTATCATCGACTGGTAACTGATTTCAATATGGGTCTAACAAAAGAAATATTATATCTAAACCTCTAAATAAACAGCTTGAATCATGAAAACGGAACGTTAAATAAGAAACTAAAGTTAAGCCTTGCTTGAGCACCTATCACACCGCGATTGCGTATGTTCGGCGGTACTGGTCGTCAACTTTGGCAAGATAGTATGTGCCTGGTACTAGGCTGCTAATTTCGCCATGTGGTACGAAGCCTTTCTGAAGGTGGGCTTTCTCGCGGAGCCAGATTGCCTAAATTCGGATTAGTTAAGCGGAATAAACAGTAACTCTGTGCAGTTGACTTTACCTTGCTGTAACCTACTGGATCAACTACCTCACGGGCCTCAAGCCTTTTGGTAAGATCCAGCGCCTTGCGTAAGTTGCTCGTATCCCCAACTACTTCCAGGCAGAAAAGTGTGCTCGCCAATCCCGAGCCATAGCTGAACATACCAACTGTCTTTCCAAGTAACTTCTCTGGCTCAATGTTGCTAAGAAGGCTAGCTAAAGAAGAATATAAGCTTGCGGTATACATATTCCCACACATTGTTGGCGCCGTGATACTGGGGGAGACGCGCTGGGTAAAGGGCTCTGCCGACTGAGTTTTGAATGCTGCTTCAAGCTTCCGATCCTTGAGCGATTCTTCATAATTGACTGATCGAAACGTGGTATCAATAGTCGAAAATGAAGGGTGATCTGGTTGCTCCTTGAAGTCATTGTAGGATAGCCGGGCAAAGGCTTTTGATACCAATTTTGTATTTGGCGAATGGAAACACATGAAGTCAAACCTGTCTGATATCAGTTTGGGTATGGCCGGTAAACCTGAATAAACAAATCGTTCCTCCCGGCGTTTATATGCCTCATAGCATTTATCAAGCGCCCTGGTATAACATTCCAGCGAGTAATGGCCATGCACGATGGGATACTCGCTGGAGAAGTCTGGTTTGTAAAAGTCGTAACAGTGCTGCATGTAGCTGCCGCGCACCGGCAGAACAGCTACTGGAGCATTTGGCCCGATGAGCATTGCGACAGCGCCAGCACCGCCGGTTGGCCTTGCTGGACCGCTGCCGTAGATTGCAATATCACCAGCAACCACGATGGCATCACGTCCATCCCAAGATGGCGAGCCAACCCAATTTACGGCGTTAAACAGGGCGTTTGTTCCTCCGTAGCAGGCATTTATATTATCCACGCCCTCAATATCAGTGTTCTCCTCAGCAAAAAGCTGCATCAGCACGCTCTTAACAGACTTCGATTTATCGAGCAGCGTCTCAGTCCCGACTTCGAGACGCCCAATGCTCTTTGGGTCAATCGCATATTTTCGAAGAAGCGATGACAAAACCGTCAAACAAATAGAATACACGTCTTTATATTGCAAGGTCAGTCAGACTATCCCGTCAATAACGTCGAGCAAAGGTTTTAATGTTGATGCTCACCTTCTCTGTCGTTGCAGAAGCTCATACGCGTTTGACCAAGACCGGCCGTATATTTGCCCGAGGAGACACCATCAGCTTTTTCAAGTTCAGCTTGGTCGACACACTACAGACAATTCCTTGTCAGCACTGGGGATTATATTTCTTGGGGGGGGGGGGAGAAACTTAAGTCCTTACAGTGTTGGGGAAATAAAGCTCGATGGCTTTGATTCCTATGTGATGTGGACGTTCAAGTGATAGTTGGCTAGAAGCAGCCTCTGAAGGCACAGGGCTAGTTGCGATTGGCATTTTTCAACGACGGAGAAAGACGATGGCAAATGATGATAATTCTATCTTTTGACTATGCCTTAGAAACTGGAAGATTACAAGAGGGAATCTTTCTCTTTTTCATAACCTGCTCGCAGGCTCATATCTCATACTCAGAGCCACGAAACTCGGGGCCATCCTCAAGCGACGGATCGATGTCAACCATGAAGGGGGCTTACGGTTGAGCGTAAGAGCGTATGAAGGATTCTCTCTTCCGTGGTCTACTATCAATTAACATTCCGCTTGAGATTTTGATGAGAATTTGATATCGGACATGGCAGCGCCGGGGACTGGATCGAGTCATCCAGATCCTTCACTCCCTCCGAGAATCCGCATCGACCTCCGGCAGCATTCCACAGGGCCATTGCAGTCGAATGAACTGGATTCGTTATGATTTCGTGCCTTTATACCTTTCCCCATTAGGCCGGGCAAGGTGTACAAAAGCATTCTTGTTCCTTGGATAGACAGCCATTTTCATGCATATCCATTCCCCAGACTACTACGCTCATCCTGGCAAACATTCTACAGTTAAAGAACGCTGAACCCATATGGTTTCCGAGTTAATTTCGATTACACCTGGCAAAATGGCCTGCACGCCTCTTAAACGCTCCCTGGACCAGTCAATCGGGGCATCGTCTCCAAGCATCAGAAACCCAAGCCACGCACTAGCGGATTCCGTATCTTCAACAAGCAGCTGGTCAACATCAGCCATACCTCAGACTCCCAAAACTCTAGTACCCGACGATAAATGCGGTGATTCAATAGACAGTAAATTGTCTATGGAGTGGAGCCCTACAAATGAAAGGGTTGGCCTATGTACCTCTACATTCATTCGACCCGGGTTTGCATTTGCTAATAGAAAGAAAATATTGTCTAGGCGATTCGAGAACCCTATGACTATATTGCAGCATTGCCCGGGAAAGAGATTCGCCGAAAACTACTAGATGCGTTCAATGTCTGGCTGAAAGTGGATGAGGAGTCGTGCGAGATTATTGCACGGACAATCACTATGGCACACAATGCATCACTTATGTACGGATGAAATGCCCACACTTTACCTTCTTTCAGTTATTATTTTATTTTATGCTGACAGAAGTCAAGGATTGACGATATTCAAGATAACTCTCAACTTCGACGGGGTGTTCCAACAGCACATAGGGTGTACGGTATTGCACAGACGATCAATGCCGCGAATTATGTCTACTTTCAGGCACAACAAGAGCTTATGCGTCTAAAGAATTGGCCGCAGGCGTTGGCGATTTTCAATGACGAGCTGATAAATCTTCATCGTGGTCAGGGAATGGAACTTTTCTGGCGCGATAACTTCCAGCCCCCATCCGAGGGCGATTACCTACAAATGATAGCAAACAAGACCGGTGGACTCTTCAGGCTGATACTTCGGCTTCTACAGTGCGCTAGTACTCGTGTTGTGGATATCACCCCTTTGGCTAATGTGGTTGGCCTATTTTTCCAGATCCTGGACGACTACAAAAATATGGTAGATGACAAGGTAAATATACTCACAATAAAGTCTCTAGGATTCATGGTATTCATTGCTGACCGAAATTAGATGGCGGCCCAGAAGGGCTATTGTGATGACTTGACAGAGGGAAAATTCTCTTTCCCAATATGCCACGCGATCTGGACCGAAAGTTCGAGAAAGGACGACATCCTCGACATATTAAGGATGAAAACTGAGGACGACACCCTCAAGGCATGTGCGGTCACGAGTCTCCGTCAATCAGGGAGTTTTGGATATACGAGGCAGGTTCTTGAGCAGCTGAACAAGAGAGCAAGAGAACTTTTGCTGGACCTGAAAGTTCCTAACCCTAAACTTGAAGCGCTGCTAGATACTCTTGTTAAAAGCTTTGAGGCTTGCCACTGATCAATCTGATGCTACTTCCTATTTCTTCCTCTAATTTCTGGGCGATCCTCTTATTTTCCCGTCTTTCTTTTCTCTCTCCTTGCTATTCATGTATGACCACCTTTTTGACTGTATTTATTGTTAACGATAAATTGTCTGTCAATCAAATGAGGATGTTAGTTATATAGGGAGTTGCAAGGTCTATGTCTCGGTAATCCGTAATTAATAATTAATTGGTTAATATACACATCCACAACAGCAATTCCATACTTATTCTCGGTTTCAAAATCTTGAAAGAACTGACGGTTAAGTAGAACTTATCCGATTTTAAATGTTCACAACTGATACTAATTTATAGTAATACTATATAAGTTTATACTCCATCAACCCATCCTCACAATTGGATGCAGTCAACGGGTTAGCCAATGAGCTTACAAAGTCTCCGAGCTGTCAAATGTCCGAAACTTCCAACCACATAATTGTGTCCTGTTCAACATTCGATACTCCCCGCTGCTTTTTGATATAACATTTTTATTACTTATAATAATAATAATAATAAACAATTAACGTTTTAGTTTTTGTGGAGGAGTTAAAAATATCTACCGACTCTCCATCCATCCCTGATCCTTTGATCCGCCACCGAAACTCCCACCGACCAGGTTTTCGTCAACAGTACGCTCCATGATAATCCCGTTGATCCATTACACGACTCCTCATGTATAGTATGGGGAGCTTGTTTCTTTTTGTAGAGGCTCAAGATAGTCTCTACGTATTTCTCATTCAAAAGAACCAGGGAAGCCCCTGGTTTTTTGCCTTAATCTAAGTGAAGACGACCAGCAAGCGTACGATTTGTGTCCCTTCTCTCTGACTTACGAGGGAGCTTATTATACCATATCTTCAAATACGCATTATCAAGCCCAGGTGGAGTCATGGTGAAACCTCTAGTCTTGTCGTCAGGACTGGGGCGAGCAGGATATAGAACCAGACTGGCCGTCCAAGCTCTGACGCTATTGGTTCTGCTATGGACATTTTCATTATGGACACAAACCGAAGCGTTGGAGCAAGACAGATTGGTAGAAAAGCGTGTTGATGTATTTCGGGATTTAGAGTCACTGCTCCATGCTCATCGGGCCTCTAATAGGAAGTTGTCAGATCATGACGTGAGTTACCTGACTGATATTTTCTTACTTCTACGGAAACTGACAAAATTTTGTAGTCCATATATGAGGCTCCTGATATATTTCGGAGCCTGAATGAGACTTCGGATGCGTCAGAAAGTGCGAACAGTGTATATGTTTTGCTAAGCACTCACGTCTCTCGGCCTCGCCACTGGATGCGCAAAAGCATCGCTCGCCTCCTTTCTCTGATAGGAGGGTCAAATCAAGCCATACTGGCAGCAGCCATTTTCATTGCTATGACTACTGTGCAATTTCTATTTCCAAAGAGTGGCCAATCCGCCAATGGTGCTTCTCCTGGGCCTAGGTGAGGATTTTGTCTTAACCTCTCCTCCCTTCGTTAATATCAACTAATGCAACATAGGTCTCCTATGCATTTATCACCAATTCTTGTTGATAGTCGAGATAAAAAGGTCAATGGAGGGCCTAGGCCTGTGCTTGTTAAGAATAAAACTCTTAATGGGCGCCCTAATGATGATGAAGTACGAGCTATGAGTGATGAAAAAGTTGCTGAACTCGGGTCACGGGGTACGGTGCCCCTTTACAGCCTTGAGAAACTTTTACAAGACCCAGCAAGAGCCGTGAGTGTTAGGCGAAAAGCTATTTCCCGTCATGAATGTATGTCCCTATCAAACTTCTCCTTGGAAAAGTCCAATCTTCCACATGATGGTTATGACTATGGAAAAGTTTTGGGTGCATGCTGCGAAAATGTGATCGGGTACATGCCTCTTCCAGTCGGTGTTGCAGGCCCATTGAACGTGGACGGAACTCGCATTTTTATCCCTATGGCTACTACAGAAGGCGCTCTTGTAGCCAGCACAAACCGGGGCTGCGCTGCTATCAATTCTGGTGGCGGTGTTGTCACCGCCTTACTTGCAGATGGAATGACCCGTGGGCCAACTGTTCGCTTCCGCAACCTTCAACGTGCTAGCGAGGCAAAGGCTTGGTTGGACTCAGAGCACGGGTACCGATCAATTGAGGCAGCATTCAACTCCACTAGCAGATTTGGGCGCTTACAGAGCGCTCGATCAGTTATTGTTGGATCCGAACTATTCATCCGTTTCAAATCATTTACAGGGGATGCAATGGGGATGAACATGATGTCAAAAGGCGTGGAAAAGGCCCTCGCGGCCATGGCTGAGAATGGTTTTGAGGATATGCACGTCACCTCGCTCTCCGGAAACTACTGCACGGATAAGAAGTCCGCTGGAGTTAACTGGGTTGAAGGCCGTGGCAAAAGTATCAGCGCACAAGCAACAATACCTGGAGAAGTTGTGAGGACAGCTTTGAAGACCGATGTAGATACCTTGGTTGACCTCAATAGGAGCAAGAATCTCACAGGAAGTGCTGTCGCTGGGTCTATTGGGGGTTTCAATGCACATGCTGCCAATATTGTTACCGCGATATTCATTGCAACAGGCCAAGATCCAGCCCAGAACGTGGCAAGCAGTAGCTGTCTGACCACAATGACAAAGTAAGTTGATTCGTATCCTTTCTAACTCCATTTCCTTTCCAGTTTAGCATAAGTCGACTCTAACATATTTTATAGGGTTGGCGAGGATCTTCAGATATCTGTGTATATGCCCTCAATCGAAGTTGGAACTGTTGGTGGTGGGACGATTCTAGCGCCCCAACAGGCAATGCTTGACTTAATGGGTGTACGCGGCTCGAAGGAAGAGAGTCCCGGAGAGAATGCACAGAAACTTGCTAGAATCGTGGCATCTGGGGTGCTTGCAGGGGAGTTGAGTCTGTGTTCCGCACTTGCGGCTGGTTCGCTGGTACGAAGCCATATGGCACATAATCGCAAATGAGTATTACTACGTAGGTATATAGACATATAAAGGCAAGGGATAGGCAAAATAATATTTAGAGCTAGTTTCAATTAATACGAATGTGTCACATAGATTTGTCTAGCCCTTCGTACCATCTGTTGGTGAAAAATAGCTGGTGAATTCAGGGGGCCGCATAATAGGGGTGAGGGGGGATGGGGGAATTTGTAAAGACGAGTACGGGGTATTAATCTAACAAATTCGATTAGATCCTATCCTATGGATTTTGCCTAAGTATCTCCTGCATTCTTCTTATCATACTCTAGCCCTTTCATTACCCCGTCGGCATCAAATTGTGTGTCGCCGTCGAGAAGAGTTGACCAGTCTGAACCCGACATGTCAGTGTTCAATTGCACCTGAGGAGAACCAAAGCCAAGCTTGCCATCGGTAAAGTCCTCGGACCCTAGTGCTTCCAAATAGGTGTTCACATTAAAGTTCATATCAAGCTCCCCTATGGCCCCAGGGAATATCTGGTCAAGGTCCATTGAGCTCAGGGGCTCAGAGAAATCGAAAGCTCCATTAGGCTGACCCGAAAGTGGTATATTATCGAAAGTATTATTAGAAAATGGAGATGGGTTGGGGAGATCTTGTAGAGTGGATGTGTTCATTACATCATCCGGAAGCGTCCAGTCAGCAGTGGATTGAGAGGGTGCTTGTGAAGGTGCTGGTGGGGATGTAACTTGTGACAGCGCTTCTGGGGGTATTGAGTCGCCGAATGGAGTTGGTATAGATGAGGCTGGTTGTGGGCCTCCCTTCTCTGGGCCTGTGTCGTCCCCTCTTTTAAAGACCCAAGAATTTAGCCATGAAAGCTCATGTACTGTCATCTTGCAGTTGCTGTTCTTTTCAAACCAGGACTGGAGTTTTCGTAGAACCCTCGTCAATCTGTTCGCTGGCCATAGAGTTCCCCAGCCGGCAAACATTTGAATCAAGTCGTCAAGGCGTTCTCCGACTTTAAGCTCGGCAGTATGGGTTTTGCCATCGTCCCCAGGAAGCTGCATTGCGGCGAAATGAAGTTTAACGAGGATTATAACAACGTAGATAATCCGGATAAAGTATACTGTCGGTAGAGCACGGATTGCAGCCATGTCGAGGGAAAACACTATCTGGAAGATACTGTTCACTGTTTCCAGAAATTCGAAAAAGGTTGGCTCGTCAATTACGAATTTATGAGATTGTTCACCGCCCGACTGAATTTCTAGGTCTTGATTTTGAACTTGTCGAGAGGTGGAGTTCAAGACAACATCGTTGATATACAGTGTTGCAAATAGTCGAGAAAAGTGAAGTGTCTCTGTAAGAAAAGAATTAGCAGGAGGCAAGTAGAGGATAAAAAGGGGAGAAATACCATTCCAGCAATCCTTAGGCACCGCGTTTGCCCAATCTAAAAGCTGCCTCTTGAATGCTCTATGAGTGACCTGAGCCTGAATCTCGCGCGTAGGGCCGGCAACCGATACATTATCCCAATCCAGCTGGAGTTCAAATTCCTCGATAATATGCTGTAATCTAATGTGTTGACAGAAGAGCTTATCGGAAGGGAATGCCGCCGGGGAATTCTCAAGAGTCTCTAAGCACTCATCCATGTAGCGTGTCCAACGCATCACATTTGGTGCATGTAGAGCCATAGACGTGCTAGGTAATGCGTTAGTTTTTCAGGTATTGGATTTGGGTGATTATATATATACAAGGAGAACCGAACTGACTTTGAACAGATGTAGTGGCAACCAAGCCAGACTCGTCTAGCAGCAAGACTTTTCTCCTGAATAGCACTGTGAGGCCCTTTTAACCGTTGCTTCGGAACAAATGACGGGCCACCCCACGACCTTGCCCCCAGCCTTTTATCAAGGCCCATGATAATGGCCATGTTTGAAGCCGTATGGCTGAGCTGGTAGACATCCATCTGTTCCCCAGGCTGAATCGGTTCAATCGGCTGGTACCACGCTGCGGATATAATCAAGGCCTGAAGCAGAGGGAGAGAGTATTCGTTGGTCCGAAGCATGTAATGAAGATATAACTGCACTATCAGTTTGCGTATATTCCTCTGAACGGCTACCTCGCAAAATCCAGCAGATGCAATGTCGAGAATTGAAAGAAACACGATAGGTGTCGACTTTCGGATGTCAGATGCCTTGGTATCGGCTGGGAACATCACAAAGGGGAGATTTGGGGCCATCCCGGAGATGTATCTATTGAAGATATTATTTGCCGTGATTTCATCCAGGTTCTGGGAGATGACAGAGTCTATAAATGACGGTGGTATAGTGTCATTCCCAGCACTTTCGAAATAGTTGGATGATGGAGACGGTTGGTCTGTAAGATCTCTGTTAGTAGTGTTCTATAATGTAAGAATGTACTCTCAAGACGATATTCTCACCAGCCAATGGGCCCATCGACAAAGGAGAGCCCCTCATCCCTTGGTTTACATCTCGATTGGAAGGGCTGGGGAGGGCTGAAGGTAGGAGTTTCTGAGATGTACGGCTCGTAACATCCGCCTGTGGGGAGCTGGAAGCCGTGGGGCTAGGATTGGTGTGTGAATCTGAGCGCTCTCGAAGGCTGTAAGACTGCATGATCGAAGTTGCCAGAGCGTCTATCCGTGATTCAAGCTCGGCCATGCGACTGTTGGACTGTTTCTGTCGTTTCACGCTCTGCTCTGCCGGTATGCATATCTTTCCTGATTTTTGGCACCTAGCACACGGCATACCGGGGCTCGGTTGATTGCACCGTACTTTGGACAGTCGACATGACTGGCACGCTCGAGTTGGAACGCTGTCACTAAGACCATCTGCACTAGCCCTGGTTGCGTCGGGAGTTAGTGGCATGTAGCTAGCAGCGAGAGAGTGATGCTGGAGGCCGAGCAATGATGCTGATTCGGATGAACATGTCATCTCCATTCACAAGTTATATATTCTTTTTCTTGGATATCAATTCAAAAGAGGGCTGGACGTCTTTCTCTCTCTGCAGATAGGAAAGGAAGATGAGAGCTACACGCACTGTTCTTGACGAGAAATTCCCGTGTCTTTGTAGTTTTCTAATGGCTGTGTATCCAGACGAGGTTCGCTTGGATCTTCGACTCGGCCGTCCATGATAGCTGGAAAAGTTCCTGAAATCTGAGGCTCAAGACCCTTGCAGGTAATAAATATTGGATGGATAACTATCAGACGGCTCGATGTCTTGCCTTGTTATAAAATGGAAGAAGTAAAAAAAAACCGGAGTCTTTTCCACCAGTTGAGTGTATATTTTCACGACTTCCCTGTCCTATTCGATGTAACTATATGACTTGCTGATTATACTGCAGATTCCAACTTAACGCTGTCGGGTTTGGCTGGGAATGACGCAGTTTAAGCCCATGATGGAGACCAATGAAGGCCTTCTTACATGATAATCATTATAGCCTATCCATAGCAAAAAAGATCAGGGATCATGGTTGAGACGACACGCGCCTCCAAGGATTGAAGGTTCTTCCTTCCAGGCAGCTGGACCGCTTTTGGCTGATCGACTGGGTCCAGAGGTGTCCGTACATACTATGCAGTTATCTAAGGTGCTCACTCGCCTCTGCCTGAGACCTGACGGTGTCTCTGCTAAGATGATGATTGACACGGAGCCAAGTTTGCCCCTTTTCCTCGCTGGTTTGATAACCCTTGACAAGAGAACCTCCACCTCATCCTCCAGTGACCTAACGGGAAAAAAAAACAGGAGCAAGGCTCGATATCAAACAATCTTCTCGCTGTTAGTTAACTTCCAAGCTAAATAATAGGTTATCTATGCCTCCAAAAGGGCGGAATATACGAAGTACGCTCCCTGGAATTGTTTAAATGACGCAGCTAGGAATCCAACGAGCAGGAATCCTTCTCCAAAGATCTGGATGCCATTACCAACCAGCCAGCTGAGATGAAGGTTCGTAATGAACCAATAATCCAAGAGGGCTAATGACCCAAAGGCGCGGGAACCATAGTTATTATGTTCCCCGTTGAGCTAGTTTGCTCTTCATCCCGCCACTTAGCTGCTGCTCGAGATCTCCCTAACGGTGTCCTCTCTATTATCGTATACGGGGCAGTGAGGGAATCGATAACCAGCTTCAATACTTCAAAGAAGCATATACGCCTTTCGAAGAGATTACTTCGAAAAAAGGTCTATTAATTACGTCCCTAGCTAGTGGTGATCCTGCATCCGAAAGAAGGCAGCGGCTGCTTCGGATACTAGATGAAACGCTCAAAAATAGCTACTGGGTGAGCAAATGCTGAAAGTTTCCTTTTTCTTATCTCTTTTCGGGGAAGCGTACTAAGACACCATGTGCCAGCGGCCCCAGATTATGCCAGCCGAGAATAGTTATCAAACCCATGAACATATGAGTGAAGGATCGCACATCAAGAAGGATGCCAAGGTAAAAGCGGTCAAAAGAGGACGGTCCATGTGGGCGGCTCCTTTTAAGAGCTATTCCGGGGGGTTGCTGGATCACTGGCCAGAAGCGCTAGAAATGGGAGAGAGATTGAGAGATGTAATACGCACGGGATATAACATGCTTTGACAGCCTGAACTAGGGGAGGTGAGTCGCCCTAGATACTGATCGACTAATATTACAAGGGCGCGTACTCTCTGTAGAGAGGTTGTTGGTAGAGATCCGAATATGCACTAACATGCGATAGAAAATCCCCGATACTCGTGGGATTCAGGGTCTTAAGCTTGCAGAGATATAGTCATATTGAGCCACTTAATACATGGTATATTAACTAGTATGATGGAGCAGAGCATCCACATATCGTCGTTCCTTGCCAAAGAGGTTCATATTAAGCATTCCAAATAGGGAAAATGCGATATCTTGGAAAGCTTTTGAACCCAGAGACTAGTTTAAGTTATTAACAAACCCACAATAAGGATCAAAAAAGGATACTGAGCGAGGCCGGTTGGACCAGCCGATAGATGTCCTCCTATATTAAGCGGTTAGAAGCCCGATGGCTATCTCCAACTGGCGATCCTGGAGATTTTAACAAGGCTGGCTCTGTTTGAGCAATCAGTTTGACGAGTATGTTTCCCGTGTCTCTATTTGAATAAGTGAGGACGGCCTTAATAGACATTTTATTAATAATATCCATCAAAGATATACTAAATATGTATGCTGCAGGATTAAATTATAAACGAGGTGCATCTAGTGGGAAAACCGTTGCAAGGACACCTTGCTGCCACGATGATGGATATGCAAATATTCTTTTTTCTCTTTTTCAATTGTGGCTGGTGATCAAGTTACCAAAAATGAGCTATGTTCGATCTAGTTTAAACATGAAGTCAAAGTCTACCAGAAAAAGTTGAAATCCCCCTCTTACCTTTTGATCCTTTTTACTTATGCGGTTGACGATTATCTATGCGCTCAACTTTTGCTCTCGGATGAAAATGGCGCTAACAAATGCGAGGAAAACGAGGATGGTCATAAATCCAAAGGCCGTGGATGTAGAACGGCCGTAACAATCTCTGACCACTTCTCTAATATGTGGCTCAAGATGGTTGATATAATCAAGGCTTTGCCTAACCCCATCCACAATATCATCGATATTTTTGTTGCCTTTTAGTGCAGACCGCAAGGAGCTCCTAAGGAACTGCTGAACAATACTGGCGGATAGCGAGATCGTGATGACTGACCCTAGAGATCGGAATAGATATGAGCAAGCTGTTGCGACGGCTTGGTCCTCAGGAGATGCATTTGCAACTGGATCTGTCAGCACTGTATGTCAAGTAGAGATTAACACGGAGATGGTATATACTTAATGCAATCAGTGTCGTGGTAACTCCAATGCCGTTTCCAAAAGCGCACATGGTCATTCCAATTATTATCAGTGGAGTGCTCTTGACAACCACTCCGGAGCATAACACGATCATTAAAAGGCCAGCAACCAACAAGGCATATGATGCAACAGTAATCCAATAGTACTTGCCGGTCCTCTTCATCAGCCACCCCCCGAATAACGAGCCGGATACTCCCAGAAGAATAGAAGGCAGGAGTTTAATTCCAGCATCTGCAGCAGAGCTGCCATCACTGGCCTGAAAGAATAACGGGATATAGAAGATTGCCGCAAGCCATCCGCCGAAACTGAAAAAGTTGGTTAGGTAGCATGCAACCAAGTCTCGGCCGAATGTGATGTGCAGGGGAGCGAATGGGGCGACAGCGAATCGAGCTTCAACTATCATGAAAAGAACGAATGCCACCGCGGACACAGCGAGCGATATAATAGTCAAAGGCATGGTCCAAGAAACGTTACCACCTCGGTCTAGGCCAAGGATGAGTCCAAAGACTGCAACAACGAGAACAAATGCTCCAAGGAAGTCGACTCGCTTTAACTTTTCTCGCCAGTTTGACTGGTCGGTTGCTGGCATCTTTAATGTAAGCCCTACGACGACAAACGCAAGTAAACAGCAAGGCCCTTGGGCGAGGAAGGCCCTAAAGTAATAATTAGCCAACAGAAAGCTTGGACCAAGCATATCAGGACAATGCACCTACCAGCGCCATCCAATAGTATCTGCCAGGAAACCGCCTTTATACAAATATCAATAACCTGGACATCCAAGTTGTTCCATTATGTCGTTGCTTACCAAGAGGTGCTCCAAGCCCGGACCCAGCAGACCAGACGATGTTAATGACCCCTTGCCAGACACCACGATCCCTCAATGGAACAATGTCACTCATAATTATGCTAACGACGGTCGATAGGCCACCTCCTCCAATGCCTTGAAATACCTATTTCACCAGAGGGAATTAGCCTTCGTAACGATCGAACCATCTCATAGAGGTGACATACCCGTGCGGCAATCAGTTGCTTTATATCCTGGGCCAATCCACACAGGACACATCCGGTGCCAAATATTACGTATCCAAACAGTAGGCATCCCTTCCTCCCAAATATATCGCTAAGGCGGCCGTATAACGGTTGAAAAGCGGTCAGCGATAAAAAGTACGACGTAGCAACCCAGCTGGTCAAGTTGAGGGCATTGAGATCACTGCCGATTTTGCCATAACTCGCAACGATGATGGTTTGATCAGCAGATGAGAGGAAGACCTAAAGACATGGTTCATTAATTGGCGTGGAAATAATATGGGAGGAGGGCGCATTCTCTCGGCTTACCCCAATGGTGATTGCCGGTACGATGTACTTCAGCCGCTTTTGCAACTCCGGCTCACCCTTAAACTGGGCAATTCTAGCGTCGTCAATTCCATTGCCTCCTGCTGTTTCTTCGTCTGGCTTTCGCTGCCCAATGCTCTTTGCTATTCCAACCGACGGACCGTTTAGTGAGTCATTCACCGCCTGAGTAGCCAGCAGGGGAGATGTCTCAGTTGCCGGTGCGCGAGTAACATCGTCAGCAAGACGTGACGTTCTCATTGTGACAAAACCCGGCAAAATCCTGACTCTCCAATGTAAAAGCCAGAGAGCGTTTCGTTCAAATGTTCCTGAAGCGCCCTGGGGTTGGCGCCTCGAGGGCGCTTTAAATAGTCGGTGCTAAGCATCAAAGCTGCTCGGTAAGCAAAAGTGGGGCCGCCGCAAGCCCCGCATCACTTCTTTTTCAGTGTCTCGTATTGTGAAAACCAATTGGAAGGCGGAGGGAGCAACAAGTCACGATATCGTGTATGTATTCAGCTGCTATTCACCAGCTGCTCTCTTTAAGCTATAAGGTGTAACTAAGTCGACTCTCGCCGTTATTTTAAAGTGGGCGGCTTAACGGCTAGATATGTCACGTGAAAATAGAGTGTGCTAAGAAAATTTTCGCGGCTAAATAGCCGATGACACGTGCCACTTACCCTAAATGGCAGCCAAAAAGAACAGGCGCGCGAGCATTTTTCTTAGGATTGGAGGGAGGATATATTTCAGACTTGAAAAGGAGATAATATTGAAGGGATTCGCTACTATATTGCTCAAAAAATACTCAAAACGGTATAGTCGCTACCGCCCGCGGGGCACATTAACTTTATCTCCTCTAGGCTGAGTCCTTTCTTGCGCAACTAGTTACGCCCTATGACGCAGTGGCCGGCATTGGGATCGGGCCTCCTGGAGAATCTGGAAGCCTTGCAGTAAGGATATCAACACCATCTTCTGTCACCAGAAGCGTATGTTCAAACTGAGCTGATCTCTTTCCATCTGCCGTGACGCTTGTCCAGTTGTCCGGCCATGTCTTGTCCCTATAGCTCCCGAGGTTGATCATCGGCTCGATTGTGAAGCACATTCCAGCTTTGGCAGACCCAACAGTTTTGCTTTTAGCGTAATGTGGGATGCTAGGAGTAGTGTGGAATAGCTGGTTGATTCCATGTCCGCAATAACTTCTCACAACGCTGCAATCTCTACTCTTGGCATGTTTCTCAATAACATTCCCAAATTCTCGGAATAATGTTCCTGGCTTAACAATTTCAATCGCTTTATCCAGGCATTCTCTAGAAGTTTCTACCACTCGAACCGCATCGGGGTCTGCCATAGCTTTGTCACCAACGTAATACGTTTCGTTAAGGTCGCCGTGAAATCCTCCGTGATAAAGTGAGATGTCGATGTTCACAATGTCGCCATCTTCCAGGGGCCGTTGATCGGGGATGCCGTGACAGATAACTTCGTTGACAGATGTGCAGACAGACTTGGGGAAATTCACATAGTTGAGAGGGGAGGGATATGCCTGAATAAGTTAGACAAACTGAATATAGATCTTAGGGAAGTATTGCTGCTCACTTCTCTTTCTAGACAGGCTTGATGTACGACTTTGTCGATGTGGTCGGTGGTGACGCCAGGTCGAATCTCCCGAGCAGCGATGTCTAGGACCTCTCTTGATAACCGACACACCTTTCTCATTCCATCTATTTCTTCCTGGTTGAGGATCTTGATATTATGTCGCCCATATATTTTTTGTTCGGATCGCGGAACGCCATCAACCGCATAGTCAGGGTGCTGGATAGAACTTGGAACCGGGTTCTTGGGCGAAAGGGGGTACACAGGTCGTAAGGTACCGGTAAACTGGAACGTCGGGAATGGGTTAAAGGTTTCTATAGATTTAATATTAGCCAAACTCAAGTTCGATTTCTGTATAACCACGTATTCGAGATACTTTCTTGCCTTTGGATTTATGGATTGCTTTATGTTCTCCCTGCAAAAATATCAGCAGTGCCCAATTTTAGAAGAGCCGGTCTCAGCACCTTGTGAGACAGTGCGGAAGCGTACCCAGCTACGCTTAAAGCAGTCTTGAGAGCAGAAATAGCTTTCGACTCCAATTTTAAGGCATGCTGGACATCGTAGGCTGCCTGCTGCCTGGCTGCAATCCACCCCACTACAACAATGCTTGTTGTCGGGCGCACTCATAGTTGTTGATACAAAAAAGATTATTTGGTTCCAGAATTAGTTTCCTTCTCGGGATATATAATACCTTCAACCAAAAATGAAAGCCTCGCGCCCTTTGGAAGGCGAATTCGTTATGGTTATCAAGTCGTGAGCTGTCAAAAGTCCGCGATCTGTAACTGACTAAACTTTTTCCCTCGTCAGTTACTAAGCGACGAAGCATGTTAATAGGCCAAAGTAACTACACAAATAATCAATATGAAGCATCGGCGACGAAAGGTCAAGTGTGACCGCAATCTTCCATTCAGCTAGTTAATGTACTCAGGTGTCGCGGGCATGCGCGTACTGAACCAAAGTCCCTTGCCTGTTCTTCAACGGGCCTTGACGAGCACAAATACAGACCGCTTTAGCGGCCCAAATCCCATGAGTTGGCGTCCCTTTGAGGTCCTCCAAGTAGTACCCCCGAGTAACTAGTCGATTCGCAAGCCAACATTTATGGGAAAGATTTGCCAGGAACTTGTGGTGCATCCTAGCATGCGGCAACCATGCCGCCGAGCAATGGAAATGATACCCTGCCTATATTCAGTCATCCTCACTTCATGCTTCAACTAGTAGCAACCCATTAGAATCTCTCAGAAGCACCTGGCACAGTGTTTCTATAATGTCAGTCCTTGAATTCAACACAAATCACACTTAAACTGAGGCAGGTTTTGAATTTCCCCTGAAAACCTTGAACTTGACTACAGCTAACGTACACAGCTTGGTAGAATGGAATTCCTGTTCCATGACCCTATCTGGTGAATATGCCACTGATTATCAAGTGCAGGCAGTCCTCAAAGGAGGTTAAAGCCAGACCCTCAACTGAGAGACGCATGGCTCCGCTGGAACATGTCCTTCGGACGAAATGGCCCCAAGGCAATCTGTGACCGGCTCATATATCCACACATTCGAGCCTGTAATCAGAATTCTTCATATTCCAACGTTCTAACAAGAATGTGGATGTATTGGAATAATCCATTGGATTCAGGCGATATCATTTTGCAAAAGTTACTACTCATCGTAGCGGTTAGAAGAAGAACCGGAAATTCACTCGAAGTCAAACACATTACGCTCGCTTGCGTCTTAGTTGGTATACTGCTCTTAGGGATGGCTCTATCATAAATTCGAAATATCATGCTTCAAGTGTTCTGCCTTTTGTCATTGGCGCGCCAAAAAGGTGTAAAGGCATCGGAATAAGTCTGGATATCGGCAGAATTCCCACGTCGAACTGCAATTAGCTTTGGGCTGCACAAAGGCCCTCATGATACTTTCCCCGGAATGCATGTGCTTGAGGCGGAGATGAGGAAAAGATTATGAGCCACAGTATGGGAGATTTTCAATCCAACTGAGTCTTGATTATGGCATGCCCGCTCCAATTTCTAATGAGGACTTTGACTACCGGCTACCATCGAATCTTAACGACTCCCAGATAGGAAGGCATGAAGACGACTGCGCCTCTATAGATCCTAATGGAGGATTTACCCAAACCACCATCCAGGTCATGCTGACGAAGATGGTACACATACGGCTCAAGCTTATTTGATTACTCAACGCCTTGATGCCTAGCCAGAATTCTCAAGACACTATGCAATTACGCTCCAAATTAGCTGCCGCCATTCGTCCCCACACAGCCACTATCCAACCATATATTTCAGCACCCTCAACAGATACAGTTTTTCACATCCTGACTCATCGGCTCCTTCTTGCGCTCCATGCTCCGTTCGCTGCCAAAGTGAAATCTGACTCATTATTCTATTTCAGAAATTTATTACTGAAATGGCTCTTGTGCTTCTATCCGACACGCGCCTATCGGATAACTCTCCCACTCAAAGGTGCTTAGCTGTGGCAGGCGACTGCCACAACCTGTGTTGAGCTGGTAAATAGTTTGATAGAAGACTCATTTCCGATGACCCATAGCCTTTCCTGCAACATGTTTCAACGAGTTTTACAACTGGCCTCCGAAATTCCCGTACGCCGTATGCACGCAGGGGACACGAATACCGAGGCTTACGTGCGATGTTCCTGTGCGTTATCTGAGGCTGAAACAATTCAGGAAGGGAAAGCAGTGGAATATCATATAACTAGTGGAAGCGGCAAAATCCGGCTTGGGCGTCTGTTGCGCAGTCCTCGGAGAACGTGCCGGATATAATGGTCAACATTTTGATAGACCCCCCACAAGTGACAAGAACACAAACTCCATAGGCAGATTGACGTTTTTACTGATTGGGATTGTATAGTCAATAGACCCTATTTAGCTAAGGCTAACTAGCTAGGTTCCAAACCTGGGGATCGGCCAAATGGCCCAGTTAGAGGAGGGCTACCAGTAACATCAACCATGTCTAGTTATCATGTCAGTGACGGGCCAAAGGCTCGGATGTAGTTGTCGGTTTCCGCTCTCGATTGCCACACATATATAAACCAGGTACTAAATGTCGCCTGTTTTCTATACCCGCAGTGATCACTGATAATACGATCAAACATGGCCAAACATGAGTTTGAATATTCAATAGGCCGTTGAGACTTACCAAGTACAGAGTCATTTTCTTACCAATCATATCCTCCAATTATCTCCTATCCCATCCGAACAAGTAGTAGCAGAGTATCCTTAGATGGGGCTACAATTATTTTGTAATGGATAGCTGCGATCCACGTTAAAGTTTGTTTAAAAATAATTACTCCATAAGCTTAACCTTCAAACTCTGATTATAGTTCGGACAACTCTATAGATATGGGGTTGACCTGTGCAGACTTGTTGTACACACGACTGCGCATGTTGTATCCATATATCAGAAGATATGAGTGAATCCGGCCTCGGGTTCGGCAGGGAGTAGAAAAATGTGGTATTTCTACCGATGCGAACGTATGCAGCCACAAAAGGCAGGAAGAACTAGTTAATGGCGGAGAGATGCATCACTCAACTTGCCTAATAATATGCTCTAATATTGAACAATTGTATTTTTTGTTTCTGTTATCTCTTAATGTGCTCTACTTCTTCCATTGACGTTAATACCAAAGAGCCACTCCTGCGGCCACAATAATTGACATTCCTGCCGACAGGTAGCCAGTTTGGCATACTGTCTTCATTGCAAACCCTTTCCCCATGTCCCAAGCCAGGTGCCTTAGATTATTAAATGTATGAAACATCAAAGGCCAAGCAATGACAAATTTCACCGCAGCCTTCCCAGACCATGGCAAACTAGCCATAGCAGCAGATAGGGACTCTGACGATAGACCCCAGCCAAAGTATGAAGATGCTAGGTAAGATATACCAAAAAGGTAGAGACCACCGGATAGAACAACACCGGTGATCCGCTGGAGTGACGAGTTAACCGACGTCACTTGCCATTTATAAATAGCCAAATGCGGAGAAAGAGGGCGTTTTAGGCGCTGGGCAGCAAGAATTCGATTGCCATCTGCTTTAGTTATGCGTTGAAGCTGACGTTTGCTTGTAGCTGGTGCATGAGAGGTTTGGCTGTAGGATGTTACGAATAGCCCTGTATAGGAGCAGGATTAGAAATGCGGTGACATACTGAATATGCCTTTGGGCGATGCTAAGCTTTGTGCCGGGGGATCGCAGCGCAAGTATATTTTTCATTGGAGTAAGCCTCGAGAATCTGGACACTGCCGACAAGGACGCTGGTAAGTGTTAGCAATCAACCATCACGTAGTTACACGGCGCTTATAGTTTTTACAACACAGAGAAGTAGTTATAGCTGGGAGAGTCATCATACCGCGGGCAAGAAATGGCATTTTTAAAAGTAACGAATGCACGAGCAAGACCAGTGCCGAACAGTAATGTAGCGATGTAATTCGAAGAGAAATCTCTGGTTGTGTCAACACAGGTATCTTTTTTTCCCAACATTATGACTATACAGAGTACTATGCAAAACAAGTATTCCGTCAATACCTCGGAGATTCCGAGGGTTATCCCGTTACTACAGGGCAGTAGATCCTCTTTATCCGGAATTATGCCGGAAAATTCATTTTCGGGTATGGAACAAGACATATAGCATATATATACGCCGTATGATTTTTTGGCTGAATGTATATGTGGCCTACCATCACACGTATTATCATCACAGGTACGGAGTAAGCCGTATCTCATGGATCGACATACATCAGCCCGAATATCTTCACCTTCCACGCTTTATAAGATGGCGGTTAACATTTCGTCTAGTAACTTTGTTACGGCGCTAGCCGCTTCCATCGAAATTCCAGGACAGACACTAACTAAAGACGGTTAGCTGTTAATCTTCTGTTACTAGTGGTTATGTAAGCCCCAACGTCCAATCAGGCGCTGTTGAAGGATTCTGGCTCGACTCTGCGATGTGAGCTTTTGCCTAGTCGCAAGGAACATAATTTGCTTCTCGGAGGGTAAGAGAGCAACTGGATGGTGTATAGAGGGTCGCCTGCACATCCAGCCTCCTCGACAGTGTGCCGTTCACCTTGTACAGCTGCGTCGAAACAGCAACAAAAGAAAATTACGAGGAGAATGTATCGATATAGTCAGGTACTAGAGCTCCCGCCACAACTGTTAGGGGAAAAACGCTGCTCTCGTCTCTAATCATTCCTGTTAATGCCCACAATCTTCAAAAGAACCATCTTCATGCTGTTTCTGCGTCACGAAACAGATCCAGATCGAGCAGACTAATATTCCGTCTATTCGGATTGGATGTGGACCACCCATCCTACCTACGACCGCACCCTCTGCGGATATCTGGCTGTGATCAAATCCTGCTGGTTGAACCGTCCAAGTATCGATCCCGTCTTGCGACATGATAACGGCTTTATGGACAGCAAGTTGCTTGAAAAGAACATGTTTCAGAATTTACCTTACTTCTGGAGACAGGGGAGGTGTTTGGGTTTGAAACGGGCAAGAAGCACGAATCCCGGACTTGCATCAGATCAGCGGTGGATCGTATGATTATATCTGATAGAGAGGGTGGCCAGCCACATCATGACATCAGTCCGTCATCCAACTCAACTCCTAGGCCTTTCTATACGGTGTTTTTGACTATGTATTGCCGCCAGAAGATGCAACAGTAGGTATGTCGCCTAGTCTCTCCGTTTTTGTTTCCGACTTGGTATAAAACCTGCAGGTTAGCCATGCGTAGAATGCTGCATCAGACAGGCCTCTTCGCATAACCAGCTAGGTGTAGCACCTCGGAGTTGGTACGGATTTTGGATCATTCGAATGGGGAATGCTAATTGAGTCTAGAGTATGTACTAGGCACCACCAGTTCATATACTAACACAGTCCTCCGGTTACATATGCATACACCCGAGGCGTTGTCATTTTGTCATGTAACATTGGGATACAAACAAGACCTGCGTTTCAACTTCCGTTAAACCGTTAAACCGCCAAAGCGAAATGTTCCGTGAGATTGTGGGCGAAATGCTCCGCTTATCAGCGAAATTAAGGGAATTACATAATACTTTTCGGGGTTGCTAGTCAATTCCCCAGAGTCGCAACCTTTTTGATGCAAAATCCTCCAAAAATCTCCTATCGACTCGACCAACCCATTCTGGAGCAAGGAGTGCGGAAACACAGTCGCAACATGCAGAAGGTAGTGATTGTGGGCGCAGGCCCTGTTGGCTCGCTGGCTGCTCTTTACGCTGCTATGCGAGGTGATAGCGTTGAGCTCTACGAACTCAGAGGAGGTACGTGTTTTGCAAATCGTCATATACTGCCATCGTTTATATGGCATGAGTATATCTGAATACATTCCACGGTTTCAGAATAGGTGATTTTGACTTGACACCTATCAGTTTATCGGTTTCCCCTTTGCATTTGTTGTTTAATGCTCAATTGCAAAATATATGTCTTCAGTCCTCTTTGATCCATCAATGATTGTTAATTTATTTCCACAATGATTAGATCCGCGGGATGCTTCGACCATCCCGTTAAATTTCACAAAGTCTATCAATCTTGCTATTTCTGAACGTGGCTTGACCGCGATGAGATCCGCCAACCGCCCAGGGTTCATTGATAATGTCTTGAGTGAAGCAATTCCAATGACTGGCCGCATGATCCACGGACGTAGTCCCACGGGAGCCCTATGGGAGGCTTCCCAGGATTATGACGTGCATGGGAGGGTTAGTTAACATGCATACATATACCTTACATGTTTTGAAACTATCAGCTCACTCTTTCCCCTTTCTAGTACATTAATTCAACTGACCGCGGGAAACTCAACACATCCCTACTTAATGAGCTGGAGAAGGAACCAAACGTCAAGCTATTTTTTAACCATAAGCTTACGGGTGCCGATTTCAAGAACAAAAAGGCCTGGTTTGAACAAAAGAACCCCAGTGACAGCCCTGGCTTTAGGTCCACCTCTGGTGATGATAGCAAATCCATCAACGTTACCCGTTCTCCAGAGCTAGAGGTATCATTCGACTTTCTAATAGGGGCTGATGGTGCCCACTCGGCTACGAGGTACCACCTCATGAAATATGCCCGTATGGACTACCAGCAAGAATATATTGACTGTCTATGGTGTGAATTCTGCATTGGGCCCTCCAAGGATAACGAATTTAAGATTTCTCCAAACCATCTGCACATCTGGCCCGGAGGCGACTTTATGTTCATTGCGCTCCCATCCCTTAATAAGACCTTTGTTTGCACGCTTTTCGCCCCCTCTGAGCATTATGCAGCTCTGGAAAGCGATCCCAATATCCTACTTGAGTTCTTTCAGACTCATTTCCCCGGTGTCTCTCCCGAGTTGATTCCGCCAGAGGACCTTATCGAACAGTTCAACACCAACCCTCACCTCCCCTTAATCAGCCTCAAATCTTCTCCCCATCATTTTGGTTCCAGCGCTGTTATAGCTGGTGATGCTGCTCATGCCGTTGTTCCGTTCTATGGTCAGGGGCTTAACGCGGGCCTTGAGGACGTTAGGGTTCTTTTTGAAATCCTGGACAATCACGGAGTGTATTCTGAGTCCAATAAGGGTGATCCACAACGAATAGAGAGCCTTCGTGCAGCTGCCCTGGATGCATATACCCGCCAGCGAGTTCCAGATACCCATGCCATCAATCGCCTCTCTAGAAACAATTTCATCGAAATGAGGGCAGGTGTGAAGTCACCGCTATACCGGATGCGGAAAGCCCTTGAAGAGGCTCTCTATAAGTATTTCCCTGGACTTGGTTGGTCTACCCAATACGCTCGTGTTAGTTTCAGCAACGCGCGCTATTCAGAAGTGGAGAAGGCTACGAAAAGGCAAACAAAAGTACTCACGAGGGCAGTATTAACCACCTTTGTCTCCTCTATTGGCCTCGCTACGATTGGGTTATGGAAGTGGCGATGGTCTAGAGACATTATTATCGAAATGATGCATACAGCAACTCGAATTGCCAGAGGAACAGAACATGTATGAAAAATGAAACATAGTCTTGGTTATTTTGCGCCCCCAGATGATTCTTCGATATATACACATTGTACAACTTTCTTTTTGTGGAGAATCGAATTTAACAGCCACGTTATATAGAGAGATCTAGTTTACAACATATCTAACCCCCAAAATCTGATGATATACTCCATTTCTCATGGCCCTTACCCGTGGTTAAACATGCCATTGGGCCACGTGGTAACGCCCAGCTAAACAGCTAAACAGCCAAACAACACAGATGCATATTCCACCAGCCGCACTATAAAAAAGAGAAGTGAATGAGCAGATTAAATGCTAATGGCAGTCAATGTCAAATGTAATCCGTGTACTTAAAGAACGCTGTGAATGCAACACCATTCGCTGTTCGGTAAAAATATCTAACGCCAGAAGCATTCATGCTAGGCAACAAAAGTTCAATCAAAAGTCATTATTTGGGGTAGGACGAGGAGGAAAGGAACAAAAGCTTTGGTATATATATGCACATATAAGTGTCCATCCCCAATTACTCCCAGAAATAAAACAAGTGGCAAGTGAATGAGATGAGAAAGACAGGGGATAAATGATAGGGATACCCAGATGTGTGGTAGGATCGGGGCCATTGGGTAATCCCCGAAAACGGCTTCCAGGAAGAAAACGGTAAAACGTCCATTTCCGGCTCCTAGATGGTATGAAATGATTTGAACTCCCAGTGTGGTGAAATTTCCCATCGATTGCAATAACATTCGAGAAAGAAATGAGAAAAAAAAAGCTGATAGTTCGGGAAAATCTTGCCTTACAACGGGCAATGGATGGCTTTCATGAAACCGATACTTCATGGAAAAAAAATGGGTAATTAACTGTCATAACGAGTAGGGAAAAGTGACTTCGTATAGCATACGACCAGCCGCGTACCCATTTAAAAGAAACTAGGAGTATGATTCCGTCGCTCATGGATTTGCCTTTCTGTTCGGGAATACAAGAAATCAAAATATTCCATCGCAGGGGCGTCCTTGAGTATTTTAGCGACCTGTGTTCCGGCGGATATAAGTTGTAAAATATTTCGATCATCCCTCAGTGGGCGCGACTGGTTCTTTGCTGTATGGCGCATTTCCAGGGAGTTTTCGAGCACAGTGATGAACTGCTTTATTTGGCCATCATATAAAACGCGCGCAGGAATACGGCGTTTTGTCGCAAGTCTTCTAAGCAAGTGGACCCATTCGGTCCATTCACGGTCTTCTGGGGTTCTTACTTCTGACTTCTCAGGTTCCAGAGGGATTGGGAACTGGTATTTGGCAACAAAGTCAAAGGCGCACCGGGATAGGCGGTCGTTGATATCACACAAAATTTTCACTTGCTCTTGTACATTCAATGAAGTAGGAAGATGTGGCAGGTCCTTCTCCGGGATTTCGGTGGCTGCTGGGCCTGGGCTTGGCATCCTGAGCAGCTGTGTAGGTCCGTCAAACTCATCTCTGTTTCCGGGCTTTCGCCTCAAATGGAATCTTGGGATGGAGTCCACATGTTCCTGATTGTTCATCTTCTTCATACGCCCCATAGAATGATCAGACTCCAAAGAAAGGGGCATTCCAGGGTCAGATAACCTGGAATTATGATAAGACATGAACGGATCTTTCGAACCGTTACTAGAGCTTTGTCGGGGCAGCTCGCCAATTGGTTCCAGGGCCATTGGCGGGTGGATAGTGGAGTATCGATCGTATGTCGAAGGTGGAGTGGTGACCATACCTCGAGCCGAAAACACATCGAGCGGCCTACCAGGCCCGGGCTGCTGCCTCTCTGGAGAGGATAACTCTCCATGCTCTCGGGGTGAAATGTCCCATGGTGGTGAAATTCTAGCTCCATTAATAATCCCGACATTTAGTTACACTCATTGTATGATGCCAGTTCATATAATTTTTGGTCCGTACCTTGCGTTTCGTATCTCTGGTGGCCATGGTAGGTCTGAGTAACAGGGGATTTCGCGCTCTCTGTTTAACAAACTAGGACTGTTCGAATTGAATGAGTTTGAATTCCGATAAGCTCGTTGCCAGGTTGTTCCAATGGGGAGCTCCAGGACTAACCTTCGAAAAGGGAATGTGGCCGCATTGTTCCTTGGGGGATAGAACATTGAATCGCTCTCCCTAAGGCTGCCTGGGGATAGAGGAATGCTTCCTGGATATGCCATTCTCTGGAGAGGCACAAGTAACGGTATCACGCCAAACCCGGCGAGCCATGCAAGGGCTATAAAAAGGAATGGGAAGTAATTCTATATAGATTGTCGAACGCCTGTACCGAGCTAAAGAAAGGGAAAAAAAAGAAACACAGGAGAGAAAAGGCTCGAATCTAGATAGAATCTTAATGTTTACACCGCTAATTCGCGGAGTTGGGCCAGGAAGAGGCGTGAAAAGCCATCGGGGGTAGTAAGGCAGCGGGTATGAAAGTAATTAATCCCTTTATCTGTAAGAGGAAGGGTAAGGATCGTTATTATTGTTTTCCCACGGCTTGGGCTGGGGGGAAAAGCTATGAGGAGTATAGCTCGGAGAGAGAGAGCAGACGGCTCCACGTACACGTCTTTCGTCTCACTATTTTTCTTTTCGTGGGCATTATGAACCTATAAATCCCGGATTAGGGCCTTGCAGGTTGACACGACCCAAACTCAAAAAATACGCCCCGCACCACGAGAATGCGCCATCTGGTTTTGAAAAGTCGATGACTGAATTTCGATCGAGGAGGCGGATGCAAATGAACAAGGAAACCAGCATCACATGGCCAAATGGGAGCTGTAGGGAGCGGTATTTGGGCATCAAAAAGTGTGGGCGGAGAGGGTCAGCCTGCTTGACAGCCAATGCCATGTTCAGCAAAGCCGTTTCTCTCATTCACTGTATTCTGGGCCTATGGACCAGGAGATGTAAACTCCTAGTGGTCGCCGTGAAATAGCTTGTAAATGCAGAGTCCCGTCCTTCTCATTGAGCTGTCCCTTGCTAGGTAGGTTTAGCCCCTTGGAGACAAGACTCAAACATGGAGAAAAGCAAGGGATGCTCATAAAACCGTTGGCTGCCGGGCGAATCCTACCTGCACGCAACCCAGGTTGCACATAATCTGTGAATGCAGTGAAGCATCGAGCGACGCAAGCCCACAGCCTATAGAGATTGGGCTCTTCTCGGTCCGTATCCATTATGGGGTTAGGGAGATAGGCGATAGACCACCAATGTTAGATCTGGACGGCAATGAAACCCCTGGATCTGCGAGGGTGGTGCTCATCCGCACAAGAATTAGCACGCTGTTTATCGGGGGGAAGTTGGGCATTGACGCACATCCACATCACTCGCGTTGCGTTGCGGCCCAATTTTTTTTGTTGCCGGCGCAGAGCCAAACTAAACTACTGCATGGTCCCGTTGAAGCGATATGCCTGCTCTGTTGGCATTCTGCTAGTGGCCTGTCAGTGAAAAAGACGAAATCTGGCCTGTACAGCTGCAGTTGGTGCGAGGAGGAAGGTCCAACAACGTTGTGCAGTTGACTCGTATCACGGTTCCACCTGACTGTGGGGGGATATTTCGGGCGGTTAGTCGCCCTCGAGCAGCTTTGGGTACGATGCGAATGGATGCTACTGCTGAGCTCTGCTGGTAATAGTAACAATAACTTTTCTAAGGCGGATTTCTGATTCTTCCATACTCCGTACTCCCGTCGGCCAGGTTCGTGATCCGGTCCTGAATATCATATAGAAATGTAATATAGACAACCACATGAGCTAGAATTCCAGGCTAAAGACCATCAAGGTACATCTGGGAACCTGCAGGTCTTCAATGTGGCAGAGACCGGCCCGGCTGTTTACGTAGACATATTAACGAATGGCTTGTCGATTCTCTTCGGCTGGTTGTTTCACTGCCCAGGCGCAAACCTTTTGGTGTAAAGATACTTTTGTATCATCCAGCTTTACCTCCCAACGGGTACGCGCTGCTTCAGACACCTCTTTCACGTCGTCCGGAGGCAATTGATGGCACATCAGGATGCATTATTCCGTTCAGTTATGGCCTCTCTTGACAGATAGCTTCTTCGAGTCTTCGGCCGATAACTAAACTCTTCACCAGCCCAACGAGAGCAGGACCTGCAGCTTCCAGAGCCTGACTCCTAGGATAGCCTACTCCGTTGATCGACTTCCCCGGCAAGTTGAGTCGCATCCCCTGCTCGGTACTCTATGTACTTATATATACCAATCCTTCCTGCAGGACGTCCTTCTTTCGCCTCACTCTGAGCTGCAGGCCACGGCTATCTTGTTGGCCTAGGCTTTTTTCGAATTTGACTGCCGGGAACCAGCTCTCCCTGTTCATGAGAATGTGGGATGAAGAAAGCCTGCAGGGATGTGATACTTTTCTGGTTATTTATATCAACATCGAGTTGTTCATGGAGATGTTTGATTTGAGGTTTAACCAGCAAAAATGCTCACTGGTCACGTGGACCATCAACTTCCAACGACGATTACATTTTTGCGCCAGCGTTCGATCGATCGATTTCACATTGTGGGTTGCTGCTGATAGTTAAATTGTGAGGCTGTGCTCGAAGTTCTGTTGAACTGGACAAACGCGCGAATCTAGTACGGGAAGCAAAGGGACTATGGTAGGTATCACAGCCTCCCACCGTTTTAGAGGGCCAGGGAGAACGAACGGTATCGTTAGCAAGGGATGCAGGAAGTGGCTTAGTTGTCGAGATGAATATTGTGAAAAAAAAAAAAACGAAAGATTCGCTAGGAGTAAAGAGGGGAAATGCCATTTCTAGCCCTTTGCTATCCAGGTCACTATAAAGGCGGCAATACGACGAGCAATGGCCCTATAAGCGCCGGTAATGGTCCTACATAGGATGCGTTTCATCGATTATACATGATATAGGAGTGTAACTGTGTCGAAATGGAACAAGACTACCTCCACGGCCAACCGATAGACGTGTTATCTACACAGGTGTTGGGTGGCAGCTTCAATTGCTACCTGGCGGTGGTGAAAGCCAATAAAACTGGGCAGAAGCAAGTTGGAGACTGAGAGATTGCATGGTTTAAACGGTAGGATCAGCGAGGAATGTTGCATCGCCGAGTGTAATGCCTATTATTTGACACTTCGAATTGCCCTTGTGAAGCTCTGGTAGAAGTTGCTTCTCAGCATATACAGAAGGTTGTAATAAGGTCGTTTACACCAATCTCGGGCCTTCCCAAGTATATTAATCCAAGATTCCGTGCCGTTACCATGAGATGGAGTCTGGCTTAATGGTTGAATAATCAACGAACAACGAAATACAAGGCATATGCAAGAAGAGCAGTCAGAGAGTGATATACGTTCATTCATTAATTGTAACTATGTAGGTGCGGGCATGGGGGTATATGATAAACAGGCTATGAAATGGACATGCAGAAAAGACAGGTAACAAACGCTCCAACGCTCCAGCCTGCAAAACCAAACCAAGTAAAGCCCTATGGCACAGCGTGTCCTGAGTCTTTCTCTTTATAGGCGTCGATGACATTGGCTGCCACCTCCTCGTTGAAAACATCAACCTGGGTAGATGCAAATTTCCTAGCACTAATCTTACGCTCAAATAGGACGTCTAACTCTGCAAAAGAACGACCCTGTGGTTCAGGTAGACGGAAAAAGGTATAGACGACACAGCAGAAGCAGACACCCCCCCAGAAGAAGCCAGCATAATTACCCCAGTTCCAGGCACTAGGATTGACCATGAACGGGGTCAAAACATTACAGATAATGGCGACAATGTTGTACAAGTTTCGGCCTAGCACGACAGTCTTTATTTGTAGTCTTCGGGTTGAGAGCTCCGAGACGAGGGAATAGCAGACTGTGCCGACGGAGAGCTGGTAGATCAGAGCCCAGACTATCATCATGCTCCCAGTAGCAAGGGATCCCGCGTTTCTGTGTGACTGTGGCACCAGGCCGAGAAAGCCCATAACCATCAGCATAGCGCAGAGCCCACATAACCCGGCAAGATAGAGAGTTCTCCGGCCAATCCCTAGAGTCATTAGGCTCCAAGCACCAAAGACCCCAACCATGTTAATTGCGTATTGTCCCATAGCAAACGAATAAGCATGCGAAGGTGATAATCCTGCCTGTTCTAGGAAATAGGTTGAATAATTAGAGAAGGAGTTTCCGCTAAGATTCTGCATCGCCCAGGCCATGCATACGATTTCCGTTCGCCGAAGGTCTGTTCCCTTGAAACAGTCCCAGTAGGTGGCTCCACGTGTAATGTTAGCCTCTAACGCGGTTGTATGAAGCATCATGGCTATGGTCTCGTCAGCGTTAAAACCCGTCTCATCATTCCGACTAGTCAGCCGGAGAAGAGAGCGTTTGGCATCTGCGATGCGGCCTTTCCTAACCAACCACCATGGCGATTCCGGGGCCATGTAGATTGCAATTGCAAGCGGTAGTGGCCACATCCACTGTAGCGCATAAGGTATTCTGAAAGACCATTCGTCTTCTCGATTTAACATTGACCTAATCACTCCAATACCGATAAACTGCCCAAGACCCCAGCAAAAGTTGACATACGTCGTTAGATAACCACGCAACGCAACAGGGCACACCTCAGAGGCATAGGTGATTGTCAGAGTCTGGAATACGCCCCACGGAAGACCACACAGAATTTCACCGGCAAGGAGAGTTTGTACATTTTGCGCAGTGAAGAAGAGCGAAATAAAGGCAGCCAACCAAGCGAGGGATCCCAGTATCGTCCAACGATAACCAAAACGTTCCGAGAACCATCCGTTCAGGAATAGCCCGAATATCTCTCCAACAGCAGCACCGTTACTGAGGCCAGCTTGCCACTAGAGAAGGCGAATGGTGGTCAGTATATTGGCTTCCAATTATGTACGTTCAAAGGGTACTCTGACGAACATACTGGTGCTGGAACTTGATAGGAACCATCTTCCAATTGTACTCCAAACTTTTCATTGAATTGCTTGAAAGCGTAGAAGTTGCTTATCAGGCTGATATCGTACCCTTCCATGACAATACTGGTGGAAATCAAAATGCTCCATGCGACCGCCTTTGGATAGAGCCTTATCCCCTGTAGCAGCGTCATTTTGTGCTCCTTATCCGTTGCCGCCTTTGCATTCAGGAAGAGATCAGCTGTCGCCGCATTGTCACTATCACTCTCTGACCCGGACGCCCGAACAGCATTAACGCCAGCTAAGTCAATTCCTTTCTCAGACGCCATCTCAGCATAAGAATGGTCTATCTGGAGACCTCACGAGCAGGTTTAATATGACCGCGATGCACGACCTCAGGGGTCTTCGCCTTAGCCGAGAGGGGGCAGGTGTGTTTCGAAGGAACCGATATTCTTCAAGCCGGCACCAGGAAGGTGGTATTCGTATATATGTTTAATGTTCAACCACGCCACTGCTATCCTTGAACCGGATTTGAAAAATAAAGGGCCACGCGAGCGCAACTTGAGTGGAGGGTCCTGGAGAGCTTTATATACATGGAACCGTTAGCTCGTTGGGTGGGGAAAACTTTGGCCGCGCTTGGTGGAAATACGAAGGGGATAATATTCAAATCATCAGACCAGACTCGGCGGAAGGGATGTAAGAGAGAACATTCTCGAGTTGTCCTTCGTCCATATCACTGAGGCTCCGGATATGATCTCGACTCGTGCCCACTGAATGTTTTTTTCCTTTTAATTTCGGGTTCTCGTAGTCGCAGCCCTTTGGCTTTCTTGAGGTGGAGGGAAAAAAGTTCCGCCAATCAAACGTTTGTAAGCCCAGACCAAAAAGCCAATTGCCGAAGTCGTTTGGAGGATGTATAGATGGAGAAGGGCTGGATGGGAAGAGTTGTGCTTTGGGGTTGAATCTTGCTTCAGGCTGTTTGGATGGATCGTGTGCCTCCTTATGTAAATCGTGCAACTTCTTTCTGTCGTTATGTCTACCTGTCCCCGTCTTATAAAGAGGAAACCATGGAAAAGTGCAGCGCATAATTAGTCTGACCGTAGATGATATATAAAGATGTGGCATACTCCGGGAGAGAGATATAATAGTACATTCAACTGAAAGGGTGGATCAAGTGATCTATATACACAATCCATCAACTCCATTCCCATGCCAGAAAGAAACCATGGCGTATGATACAACCCACCTAAACAGCACGACAGAGAACTAACCCTCCTATTTTCTTCTCCACACACTGCCGGGACTCTAGTATTCCACGATCTGTGCTAAGGAACAGGCATTCACCAGGGTTCCTCAACCCAGCGATTGTGTGGCTTTTTGACCCTCTGATAATATCCCGTAGAGCCTCCGTATCCACGTATATCCGCCGCGTGGGTTTGCTGACCATTGATAGTTTGCTGAGGACCGGCTGACTTTGCCAGTACTTAAGTCCTAGCCATAGCCTTCTTGACGCAATGTTGGCTTGGGTAATTGGCTCGATGGGCTCTAGCTCATCGTTGACTGCAGGCGTATTCAATAAAGGGTGTAGTGGCGGTGGAGACGGCCCGCCCCGAACGACAGACGATATGAATCCAGCTTCGACAAGGGCATTCGAAAGGGCGAGATGGAGGTTTGAATTCGGAATGGACGTCAGAGCCAATCGAGCCTTGCTGGCATTTGAAAGGTGTGAGCAGACGTGTGCGAGATTGACGAGCGACATCGTTAATTAAATGGTCCGCAATGTGGCGGTCTCCGGAGAAAAAGAAGAAGAAACACTGATTTCTTCGGCGGCCAGTCGTGCCCTTCAAATCTCAAATAGCGATTATGAATAAATTATGTCGACTAGGGCAAACAGCTTCGGCAACGTCCTAAAGCCCTGCGAGTCAGGCTCCAGGTCAGTAATTGTGCTTTATGCATGAGTGTCACATCAAATCCCTTACCTTGAAGCTGCAATTGGCAGAGGTATCTCCCGTCGTGCCGCTGTGTTTTTCTGTCGTCCTTCTTCTCCCTCGTTCAACTTCCATCCTTGAATCCAAGAAACAAATTTGAGATCGACGGAATTTTATTTCCCCGTTAATCCGAATAACCTTATGACTAATAATTGACTAATCATGCAATTAGGCGCTGGAGTTTGGATTACGTCTTCTGATTGGCTAGAGAGGTCTTGCTGCGCAAACGAGGGTTGGTTAAGGCAACGAAAAGGAGAAGAAGAAACCAGCAAAGAAAAAAAAGACAAGATTCTCTCGCTCTCCCTTTTGCTGTTTCTTCCCTCTTTACTCCTTAGCCTTGCTGTCTGTCCTGATAGCTGTGCTATGGGAAGCTCTGTTTTTCAGTGACTATCACCTCCAGGCAGACCATCTACTAGCTGAATCCCAGAAAATGCCTCCCCTCCCAGGTGAAGAACGGCTCCTGACCTTGTGGGTGACCAAAGAAACTGCTTGAAAGAGATGATAGGAAATCGTTACTGATGCTAGACTAGGTTTGCGGATGTTCATTACTATTTCACTGCCCCATCCCCGCATCCTTCGCATCATCGATTCGATAAGGGATCATACCTCTACGTCTATCATAACCCTATTCAGGGGGGATCGAGGATTGAGATTGCAAATAACCCGGGGACCCGGGATCAGGACGCCTTTAACGGCTGTAGGTTGCCTATTTTATATATATATATATGAGCAGGTTTAGAGTTCCGGTTCATGCTCTGACCGTTAGCAGCCTTAACGTCCATCCACCTACGCACCTCGGATACCTTCCCAACTCTCTTCACACTTACGGTAGATGGATGTCAAAACAGTATGGGTGGGCACCCTTCAGCCCATAGTGGTAGTGAGCATGAGTGGCGCTTAGGATGGATGAATCCAGCGGATAGGAGCATGTCGTATTTCCGTTTACATACCCTCGATCTATATTTCTGGACCTTGGACGATGCAAGACAGTTTCTAGCTACTGTGAAAAGGCTATTAGCCCCTAACCAACTGGAGAATATACAGCAAATTCAACCATCCATCTCTCAGCATGCCCCAATGAGCGCTGTGGTACAAAATTTGGAGAAGGTCGCAATATCGGACCCTGGCTACCAGCAGATTAAAACGGAATCATCTCCTGGTGGATTTGGTACCATAAATAACATCCCTCCTCCTCCACCTCCGCTACCTCCAGCTATGCAGCCAACACCTCCTACACTACCCGCCAATGTGCAGGTTGTGACCCAGCCTGTCAGCCCGATAGATGAGACCACACCCCAAACCTCGTCTGCCCCTGGAAAGGAAGACGCACCTACAGCATACGCACCCCTTCCTTATAATCCCGCAGCTCCCCCGGCTCCAGAGCCTATAAAGCACCGTGAGGCGACACCCCCGCCACCGGATGCTGCTGTGGGTACCGGACTTTCTTCACCTGGCATGGGAATGACATTTACACAGCCCCATACGGGTGAAATTGAGAGTCCCCAACCTATTCAGCCTCATGGTGTAGGGAATGTCAACAATGCCAATATGCAGCCTCGCAATGTTTCAGGTCAACAAAGTTCATACTCACCCGCGCCTTCAAGTATTCATCAGCAGCCATATACCCCAGGTCAGCCTCCACCCGGTGGCATGACATTTGGACCTCCCCCAACTGTTGCTAGCGCCCCCCCAAACCCTCCTCCAACTACCACAGCCAGCCATCGTGGAAGCTACGGTTCAACCTTCGCACCGCCTCCACAAGATCCCAATGCACACTTATATGGCCAACAAAGTTTCGGATCGCCGCCCGTGAATCAATTTACACAACCTCTAGCCCAAAATCAGGTCCATCTTGCCCGGCGTGAATCACAAGCTTCTCAGCACTCTGCCGGTGGATACGCATATAACTACCCACAACACCAGCAACAACACCAACAACAACACCAACAGCAGCAGCAGCCTGGACAGAATGAATATGCTATACATAATCAGGTGTATATTCCCCCAGGATCAAACCAGGCCCCACCGCTAAATAGGAATGAACCTCCCAAATACGGTAAACTTGGCAGTAGTGCAATGCGTATGGAGAAGGGAGTGAACAAGCTCTTCAAAAAATTGGAAAACAGAATATAACCAATAGGAATATGTGGTTTGAGATGACGTTACTATCTTTGGTGACATATGGCTGATATTCTATTACAACCCACGATTACTTACCTCCAATCCTATTTTGCGTTTTGTCTTTTTAAGGCATTCATCCAGCAAGCGTGTTAATTTAAATGAATATTTTTGGGGGAATAAATATTCCTTGTCTAAGCTTATCATCGCAGATACTCCCGTTGCTAATCCTAGCAAATACCTTTGTCATCCTACATATCGATAATTAACATTCTGCCTATTTTCATTACAAGAGCGCCGCAACGGCCAGATCTCAAGCGACAAGGCAGGCGATATATTACGCAGTAGAGGGGCTTATAGCCCTTCCGCCAATGGTGGCGGCAATCAAAGCAAGCCGCGTGGTCTCGTATACACCGGGCAAGGGGGCTGTGGTAATCCTTCGAGAAACATTTTGCGGCTGAGCGCTTAGCTGGATCATAAAAGTATAACTGTTTGATCGGGAGAGTTATATAGATCACACAATGGCACCTGTTCTCAATAATGATTTCACTGACATTTAAAAGAACTAAGAGAAGTGATTAATATTTTATCAAAAAAAGCTATATTAATCCACTTAACCAACTAGTTATATAAAATATCACATCAGGTACAGTAGCCCTTATCCAATAGGGGGAGAGGGGTCTTTCAATCATAAACTAATTGAAGCAGGTCACAATCCTATCAACACTATTAAAATAGCTGCATTTATTGGCGGTACGATCATATTTAGCCGATTAACGAGCAATTGGATATCAAAATGTGCTTCTCGTCCAAAGACCGCGAGTACGCACCACCCCCGCAGAAACGAAAAGAATATTATCGAAAGACCAGCCAGAGCTATCCTAAGAAAAAGCGCAAACACCATGATACTTTCTTCGACGGTGGAGGATATAGTGATGGCGGGGGCGGGGGTGGTGGTGATGGCGGGGGTGGTGGCGGCGGTGATGGAGGCGGTGGTGGAGGTGGTGGAGGTGGATGTTGACAGAGTCCATTTTATATTCATGTATAGATTCCATTTAATGTCCAAAGGCGACTTTGATATAATAGGAGGAGAAATGCCAGGTCTGTGTTTAGGCTGGCTGGCTAATAATGTGTACATGATGTGTATATTGGGGTAGCAAATAGGGTAACCAATTGTTAATAAATACGACTATACCATAATCTGAATGGCTGGGAACGCGAGAACACTTCTGTGCCGTTATACAAAATCTAAAACACGTAGAAAAAAAAGGAATTGGTGTATATGCTAGTCACTAAGTCATCAATCGTATTCAAAGGGGTATACAGATGTAGCAACGCCATTATTGCTGAGGCGTAGTTGCATCTAGTGGTTGCTTCTGCGACGCAACAGTACTTTTGCTTTGGTTCTGGAGCTTCAGGGGTTGTCTATTAGGGTCGACAACATGGAACTGATGCCACGAGCTACACGGAATTGTTAGCACTCTCATAGACAAAATGGCCAGGATAGATGGGATAGCCAAACTTACTCGGGAGCGTAAAGGACATATCGCGCCATTGCTTCCCGGAAGCGACTCTTGTACTCTTTAGGGCTGGTGACTGTGGGCCGGTTTTTACCACCTCCAGCAAATCCTCGATCTTTGATCCAAGACTCCAACTTCTTGTCCCACGTATACGTTCGAATGCAGTCGATAATACCAACCACAATTTCTTGCTTGTTCTCATCGATAGCGATCATAAGAGAATAGTCCATGACATTCTGCCGTGCAAGGAATAGGGTGTCATTCCAAACACTCTGGCTAAGCAGCTTCTTTGAATGCTCTCTGGTGAATAGCGGGCTTTCATAGATGAACTCCACCATATTTTCATCAAGTAGAACTTCGTTTCGTTCTCCAGTGCTCTGAACTTTGCGGTTGCGCATGGACCCCTTGAGGTCAAATATTCGAGTTGGTGTACGGTCGTAGAACAGATTCTCCATAATAAGCAAAAACCAGTTGAATTCTACCCCTGTTGTCGGATTCTTTATGATTACTTGATAAAATCCAAACATTTTTGCGATCACGGATGGAAGTTCATGGAATAGGGCCTCGGACATAATCTGGAAGTAATCTGGTGCAAATTTCAAGAAGGCTTGGGTTTCTATGGTCGAGAGTGATTTCAGAATAAACCGGTCATCCAGCGTCTTGAGGAAGAGAGATTTTGTCTTGCCGCCCTTGGAATCCCATTTCATGCACCGAGATAACGATTCGACGATGCGATCTGCTACACCACATTTCCTGCGAAGAGCATCAAACTGCTCAGCAAAGAATACTTTGCAAAGCATTTTGGCTTGACCTTCCTGAAACTGGTATTTTAGATGCGTACCCGTGCTTCGAAGCAACGATTGTTCAACTTCAGGTTCAGTGCCAACGTTTACGGGATCGCCTGCCTCATTCTGCTCTTGGATACTTCTTAGCTTTTGTTGGTAATCCTCAGAGTTTAAGGCAAAGGCAATTAATGAACTTGGTTCGTCTTCTCTGACAATGATATCACAATCCGCAAAGACATGATCAGAATCATTTAGTGGATAATCTAACGGAGCCCACCCACTTGCAGAACGCTCAGCCCAGAAGTTTGTGAGCATCTTGACTAAGGAAGTTCGCTCGTGTTTTGGAAGTTCTTTGAGATCCAAAGGAATCTCATCTGGAGATAACGGAGCAGCATCGTCGTTTGGTTCAATGTTCCGATCGTCGTCTAAAAAGGTCTTTTCACCATCACTATGTTCGTCTTCGCCTTCTCCTCCAGAAAGGGTTTTCTCATTTTGGTCACCCTCACGCAAGTTTTCATCAGGTATCTGGGGTTCCTGGGTACTTTTATCAGGGGTATGAGGCCTAGCAGCTGGTGGCTCAACGCTTTTGGTAGACTCTGTTGCAGGAACTACGGGTTCCTTTGGTACTATCGCTATGGGTGCAATGGATGGAAATTCTTCGTCCCCAGGCTCACGTTCTTCCACTGCATCCCTAACGTTTTTGTACACCTCAACAATTGGTTTGGAGGACGCCATTGGATAGGCGCGAGATTGTTTACCTTGTGCAGCTCGCCGATGATTCTGAATAATTCGTTCCTTTTGGAATTCTAGACTTAACTCCTCAAAATGGCGAGTGAGGTAAGATACATGCGAGTTTTTCTTCGCAACTGAACGAGGTATTAAAGAAGGGCCAGTAGTTAATTTGGGAGATTTTAAACCCGCTAGTCTCAGCCGATCTGAAAAACGCTGTCTTTTAGACGCAAAAGTTCCCTTGTTGATTTCAGGTGCTCTTTCGCCGGTGGATTTTGGGAACTTATCTTGGGACAACGTTGGATGGGAGAGCTGTTGCTGTAGATGTGCTGGCTGTGATTGTGCTCTCATTAGGGGAGGAGACTTTGCCCTGAAGCTGTGATTGAGTCCTCTATCACGGGGACGCGGCAAGCCAGATGGACGTCGGATAGAATCTGGGGCATCCTGACCATTTGGAGTACTTTCAGCACTCCGATGAAGCTCATTTGGAATCTCTTGTTCATTCTCTGAGGGGTTTACGGGTTCAGCGCCAGGAGCTGGGTCAGATGAATTCTTATCGGCATCATCTGGCTTCGCCTTTGGGGGTGACAATTTTTCTACCAAATTTGATGGGATGGCTAAATCCAAATGCCGAAACTCGGTTTCAGATGCGATTATGGGTTTCAAAGGTGATGAGTCACCAGCATGTTGGGAATCAGTGCCTCGTGTTGGGGTTTGAGGATTGAGCTCTTCAATTTCAGTTTGCTTCATCGGCTTCGTTGTATGCTCTTCCACCACAGAAGCTAACATATTCTTCGCTTCTTGTGGAGATAATGTCATCCTTCTAGTTAGACGCGGAGAGCCGGAAGGTGTTGCCACGTCCTCTTCTGTTTCCGCCGTTGTCGCCCCGGAATCTTCACTTGTTAGCGATGTGACTGATACATCTCTATCGAGAAATATTTTCTTCAATTGCAATGTCGCCAATCGTCTGATATCTTTCTCTGAAGGGAAATAATTTCGTTCAAACTCAGCAAATATTGCATCCCATTCAACGACCTTTTCTTGGGTTGAGATAATAACGGTGTTCAAGGGGATGACTTCCCAATATCGAGTGTTCATGTACCGTGCTTGATGTTGCTTGATGAGGGCAGCATGATCGTCGTTGGCTCGCTTGTTGAGTGCTTCAACTTCTTGTTGGCAGGCTTGTGCAATTTCAGGCATAACACTATCAACATTTATGGATTTAAGACGTGCTTTGACAGACGCCATAAACTTATTCACCCGCTTTTCTGCAGCGATGTAAACTTCATTGCGGACTCTTAGAGCTTTATCCACTTTCCAGGTAACCCTTGGACGAGGTACAATGATTTCCAACAGATTGATAGGGTCGTAATGTATCCGGAGGGCCATGTCCTTGAACCCAAAATATCTTAGGTGGTCCCGATGTAGATCATGAGGGCAAACGCCAGCTCGAGCATGTAAGTCGGCACTGGAGAATGAGAGCTCTAGATATTTCCCGAATGAATATCTCCAGGTACTATCTGACATTGGCATAGCTGGAGTCTCATTACCACACTTCTTGCAGCAACTCCACATTAAAATGGTATCCTGAAGACCACGAAGTTTTGATGGATATGGCTGAACGAATACGCTAACCTGTGCCTCGCCGTGGACGTATTGACGGTGATGGTCGAACATTCGTTCCTCACAACCATTCACTGTGCAAACAGCGTTAGCACTATGGCATAGATCTTCAACGTATTGTCCAAGTGTGCAGTCCGCTTCAAAAATTTTATCACTATCATATTGGTTATAGAATCCAAGTGCAAATGTATCAGGGCCAGAGCAGGGAATCGAAGTTTTTGTACAGACTAAGCTATACAATACCACGATATTTTGGTGGGCATATGGGTCAAAGAGGTTGATATTGCCCGATATATATGCCTCCCACTGCCTTTTTTGAGTTTGATAGTGATGTAATGCTCTGTCATATTCAGCATCATGAACGGCATGAATTACTTCCTTGACTTTACTAGATGCACCGGACAGAGGTTCATGTATCATCTCTGGTGTGATTAGGAAAAATTTTTCTGACTTTGATTTCTCATCCAAGGTAGGCTCCTGGGAGAAATCTTGGTCACGAAGGCGTTTGAGATAGGCGAGTTGACGTTCTAACTCTCTCGCGCGCATGAGGAGGTAAGGTTGATGGAACTTCACAAAAGGAGATGCAGATAAAATTTTAACCTGATGTTTCTCAACCATATCCTCGTAGAAAGCTGGGGCAGGAACATCAGCATCGTCTGATTGCACCTGTGTAGGCGCAACATCCATCGATTTCTCAGCTATTGACAATTCGTTGTCAGAGCTTTCGATCCTTGTTACGGGAGTGCCAGCGGCTTCATCCTCTGCAGTACAAGAAGCAACGTTATTGGCCGGCCGTGAATCGGGTTGTTGTAAACTCTTTTGCCCAGATCCAGTCAATGTAGAAGGAGAGGATGGGATTTTCGCAAATTCATCCCTCATTAAGCAGGTTTCAAGTTTCAGGTTGTATACAACGTAGACCATAAACTCTGTAATCCGCTTTATCTTCATGAGAACATCGTTATTAGCCCCACGAAGGACTATAGTGCAGCCTAATTCCTTCGGACAGCCAGAGATGTACATGTACGTTTTCTTCCGGTTTCCATAAACATATGTTTTAAGGTCAAAGCTCCCGCAATAACCAGTATATGACAGAGACGCAGCCAGACGATCCATGGAAGTTATAATTCTCGTTTGTGTGCAACGCGAGACAGCCTCCACGACTGATTCTTTGACGTTACAGACCGTAGCTATGTTCGCTTTTTCTAGCAATTGAAGAGCCAAACCAGATACATGTTTTGTAACCAGCAGTAAATTAGGACTCAAGGCTGCTATTCTGTTAACAAGATTTTCAAGGAACTCCCTTTCTTGACGAATAACAGGCTCTAGGCTCATGAAGTGCTGTTGTTGACGTGCATACTCCAGGGCAAATGTAACAATCAAAATTCTGGGTTGCGAGATGTTTCTCGGCATGCTTTTCAAGGCCAAATTCTTTGTAAATACCAGACCGGAGACGTATGCTGTATCGCTAGGGCGCCCCCCTGGGATCTTTTTCAATTTAACATAATGCCGAATATCCATATCATCACCACGTTGTACATCAGGCTCGACATCATCTGTGGCTTTTAACAGGATTGGAAGAAGTGCAGTTTCCCAACTTTGGAAATTTGGTACCGATGTATCCCGTAATTGCTGGCGCAGGAGTTTGCGTACATGATCTAAACTGGCCTTATTGAGCTCAATTGCTGGTGCCCCGGCACCTCTCATAGAGGCGCTCCTTGTCATTTTAAACCCATTGGTTGCGGGGTTTGTAGGAATAGCAAACGTAGGGGCGCTAAGGTCATGTATATGGCGTAGAGATGGGTTTTCCTTTGAATTTCGGGGAGATAGTCTTTGGTGAACACTGCTTGCAACACTCAAATTCCTCCTTCTTGCCGAACGTGGCAGGTTAACAGCCCGAGAGCTGCTGATGCTCCCATCATCTCCGTCACGAGAAAGGTACAATCCACTCTTGTCACCAAAACGAGAGCGCCCCTTTTTAACGGCAGCAAGAAATCCGCCAAAGGCGGCTTTTTCACTATCTCCGCCACTTCGGGACAGCGCACCTTCACCAACAACTGAAAATAAATTAGGTTGGTCGTCTTCGCTTGAAGCGTCATCGGAGAGGTACTGGGCTAAGTCCGGGTCGATAATACTATCTCGATGAAACGCGGGTAGTTTGTCACCAACTACATCATCTCCAAAACGCCGTTGGAATGGTGCTCTCTCATCATGATAGGGCTTGAAGTTGCGAATATATTGCGTCCTTGAATGGTGCCTTTTGTGTGGAACGGAATGAGACCTACTCAGCCCTGATTTTATCGACTTAGATGAGGTCGGCCGTGCAAGCTGACGGTCTGAGTCAATCTCTAGAATAGCCGAGCGCCTGTGGTTCCCATCTCCCGTACGTCGTGTTGCAGGTATCGCCATGGTAGGGGTTTTTAGTACATGACCTAAAGGCTGTGATACAGTAGAGCCTGCATCGTCTTCCCCCGTAGATTGACTGCCGAAATTATTCCCGTGGGATTCGGATGCTCTGGTATTAATAACCACCGGGTTACGAACTTCATCACCAGAAAAGTCGGATGAATCGTCCCTTGGTGCATTTATCACCGCATCACATGGTTTGCACACCCGTATGGAGCCAGAATATCCGAATGATGACCCAGAGATAAGAGTGGTGCATTTCGCATCGAAGATCTGACCACATACTCTGCAATGATGCTTCCTTCTAAAGGTCGAAAACGGCTCGCCACAATAAAAGCAATCTTTGGCATTTTCATCACGCATCCAGAACTCCTTGCTAAGCAGTTTGTTTTTGACTCCAGTATACGCCTCACTCTGGCCCCATCGTGGGTAAAATGGATAGCTGCTTGTTTGATTCGCTTTCTCGGCCTCCTTGTGGTCATTTCTTTTTGGGCTTTGGCCAGTAGTAGAGGCTGCCTGGGACGATTCTGACGATGCCATACTGGGAAACACAAATCTGGGCAGATGCGGTTGGTTAACCCGCGGCGGTAATTTTTCTCGAGATGCATTCACTGAGATTTTGGATGAGTGAGTCGATGGAATTCCACGGTCAGTAATGGAGATAGATGTGTCTAATGTGGTGATAGTGTTTCCATCATTTATTGAACTATCAAATTTCGATATACTATTTGAAACAGACGTTGGTCCAGAATCCATGGCAAGCGATACGTTGGAATCCTCAGGGTAGACATCTTTACGGCGAAGCTTGTCGTCATGGGTACTTCCAGCCTGGTTAAATTTCTGTGGGTTAACATAAAACGAAGTGTCTAACTCCGATAAGCCACTTCGTGACGCACTATTTGAATATAATTTGGGAGATATTGACCCATCATGAGACTCAGGCTCTGGAAAAGTTGTTCGACTAAGGTCAGATTCCTGAAAATCTCTATAGGTATCACCTCCTGTCTTTGCCAACAGGACAGGCGATTGAGACCTAGTGCCAATTGTTGATTCCTGTGACTTTTGGCTCGAGGATAAATGAGGAGCTCTATCCTTACGTTCCGTCATTGAATCCGAATTCATCAACAAACTAGAACATAAACTCCCAGAATTACTTCTATGGTGATGGTGTCCATCTTTGACAGCGTTCACATTTATCTCGGTGACAGTGGGATCTGCCGTAGCAGGTGTATGCACCTTCGAAAGAGGTAAAAGCGGAGATTTTAGGGGGTTGCTGGCCGATATTGACGCTCTGGATGAGACGCTCGCAGCTTTGGAGGAAATTTTCGAAGTTTTAGGCTGGCTGCCTCCGTTGCCTTCTGGGAGCATTGGAAAAGTGCCCAGGACAGGAGAACTTGTAGCCGAAGCTTGTGCAGAGGCTACATGGGTAGATAAAGCATCTGTAGGTCTTGTACCGACAACTTGAGTTTTTGAAGGATCATTACTTCCAGCCTCCTGAAAGACAGTATCTGATGCTTTTGTTGGTCCACCAACCATATCTCTAACACCACCGACTGACGCTTTAAACATGTTATAAAGCCCACTTAGTCCACCTTGAAGGTCTCCCACAAGTCCTTTGTTGTCAGTCGCCACCGACTGAACCGGAGGATTCGTATATTCATTGAATACCGTGAGGGTTCCCAACTGTGAGGCAGCGCTGTGTATCTGATCCAGAGCTTCATTCAAGTTTTCTTTTTCAGTTTCACTGCTAATAGATGTGTGGGAGCCACGCCGAGATCTTCTGCCGAGTGGGAGGAAGATCGAGGATACGGAGGGGCTTGGAGGTTCTTGGAGATTGGACGCCATAGTTGAAAAACGTCGGGAGAATTCTGGAGCAAATCCGAAGTACCCATAGCCTTCACAGGTGCCACCGCATATAATTCACTCGAAGAAATGAGCTGGTAGTGGTTGTTAGCGGGAGCCACCAGTAGGGGTAACTATGACGGCGGTCATGCTGCCTCCGGTCGTTATATTGGTAAGTTTAGATGGTGGTTATACGACGGAGTTTCCGGGAAACAATCGACACCAGAAGGTTAAACCGCAAAGTGCCAGTTTTAATACTCCAAATAGGCGGCAATATAGGCTAGGAAATAGTTGTAGTGAAAAAGAAACGTTCGATGATTCTCTCAACTTCAATCCTGACATCAAAACGTCACAGCCTAAACCTTTTGACGGCGTCACATGCAGCCAACCATATAGCGTATTATGTAACGGCGACTAGTTTCATCAAAGCGCGTTTAGCGGCTGCGCTAACCAACACCTCAGGCGTTAGTTGACCTCCACAGAGCGCGAGAAGTGATAACGAGCGAGATCAAATGAACGCGAAAGACACATGAAGTTTTCAGCCTTTTGCCCAGTTTCCAAGCAAAATGAGTTCTGATTCGGTTTCTCTGACTCTGGCCATATTAAACCGGGATGGATCTGATCAGGAGTTGGATCGAGCCGCTGGTAGAAGCGGCCATACGCCAGAGTATTGACGCTGAAGAATCCAGCTCCAAAGAGCTTGGGGAGACCGTTAATGACGAAAGTAACTTCCGAATACCTGTTAAACGCCCAAAATGTGCGCAATTAGTCAAGGTACTGGCTATCCTCTATATGTCTGACGTAGTAGCATAGCAGCTAACCTATTTGCTGATGATTGTAGTGGTTAGCTAAAGAACCAGTTCCCCGGGCGCTTCTCTCCGATAGGTTCACGAAGATTCATGCGATATTCTCCGAGAGTTCTTGTCTAAATTATGACAGGGAAAACAATTCGGATTTTCGAAAAACCTTGACGGGGTGTATCCTAAAGATTTCAAAATTCTATATTACCATTGGACAATCGCGCACCGCGCCCCCAGAAATATCTCTTTATATTGAAGGAATGAAAGTAGAAGGCTGCGAGGGTGACGGCATATGTGGAAGTCCCATAAATATTCTTCATCACAAAGCTGTTATTGAACTAGGCAACAGATGGGCCCGTGAAAAACGCGTTACACACTCGAGGGAACTAAACGGGCCAAATGATAGTAGTAGCGACAATTTAGGCGAAAAGTCTATAGTATCGCTGCCCGGCAGCGATAATGCTTGCGACCGTGAAAAATCAGAGCCAGATGATGATGGCGATGCGAGTTCAGCACAGGAAGACATGTGGCACACACAAGCGCCGACACATCTTGTAGCACAAACACCCAAAGCTCAAGGCAACGAGGATTCCATTTCATTCCCAAAATCCAAAACGGAAGATCTACTGATTAATCTAAAACCTAAAGGGGAGAACACGAAGAGCAAACCACTAAGCCCATCTACACAGGGAAGCTCATTATCTCGGGGTGCGATCAAAAAAATTGACATAAAACCAGTAGCTGGTTCAGTCAAAGCAAAATCAAAGCATATATCTGTTACAGGGTGCTCTCGAAGTACCACTCCATCTCCTACAATGGCTTCTCCGCGTGAATATCCATTGTCCAGCAGCGGTGGTTCAAAGCGGAAAGTACACATTAATTCTCCTCACTCTTACCAGAAAATTGCTTCTCCAGGGCCTATATCATCTCACCAACGTGACACGGTACTGCTCAGCCGGCGAACACACTCCGGAGACCCTGAACCAGAACTAGGGAGCAATAGAGGTTTCTTCAGTGGTTGGAGCCGAATATACCGGCGCGATGTAGTCATACCCAAATCTCAACTCAGTTTGCTTGAGAGTGCTGACTCTTGGATAACCCCTAATACTGGGATGCGCGTGCCTCAAAACTATGTACCTATTGAACTTATACAGGAATGGAGTGAGAAGCATAAAGCTAGAGCATCTATTTCAACAGCAACTCCCCAGAAAGCGGACGCAGTCGCAAGTCTCGATACAGAAATAACCTCATCACCTGAAAGCCAACTCCCCGATGACGAGTTAGGGTTAGATCAATGGCCTCCCTCTCTAGTTCCCCGTGTTCCCCTTGATAGTAGCCCACCAAGGAGACCCAGGGGGCGATTAACAAGGTCCCACAGGAGCACACCCGACTCTGACCCTACAAACCCAGCTGATATACCCGCCAACTCGGAGGATACAGACATACTAAGTTCTATTATAAAGACCAAGGAATTTTCTGATGATGATAGCTATGAAGGTTCGGAGATAGAACTTTCTGTTCCCCGAGACCTATATACCTCAACTCAAGAAGAAGGTAATGTTCTTCCGGGGTCTCCTATGGCAGAAAGTGGGGGAGAAGAACCAATCAACCGTTCGCCTTTGCCAACGAAGGTGACAGAGACCGTACTATCTCAGCAATTTCAAGAGCCTCATTCATATTCACCAAATGGCCCAGAAACGCCATCAGCTCATCATCGAAATACCAATGACTCCGAACCCTCTCTTCTAGACTCAACCCCAATTTTAGTTCCAACTACTTTAAAAGTCACTGCCCAAAACTCTCGGAGGAAATCACCTTTAGCTTCAGCCCAAAGTACGAGGTTAGAATCCCCGATTCGTAATTCTATACCCCAGAGCTCCTCGTCAAACTACGATGGGACGACGGTTACCTCCCAGGTTCCTGTTGAAGGTGATATCGACTCTCCTAGCCATAAGGCTCCCCCGAGCGTACTGCAGGTCCCCAAGTCCTCCTCAGAGAATGCTAGTCAAGATATGGTCGTGCTTCAGTCAATTGAGGCTCCCTTCCCCCCTGTGAATCTTCATGAAACTAATCAGAAGCGTAAGCGATTGGATGAATCCCCTTCCCAGTCGTCATCTCCTCAGAAAGTTCCAAGAATATCGGAAACAAGTGCAAGTACGTCAATCCGCCAAAGCAAAAGGTCCTTTGTCCAAGTATCATTTTCTTCTCAGACAGAGGAGATATACTACAAATTTCAACAGGCATACAAGTCCTATACCGGTAGCTTGGAGGGTTTTAGGAGAGCATGCTGCAGGCTTCAGTCACTTCGAAACAAGGGTATAATGAAAAAGTCCATGCTGTGGGATGATTTTATTGCCCGTGAAGAGGCTGAGTATCAAAACTACATACAAAGGTGCCACCGGCGACAGAAAACCCCCGACACCTACCAAGGCTATTTTGACAAACACGCCAAATTTCCACAGTATAAGAGGCGAAATTTAACAGTAAAGAATCTACAGGCAGTAGTCATAGAGGCGGAGGGCGAAGGGGATGGTGATAGCGACAGCGAGGACAATGCCCAAACAGATGCAACCCCCGAGCCACCTTCTGTCTTACCGCGCGTCATTCCAGAGTCACCATGCAAGCCCAGATTACGGGAATGGGAGAGCGAAGATTCAGGCCCAGAAGCCATCGAGATAGACGCAGAGGTATCCCACCTGCATGATAGGGCCAGTGTCGAACTGGGCGATGAAGAATACTCCCGCGTAGACGCCAATAAGCTAATAAAAAGAAAGGCAACCCCTTTTGAAGAGGAAGATGATGACGACGGAGAGGATGTCTTCCACGCTGTACGCGGCCGTTTGCATCGATCCAGCTCTGCTCGCCTGAACGATGGACCTGACACGGAACCGTCTGCCGAACTGGATATAGCTTGTATTTCGACCAACAAACTTCGTCCAAAGTCTCCAAGGCCTCTCTCTAACATACAACGATCAAGCTCGCCAACTAAGCCCAAGGCATCTGTCCCTCGGAAACCGCCCGCGCCGTCGCTCCCGTCGCATAGAAAAGTATACGATGGTGCTAACAAGGATAAAACGGACTGTGCATTGGCGGACTCTACATGGTGGAAGAATCCCGATACGTCATTAAAGAAGTTTTCGAGGGATTATGCGCGGATTCCTAGCGAGTTCGGCTTGGTCCCAGTCGACGAAGCTGGGGTCGTTTTAATACATTCTCGCAAACAGCAGCAGAAGGGAGGGAAGATGGATAGCATGGGGTTTAAATTCTAGAGATTTATTACTCGACAATTTTATTTCTACGCGATTGTAGCATCCACCGTGACGCACATTCAGCTTAATTATTCAACTGATGGAGAAACGACGGATGAAATTAAACTGCCGGCATACTCCTGAGCGAAAATGCAGATGGCTTTTGCCTCCCATGAAAGCCACAAAACGCCTGGAACGTTGCGGCTTTAGAACAACGAAGAAGAACGGGAAGAAGAAAAGGAGTCAAAAGGGGCCCCTCTTGTCCGGACGCTCAGCTCTCGGCTTGTTTATTTACCCTGTACGAGCTAAACGCGTCTTCCTGCACATAAACACAGACGAGCTAAGGAACGCCAGACACGCGAAGCTGTTGCCAAGGGCTTTCGAGGAGGTTTGTTGATGTTTTGATTTTCATCGAGACCAAGCTGATCCTTGCTTGCCATAGGTTCGTTTATATGTGTTTTGATGATACATAACAGAGCGACCCCCGATGATATGTAACTCGGTGTATATACTCTTGCGTTTGTCTCACTGCTGCATCCGATTCCCTGGAGTGAAGGATCATTAACTTGTTTTTTTATTTTACTTCTTTGGTTCTTCACAGACGCGCTTAAACGTTTGCTGGCTGAATCGGGGCAAACAAGGCCTTACATTGTTACAACCAAGTTAGACGTGGGTGTATACATACTTGTCCCGGCTACTCGAACACTCTGGTAAGGCCATCTTTTTTGTTCCCTTTGTAAGTCCATTGTTCTTGGAGTCTATTATTAAAAGGAGGAGGTTGTTCCTATATGTTACTACCTGACCCAAACATAACCATGGTTATTATGTATAAAAAATAGCCATGGACAAAAAACAGCTGACAAAATATTTACAGCCAGATTGGATAGCAAGCAGGCTACAGCTTCTCCAGACGTACGAGCGGTGGTTATCCTCTATGCGTCCCGGACTACGTAGCAGAGCTGGCGGTCCGCCAGTTGGTGGCCAGGTCTCTGACGCTGGACTTGCCGTTCCCAGGGAGAGATCGAGCTCCGTACAGGAATCAGTGGCAGGTTACTCACTAGGAGAGGCGCCATGTACACCGCGCAAAACCCAGACTCCCCGTCGTTCAAGGGCTAAGAGGGTTCGGTTCTCGGATCCCGGCTACCATGTTGATGAACTGGAGAATACCCAAGAACAAAACGGTTTATCAACCGGATTAACTCCAATAGTATCACGAACTAGGATATATGCCAGTCAGACAGGTGATGCTGCAGGGCGGACATCACACAGTAATGGAAGCCGTCGGGACACGCGTCTGCGCCATTCAGACCCAGCCGTCTATTCCCAGCTTCGGCAGACACAGGCAGAGAAGGCAATGTCAACTCCCGACTCCAATATTTTCCGGTATTTACGTTTTCATGATATTCTTGACCCCCGGTCAAAAAGACGGATACAACGACTCGGCTTCAGCGAGGCAATGAACGAAATTGACAAGAGGCGACGGGAGGAGAAAAGGCTCCAAAGGCTAAAGGACGAGCAGATGAGACAACTGCAAGAAGAGATTGAGTCTCTGCGGAACCAAAGGATGGAAATCGACGGCCAATATTCCAATACCCAGGACAGCACATGCAAGACGCCGAATAGGAGTGACAGACAGAACTCTCATCCCATCGAAGATTCGTTGTTGACTCCTTGCCCAAACATGAGTAAAGATGTTGCTGACATGCTTGACGGCGATATGATGGACGAGGATTATAGCGCATCAAACAGCCCTCTTTGGACGCCTATCGCTAGCAGCACACCTTGCTCAACATTTAGACCTGCCGTACAATCAATGACTGCTTCTGGCTCAAACACACAATTTCAGATCGATCAGCTCACTCGCGAACTCGACAACAAAAATAGAGATCAGCTATACCTGTTCGAGGAATGGCAAAGACTCGCAGGATCTTTAAATGGTGCTACCCAGGATAGCGACGGAGAGGAGCCTAGTGCTTTGCCGCCACCTGATCTGGCGAAACAGGTTATTACAACGTTGCAAGATGCCACTACCAGGGCTTCAGAAGCGGTCCAGAATGTGAAAGATCTGCAAGACGAACTCTCTAGCCATGGTTTTGATGGAGACAGCGCGACAGAGATTATTGCCAATATCGAAGCTGGTTTTCGGCATGCAAGGATGGAACTTGAGAGGCTGATCCCGGGAGAAACAGCAAACGCTAGCTTATCAAATTGGAAGGCCATCATCGACGCTTTGGTAGATCGAATCCATCGCTTAGTACATGGGCTAAAACAGGCCAGAGATCAAATTAAGAGCGGTGAAGATCGTGAAAGGGCATTGCGAAAACAGTTCGATGCAACTCTAGTTCGGTTAGAGCAAGAATCAAAGGAAAATAGTAAATTGGGAAGATACGTTGAATCAATTGCTGAGGATACGTTGAACATGCGCATGAAGCTCCAGAGTATGGAGAGAGACATGAAAGAACAAGAAATGGATAAATCCCGACTGCAAGATGCCTTGAGCAAGTATAGGGAAGACTTGCTCATGCTTGAGAGACTGAATTCAAAACTGGAGGATGAGGTAGCTACCTCAAACAAGAAGGCGGAGAAATTGACAGCATTAAACGTTCGAATGAGGGATGCAGGGAACCTCTCCAAGGCAAGGATATATGAGCTTGAAAGTCGTCTTCAGAGAGAGAAAGAAATGACCGAATCTATCGAATCGTCTCTTCACCAGCGCGATCTAAAAGTCATGGAGCTCAATAAAAAGATGAAGCTTCTTGAAACGGAGAAAGAACAGGTTACCGCTGCTCTAGAGAAAGCCGTTAAAGAGCGCTCAGCCGAGCACGAAAAAGAAGTCGGCGGACTTAACGTTCGACTATCCGTTATTTCAACCTCGCTTAGCGAGATGAAGGCCGAAAACGCTACGTTGCAGTTAGAGAAGTCTCGATTAGAGAAACGTCTCAAAAACATGGAACGTATATCCTGGAACGCAATCCGGCAAACCCAGCAGAAGCAGAATGAGGCTATGAAGGCTATTGCTGATTGGCAGCAAGGAATCCAACTGTTAGGACAGGATAACGCTCCGGCAAGCCATTGTGGCAGCGCCATGGCCAGTTTAAGGCACTCCTTCAACGGTTTTGGAAGCGAGCCCATAACACCAAAAACCGTGAGCAGATTTAGGAATGTGGAGATTGGGAGAGGGAAGAAACGCAGACGGTGCCCAGACAGCGGCGTCTCTGTAGTGGGCGAGGAAGAAGGATGGTCTGAGTCTGATTCACTCCCTTCAAGCGCATGCAAGCCTGCAACAGCATTGCCAACTATTTCTCCAATCTCTCCGCGAGCGTGATGGATCTTATCATACATTTTCACATCTGCTAGGGGATACTAGCCCGGTGCAACACTCTCTTTTTGAATATTTCTTTTGTAATAGAATATCCACCCAGGACTATCATTTATAGATAATTCAAGTTCTATATCATTCAGTTACTAAGGCCAAGGCTCAGCCTCTTGTAGAGTACCTTATATCTCCAACCACTCTATATTCTTATTTTCAAAGAAGCTTACTTCCGCTTTAATACTGAACTTCGTGCAGACGGCAAATAACTTAATTTGGGAGAGACTTGCGGCTATTACTGTCGGTTGGCTCGGCTCTTACTCGAAGGTCCTCAACCTTATCATTTGGCTGTGCAAAGCTCCACTGAACAGCATCTTGGAACTCAGCTTCATTAGATGTTGCCGATGTAGAGTCGTCCAGGACGACGGTTGGCTCAGAAATCGCCTCATGTTCAGACGCAGAGGGAGGTTCAGATTGAGCTTGCATGTGCCTTTCGTTTGCAGCTCTTATAAGCCTATCCCTCTGTTCTTTTGCCCAATCCCTCGCATTTCGATATGCAGATACTCCTTGTCGAAAACTATCTATATTCCCAGCCACGCTCCAGGCATTTAATTCAGTCATAACGTATTCAGGACGGCCATTGCTATCTTGGGGGGCAGCGATATGATTTGTATAAATCTTGAGTTGACCGGATTGGTAGGTTGACGTTATAGTATAAGCGTTATTATCATAAATAGGCTTCTCCTTATACGATTGCAGTTTATATATCCCTCGTGCTCCAAGTGCACCATCATAACAAGCTTGCCGGGTAGCGACTATAGGTAAACCATCAGGGCCTTTCGCCTCAAGGAAGAAGTTTGGAAGCATCGGAAGAGAGGTCTGTGTTGACGGAATAATAAATTTACAAAGCTTATCACGGATTTCCGGGTTAAGCTGCTCAGGGCGAGCACCAAAGAAATGGTCTGGTTTTGCATGTGCCAGTGTACCGTCTGTTAGAGGAGCAAGATTGCCAAATGGGTAGTCCCCTCCTACACATTTCGAATCACTAATATCACCATCAATAGTTGGAATAACGGTGGATATCACTGGCTTTTCTTTAGATGCATTTGTATCTGCTCGTTTGAATTTGCGAAACTCGCTCTCAGAAAACTTTGATGGCGAAAGAGAAGGCCGCCGTTGGGCAAGTCTTTCATTTATCTCATCAAGGTTGTTTGGCATTGCCGGTACCCGGCCATCAGGACACTCGTAGCCATCAGGATAAACACCATAATCAATCAATTTTTGCTCAAAGTTCCGGTTATATGCCGAAGTACTTGTAGTCTTTGCAGTCTTGGTATGATTGTTGCTGCTCTCTGGAGCAGTCTCTGCTCGTCGCTTCAGGCGCCCTGAGCTGGTTGTGCTCATTGTTTGATAATGAGGGCTATTCAGATTTGGGAACTAAGCTCAAGCGTCAGCACAACTAAGAACCAACGTGGCATAGTAACTACATACATTCCTAAGGTCAGACAGGTCAGGCCCCCCGTGTCTGGAGAGGCTTTTGATCTTGCCTAGGACCTCGGGCTCACAGTCGAGGGCAGGCGTCTGGTAGCGATGCCTTTGGGACTGTTGAGTAAACGACCGGTGTGAGTATGCACTTCGAGTAGTGGCTCTATTCCGTCGATCCAGCTCTTCGAGAGCGTCCCTCGTTAACCAAATCCTCGACAGATTATCCCAGTACGCTGAGCGCTGGTCGAGCTTCGACCTTTTCGATGGACGTTGGTCGGGAGGTCCCTCAGGCTCCTGTCGTTTGCGAGATGGTCCCAAGGCGTCTTGACAAGGCATATGGCGCAGGTATTATCGCTGACTAGCTGTCTTGATGCTAATAAATGCGAGTGACCCGTCATTTACTTAGATATAAAAAGGTCAAGCGTGTTATGTACGATAGATGGCTGCCTCATTTCATCTCATCACGTAAGCGCTGAAAGTGACAACAACAACCAAGAGTGGAGAGACAAAAAGTCATGTAAAAAACACCCTTGCAAGCCATAAATATCTTCACACGGCGCTGATTTCGAAGATGAGATTCTTATTTACGTGTTCTGGCGAAAATAACGCGCCTTTAATATCTCCATACCTAACTTTTTTTGTCTTTGCTGTGTTTGGGGTCACGAATTAATCTACATACACTTGTACAATGGCTCGCACCCCCTATCTCACACGCGACTTACGCCTCCAAGTCCTCACTCTCCACGAACATGGCTTCAGTTATACACAAATTGCAAAGGCCAAAGGTCTTACCTATCGCCAGGTCTACTATACGTGCAAACAAGGTGTTCCTTCTCCTCGCAAGCGCACTGGGAGGCCTCCAACTCTCTCCGAAGAGCAGGTCAAAATCCTCGTCAATTACGTCTGCGCCAGCCTAAAGAACAGGCAGTTATCCTTTGATGAACTGGCAGAGAAACTCCCCTTTGGTGTAGGGGCTTATACTATTCGCTCTGCTCTTCGAAAAGCTGGTTTTCAACGTCTAGCAACTCGATAGACCCCCTTTAAGTGGCCGCGTACGAAGAGATGGACTTTAATTTATAGAAGATCACTCACCCTGGGAGAAAGAGGATTGGCAATGGAGGATAAATGATGGAATTGGGTGTGTCTATATGTATGTCAACCTATATGGATGTCAAGGATAACTAATAACTAAGACTATGTAGTTTTGGATGCATGGCCTGCAGCTTATGTAGGCAGTCGCATATACATGACTTGAAGGCTTAATGGGATCAGAAGTTTTCATGTATTAGTTGTATTCAACCGGTGCTATTGTCAAATGGAAGAGACCATATTTGAGCTTTGATAGTGGTTTTGATATCGACTGTAAGCTATAAAAGCATAGAAGTTACATAAACGAATGATCAAAGAACCTCCTCCTATGTATTAGCTAGCAGAGCAGATGATAAAACTTGTCATCACCGGCGTATACATAAATTTCTCCTGGCCGAGAGGTTTGTTCGCTGCCTACATATACATAGTTATTATTCTCTCTTAACAACTTAGTAGACATCTCTCGATAAATATTACTATGTATCTGATATAAATATGAAATTTATTATCTAGGTACCTTGGTATGTTTGTGGAGATCTACTTGTAACTAACTGCTCCATAGCTAAAAACAAAACTGCATCAGCTACTTTTTATCCTTCAAAACTCCTCAGCTCCCAACGACGACCGCACAAAGTGTCAACGCCCTGGCCTAAGTCAGCGTCCTCTCCCAGACGATGCGCTCTTGTGAGATATGACGACCATGCCTCCGTTTTTCTAGCTGTCTGCTACCAGTCGGAAAATGTCATCAAACGCTCCCTCTATCGATGGGCCCTCTGCCCTCACCTATCGTCGTACCTTTTTCATCCTCGCCGCATTTGCAGGTACTCTAGCTCTCACACAGCTCCATCGATATTTCTTCTCTCCTTCTGGGGCTTCCCAGACTATCCATAGACGGAATGCGGTGCGGCACCCAAGACATTCCCAGAGACGGGGCGGGATATCTCTACCCAGCGGAGAAACGTATGAATCCTCCAGTCCGCTAGCACCATCACTTGCGCTCGCCCAGCGTGAACAAGAGGGCAGAAGCTATGGTCATTTCAGCATTCAGGTGGATGCTGACCGCACCCTGGAATGCCCCCTTTTGCCTTCGCAGTTGGCCTCTGTAGAGCGCATACAACGGGAAGTTGGAGCTAACCTGGAGAGCGCAAACTTGATGCGCCATCTGATTGAGGACGAGTTTCTTACGAGGTTCCTAATGGCTGAGTTCCCACCCTCGCATGTCATTCTTCTCTCTACCGGAGAATGGAGATATTTGCTCAACGAGCTCACGTCTCGTGGAATCTCAGAGATTGCGGTCAACAATGCCTTTACGCGGTTCAATGAAAATCCACACTTTGGGGAACAGCAGAGTCCTGGACGGCCGGAAGATCAGGGTGCGAATATGATGAATGGCAATGATATATCCCCAGAGCAGGCTCTCCCACCTCAGCCCGAGATAGGGGACACCACCATGGATGATCAGAGTCTATTTTCATGGAGAGACGGTACCAATGACACAGCTCCGCCGAGAGAGGGGCAGAATCTATTGAACTTGCTTTATCATATTGCTGAGGATCAAGCAAGACGCGATGGCTACATACACCGTGGCGTAACATGCAACAGCTGTGGTGTTATGCCAATCCAAGGAATCAGGTATCGCTGTGCAAACTGCATAGACTATGACCTCTGTGAGGCTTGCGAAGCATCTCAAGTCCATATCTTAACGCACTTGTTTTACAAAGTCCGAATACCCACCCCGTCTCTGGGAAGTGCAAAACAGGTCCAACCAGTTTTATATCCAGGGAAGCCGAACATGCTTCCCCAGACTCTCCCCAGAAATGTGTCAAAGAGACTTAAAAAGGAAACTAACTTTGAAAATACCGAAGTTGATGCGCTGTGGGACCAGTTTAGGTGCCTTGCAAATACTGAATGGGCCGATGAGCCCAATGGTCTTCCTCTGGCCATTGATCGTAAGACATTTGATAGATGTTTTATTCCAAATCGTCCTCCGCCCCCGAGCCTTATTTATGATCGGATGTTTTCCTTCTACGATACGAACGGTGATGGACTGATAGGATTTGAAGAGTTCTTAAAAGGGCTGGCGAGCTTTAGTAATAAGAGCATGCACGAGAGGCTTAAACGAATTTTTGCGGCTTATGATATAGACAGAGATGGCTACGTTGAACGAAAAGATTTCTTGCGAATATTCAGGGCATATTACACCTTGAGTAGAGATTTAACTAGGGATATGATATCTGGGATGGAGGACGATTTCATGGAAAGCGGATCTCGAGATGTTATATTAGGAAGCCAGCCTGTAAGTGCTGCATTTCCTGGAACCATACCTGGGCCAGACCCATCTAGAGCGGGTGAAGGCAAACGTACAAATTTGCAGGGAGATCTGGAGATAATCGATAACGAGGGTCCCCTGAGGGAGGATGGTGATGAAACAGGTGATAGAAATATTGTTTTAGGAGATGCAGCTCTAAGGGATACACTTGGGCCCAATCGCCCTCTCCAGCGAAATCCATCAAGGTCAGATAGGCTGCCTCATGGGCCTTTCTACGGGCCCCTATCAAGTGATTCTCTTATTGATCACAGAGGAGACGGGTATGACCTTGTTTGTTGCGATGCATATCCATGCGAGAACTTTTTGAATTGGCCTCCAGCAGAACACGTTGAGCGTCAGGATATCATCAACGCCCTAGGTGCATATGTACCGCTAGAGGATGTTACAGACTTTGTTGATAGAGCTAGGATTGGAACCTGCCTTATTGAGCGACTAAATGCAGCTGAAGCGGAACATCAGTCGAACATTAGGCGAGAGGGTATTGAAGAAAGATGGCGGCGACGAGCATTTTACCTTGATGAGGAAGAGGGAACAACTGGGCGGCCAATCTACCATGGGAATGAGGATGAGTATGAGGCAACATCTGATCGAGAATGTAACGAGGACTCAGATTGGCATAACCCTACCCAAAGGTCCAGGTCATCTTCTAAGGTTCGCTTCCAGGATGATGTCACAGATAACGAATACGAGACTCGCTCAAACCAGTCTACCTCCTCACGCAGCATCCCACTAGGTGAGCGATGGGGTGGCTATGAAATCCCAGAAGTTGAGAGGGATGCAGGAAAGGAAATTCTCTATCAGGTCACCCAGCAAGGATTAAACGAGCTGTTGGATCTCATTTTTAAGCCGAAAGAAGATCTTCTTATGGAAGCGTATCGCACTCGTGCAGAACGGAAGCGATGGGCCAAAGAGATTGAAAGGTTTCAGGAGGGCAGGTATCGATCTAAGGATACAAATAATTACAGCACCAGAAACCAGGATAATCATGATCAAGAAAATACAGAGTCTGTTCCTGGTGATAGGTCCCTGAAAGACCTTCTGGATGAGAGTGGTTTTACCGTTGATCCAGAATTCCTTGAGCAAGTTGATCAAGATGAAGATGGCTTTGATCAAAATTATCAGTCTCAGCCCGAAGATAGTATAGTATCGGAACATTTAAGTGATCAGGAAATTGAATACTTGCCTCTAGCACCTGAGAGTGAGGCTTTCCAGGTTGACGGCGAGTCACCATTATCTCAAGAGAGCAATGCACCTCAACTCCCCGACCCTACTCTACCACAAAATCGACCAAACGAGGAAGACTTAGTTGCTCTCACGCGTCTGCCTCATATAACTGAAATACCACGCTGCACTAATCACCCTTCGCGACCACATTCTGCAGAGCCACACCCGATATATGAATCCGCATCTACGTCGACGTCGGCCTCTGGGCCTTCCCATCATCGGCTCACTCACCAATCTATGCCTCGCAACCGCTCATTACCTCTTCGACTTCGGTTTCAACAGTCTCCTCCACCAAATCATGCACGAAGCAACTCCAGCTCTTCATTAGGATCATCGTCTTCTTCCCCATCTGCAAAGAATGCTGTTCTTCCCTCACCACCACCATCCCCAAAGATTCTATCCCGCTGGGCTCGGTTAAACCATGCTGAGCAAGAAGCCAAAGAACGAGGCGGTTCGGGAGCCAAGCTAAACTTTGATGAATTTGCCCTTAGAATGCAGGGAGAAAGGGGGAAAAGACTTGGTTTTGTGGCAAGCTGGATCGATATGACTACTTTTTGATCACCGGCATAAATATTATGATAGGTGGAATATTTGAGATCGACGAGCGGTCGAAGCGAGTCATTTGCGTGACATTCAATCCCTAGAGACAAACTTAGCTTCGTCTTATTTTCACTGTATTTATATATCCTTGATACCCTTTAACTAGCATGGAGTTTTAACCTGGATGGCTTGTCTATATACTAGGCTATGGATTACTAGACCACCCCAAGCCATGATAATAATTAGTCGCTGTCACAATAACTGTATACCCAAATATCCGCAAATATTGACCTTCAAGTAGGGTCAATAAATAGCCATACCTTCACGTTAAACCCAGAGTCAGTGAAGTGTATTGTGATCCAGCTCTAGTCTGGCGATAGGATTCCTATTACCACTCGATCCCAGCGAACCAAAGAAACGCCAGCAAATGCCCGACATGAATTGAATGATATACTACAGCTAATCCCAATATTTGATAACACCCTCCAAACCAGCCGTGGCAACTTTACTAGTCTCTTGAGGATGCCAGTCCACACATGTAACAGCAGAGCCTTCCTTTCCCCCTGCCTTAATTTTATGCCACATCTTGCCTGTCTTCCAATCCCAAAAGCACACATACCCACCACTATCGCCGGATGTGACAAATTGGCCATCAGGACTGATTGAAACATCAATCGCATACCCTGCATTGTTATGCCCTCTAAACAGTTTCTTTCTGTTTTGGCGGAATTTATCTGTGGCCCCATAAACAACTATACTATTGTCTCCTGACTGGAAAGCAACATATTTGCCATTGGGATGAGGAGCTGCACGGACAAGAGCGTAGAGGTGTGGTTCGGCAATGAATTTGATAGGCACCGGGATATTGTACTCCCAAGCACGAAGTGATTTATCGTCTGAGGTGGAAATAAAGCGGCGGTTATTATCGACAAAGGTAATAGTGTTGACAGCATCAAGATGATGATCGTATTCTTGAGTAATAGCACCTGTACGAATATCAAATTGAACGATTTTTTTATCAGACATGCCCGCCAGGAACTCGTGAGAATTGTCGGGGTCTGGATTGAACCGAACGACATGGGGTGTTTTCCCCGTTGTAAATCGCTGGATGCATTTTCCGTACTCTGTATCCCAAAGTTTTATTTGCCGGTCATATGAAGCAGATAAGAAAGTAGCTCCGGTTGGGTCAAAAGTGGTATCGGATACGGAATTGGCATGTCCGGAATATGTGCGAAGCAGTTCTCGTGAATGATACACGTCCCATAGTTTCACTTTGGAGTCTGCAGATGATGAAAGCAGAAGATGGCCAGAACCTGGGAAGAAGCGCAACGATGTGATTGGTTTCGTGTGCGACTTCCAGGTGTGTATCAGCTTCTTGGGTATGTAATTCTTCACACTTCCTGACTCTTTCTTGAGATCGATATCCAGATCCTGGGGCACATGCATATATGTCCGTCCCAGATAGTCGCGCTCTTCGGTGCCATGGAACTCCGTAGTTTCTGCGCTAGATAAATCTTCCTGGTAGGCCGTAGCCTTCTTGTCCATTGCCGGCATGTTAGGCGGAACAATAGCTTCTTCGATATATTCTTCATCACTGCCCAGTTCAGCTAGGGCCTCGGCCTCTCTATCAGCTAGCTCGTCGTCTTCGTATTTTGCCCAGGGTCCCAGGTACGCCCCTTCCCCTTCAACAATGCTTGAATCACCCTTTTTTTGTCGTTTTCGCCTTATAGAAGCACTCTCCTCCTTTGAAGGTCGCATTTGCACCACATCTTTCCCTCCGTACCGCGCCACCTGTTCCATATTTCCTACAAAAGCTCCTGGTTGTGTTGGATCTTTGGTATAACCTAAACTCTGAAATGTGCGCTGCTGCGTGATGAAGGTCGCCTCGCTTATTGCGGCTTCTTCGGCGTATCCGGTGAGTACATTCTTTCTCTTTACTCCGGAATTTTCATTTTTAAAAGGGTTCGCTGGTCCGGCTTGAGGTCGCGTGAGGTCATCATAGGTTGCATTATATGTCAGCGCAGTATCAGTTGGTTTTCTAAGCATTAGATGCAATTGTGACGGGCCCTATAGTAGTATTAGTAAAGGAATCAGACCGTCCCTCGAGCTGGGGGTTCAGTAGTAAGAAGGGGACCAAACCTCTACCGGGACATCTGGCGCCGCAACTACAGCCGGTGCCTGGTTTGACTTGATGGGTGCAGAGCCCATATCATCATCACTTGAGGAGTCATACTGTGTTCCTAGTAGCGACGCCATGATGGAGTATGGAAGCTTGAGATGATATACCTCCAAATATTCGTGATGGGAGAGTTTTATCAAATGCACTGCGTAAATAAGTTGGTTATGTAATCACTAGCTATCGCAGTCAATTCATTGGTCGACGGCTGTGCATGATAGAAGTGGTCTATCTCCTTGTGCTATGGGATATCTGAAGACCGACAGCTTACTTGTAAGAGTGAAGAAGAAGAAGCGTTTTATGGCAGAAAATGTATACAGCACACCGCCTGGCCCGTCTAGGTAATAACTTTAATTGTACTTCCAATTTTATTTGAACATCTTAGAAACTGCATGAATATACAAAAAGATCTTACAATTGCAAGACCAGCTTAATAAAGTCATAATACTGAGAATAAACTAAGAGATAAACACCATGGGCAGGACTAAACGCTCTGGTGAGTTTCAAGGACGAAAATCATGCCTAAGTAGCGGAGACTGAGCCATGCTAGGGAGCATTTCAATGCGGGATGCCGGCCAGGCTGGCATAAAAAAGCCAAGGTCGAACTTGAAGCAGAGCGTATCCACGTCTCGCATGGGTAGGCATGAGAGTACAAATGATGTACTCGGAAGCGAGTATGGGGTATCCGAAGGGGATGATTGGTCTGATGATGGTCAAAATGGCTTGGATGACGCCCGGTAAGGACTTGTGCTCCCGACCAAGTGTCAGTGGAAAGTTAGCCATGTAAGGAGTCTAATTCCTTGGTATGGTTTAGGAATGCGTTAAAGAACCTGCAAGCTGCCATAGAAAAGGCAGAGAGAAACGACACCTTTGCAAAAGACATGGAAAAGAAGGTGAGAATAGACGAAGGGAGGCTGAGAAATATGGTTAAGAAGGAAGAGGATGAATGGTAAGTGAATGCTCGCTTGACGGAGGGCAACACGGCATTGATACTCGAGCCTCTGAAACAAACCACATTCATGTTAGGCACAACGAAGTCGAGAACTTCCAATCCCAGTTTTCTTCCCTTGTCAAAATGGTCCTATCATCCAAAAAGAACAAGGTCGACCTTACTTCATCCGGACTCGCGGAGGTCACCACTTCAGACGCCATGCAATCTGCTGGTGACCATCCTCTATACCTCAAAACACAAGGCCTTCTCGAGTCTGCCAGGGCTCTGATTAATGGAGTGGATAGCATCAGCACGCATGCATCAGAAATCAAACTCCCCCAGGATCCAAGGGAAGGGTTTGAGAAGGACACTGCTGAAGCACGTCGCCTTATTGTCCATGGAGCCGAAGCAACTGCCATGGCGCTAGAAAAGCAATTGGTATATAATAAAAGCAACACACGACAAGCAAGCGAGAGAAAACTGCGAGATAGAGAGGAAGAAGAATTCCTCAGTGATAGCAATCTGCAAGCAATGTTCGAAATGGGAAGAGAGGGTCTGAACGAAAGCGCTGAAGATGGCCAGAGAGCTCAAAGCTGGGGCTTTGTGGCACATCAGCTGCAGAAAGGGATGAGGGAGCTTGTCAAGGCCTTGCCTGGGCATTGAGGGTTAAATATCACCCCTCGTCGTCCCCATTCGTCCTACCATCCCCTTTTATTCCAACTTGTACCGATATTCATTAGTACTTTAAAGAGTTTTTATCTTCTGCTTCTGCTTTTTCACTGTCACCAACTTTTATCACGTGATACCAAGACTTTCCACTCGCTTACTTTTTTTCATTTTCCGCCCACACAAAAAGTTGCTTTATGGACTTTTTTCGATATCTTCAACGCCTGAACGACGGTAAGTAACAGCAACAACCAGGCCAACCACTCCACGACGTCAAGGTAAGATGCTCCCCGTCTGCGATTCCGTACCCCCGAATTGGCCTTTTTCTTGTTTAATAGTCTGTCATGCTGGGAGGGAATTGGCCTGAGAGAAGCTGACAAGTCTCGAAAACAGATGGGTGCCCTCAAGTATGTGGAAGAACTTCAGAAGAAGAAGCAGTCCGATGTGATGCGCTTCCTCCTGCGCGTCCGATGCTGGGAGGTGAGAAAAACAACCCTACAGTCCTTTCCCTAGCCCGAGAGCGAGCGAAACCGATTCATCAAAGACCTGGACCGAGTTTGTCGAAACAACAATCCGACGAGGACCATGGCCGGAGAGGAATTCGCTTGATCTGTGTCTTTTTGCTCTTTTCGATTTCTGTGGCACACACACGAAATCTGCACCTGTTGTCGTTGATTTTGCAGTGTGCCTTGCTATACACTCGTTGAACTTTGCTGAGAGTGCATTAATATAGCTTCGTCAACTCAATGTCATCCACCGTGCTTCCCGACCATCTCGTCCGGACAAGGCCCGCCGCCTCGGATACAAGGCTAAGCAGGGCTACGTTATCTACCGCATCCGCGTAAGACGTGGTGGCCGCAAGCGCACTGCCCGCAAGGGTGCTACTTACGGTACGCACAATCTATAGTATGTACGATATGGTGATGGGTGGCTAATATGAGTCTAGGCAAACCCACCAACCAGGGTGTCAACCAGCTCAAGTACCAGCGATCCCTCAAGTCCACCGCTGAAGAGCGTGTTGGCAAGCGATGTGCCAATTTGCGCGTCCTCAACTCCTACTGGATCAACCAAGATTCCACCTACAAATACTACGAAATCATCCTCGTCGACCCCCAGCACAAGGCCATCCGCAAGGATCCTCGCATCAACTGGATCGTCAACCCTGTCCACAAGGTAAACCTCATCCGAATCCTCTTCTTGCCGTATGGAATATACCGCTAACCGCTGTCAATTCCTTTACTCTAGCACCGCGAATCCCGTGGTCTCACTGCTACCGGCAAGAAGTCTCGTGGCCTCAGCAAGGGTCACGGTTACAACAAGACCACCGCCGGCAGACGGAAGACCTGGAAACGACTCAACACCCAGAAATTCTGGAGATACCGTTAAATGTAATGAATGGTTTGGGCTTTGCGGGATTTCAGTTTTGTTGTCATGTTTTACCAAAATTCTTCTACCACCTTATTTCCCCAAGCATGCGCAACTACTCTCGTCGTGTTGATCTATGCATGCCATAGCAAGAAATGATATAATACCTGGCTATGAAAGAACCCTGCGCCACCCAATTCTGTCCAAAAAAAGAGAGAGGACTCTCGCCTCGATAGCGTCCTCCACCTTGCGCCAAACCTGATGAATCTACGTATTTTCCGGCCTGCCCGTAGCATGTTCCAACGCTGTCTCTAACCACCTTACTCTCATGTCTTCTATTCATCAGATCACTCTCTATAGCCATCTACACACATAGAATATGCGTGGTTGGCATGTTAACTTCCTGAGTAAACTATAAACCTTGCGAGCATCCTTAGGTTATTTTCTACCTTGATTCCCAAGCTTCATCTCAACCTTAGACACTACAAGCTTGCGGCTTGAGCTGAACGCAACTTGGTTGGCCCTCGCAGTTAAGCGATTCGTCAGGAAGGGCAGTGCTTGCTGCCAGACCCAGGATGCTGCTTCTGCTGGCCAAACTGCTGCTGCCTCGTTGCTCGGGACGCGGCGGGAAGAAGCACTCAACTACTCGACGCCTTTTGCGACTAGAGATCTCCGTTTCAGCTCTGAGACAACCACTATATATCTCGATTCTCGAGCAATATTATAACTCTTTCTTACCAGCTTGTTCTTTGTTGTCACCCGACTCAAAAAGTCATCGGACCTGCGCCTCGCATGCGCTGATGGTTTTCGCTGTTGGCCAACCTTCCGCCAGATTAGGACGGACGACAAGCTGTCAGTGATATTGCTTGTTAAAAGCAGATCGCCGGCCTCAAACTGCCTCGTCGAAGCCTCCTGAAGTGTTTTACGTGCGCCTATATTGTGTCTTGAGCCTCGAGTTGGGATAATGGCCCCTACATGGGTATCTCGTTTCACCCATAACGGCAACAAGCCTTCGAATACCAGTCCTCCCGCCACCGACGGCCATACGGCCTCCCAGCTACCATCGACCTCCTTATTGTTCCCTCCAAGCCCGTCTACAGCACAGTCACGGGCTATTCCGGTTCGTGGCCATTTTCGGTCTACCAGCAATCCATTTCCGACTTTCTTTGCAGGGAAAAGGAGAGGGGGCCATGGTGGGACGGGTGATCTCATAGACTTCGACGAGTCTACAGATGGCGACGATGGATTACACACCATCATTACAAACGCTCGCTCTTGCAGCCCACAGAAGCGCGGTGGCTCCGACGGTTATACGGAGGAATATCGGAAACGCAAATGCATGACATGCGATCACACCAACTCATTCCCCTACACTAAAAAGGGGTTTCGGTGTGGAAAATGCGCGACAATGAATGATCTGGAGCCCTACCATAGTAGCAGATCACGGCGTGGCAAACCGGAGGAAAAGCTACGGCCTGATATTCAGCCTCAAATCAAAGGTGAGTGGCTTACAAGATTGGAACATTCTAAATGTCTTTTTTCTAACATATGTCTTACAGTTACCATTGAAGAAACACAAAATATTATTGACCATTGTCTTGTTTCATACCTTTCCACTCATCTTGGAGAGCATAGGGTCCGCCAGGTACGGAAAAAGGCAAACTACAGCCCTACTAGGAGAGATAATGCCAACTCATATAACCAGAGCGTAACCCCTTCTGGGGGTAGCAAGGTCGATATGAATGAACCCTCCCTGTTAGCTCCTAATGTGACCATAAACCCCGGGGACTCCAACACTGTGAAAAAGGGACGTCCCGAAGAGTCTGTCTATGATAAACGCAACGAACGGCTAGGCTCTCCTGCTCATCGCGTGGATCACAGACGGATAGACGCCAGCGCAGATTTTAGAGGAACGACTGCCGTATTTCACGATTTAGAACAATACATCACAACTTGCTTTGATGGCTGTGAGGCTCTTAATAATTCATTTTTAACCGGAAGGACTCGCTATTTTCGAGCAGCGAGTGAGGGCTCCCAACCATCCATGAGTATATCAAACGCAGCGCAGCCACCTGTTCCTGCCGACCACACAGTTCCTAATCTCGATGAAAAGACCATCCTACTAGGGAACATTGCAGAAAATGGGTCCTGGTGGGCTGAAAATCGAAGGTCTCCGAAACTCAAGTCAGCAACCGATGGTCCATCATCGAAAATATACGGAGCTAAAGCCAGCTTCACTAATTCAAGATCACCTCGGATTAACTGGCCAGAGCTCTTGGAATGGTACCACCTTGTTATCCACGCTGGCGAATCATGGAACAGAATGGTTCTGGACATACCTAGTGTCGGAGATGCTACAAATGAACCCAACACACCTACAGCTAAGGATGTAGCAATTATGGCACAACTGAATGAAGTAATAATGGAATCACGGTTTACTGTTCGGAAGACGTTACTACGAGCTACGGAAAAATTACTCCAGCGACCAAAGCGGCCGCTTGTAAGTCCGGATGATACCCGGTTCTTACTGATATTGCTCGAAAACCCGCTTTTATACTCCTCCAATTCTGTCCCTAGAACCCCTTCTGGAACTTCGCCTTCCATGGGAGGAAATCATGGCCATCCAAGATCACAAGGCTTATCCACCTCGCCATATAGCAGCTCTTCCCCTGAAAAAGGCCGTCTACACCCCCCTCCGGGCATAGAAGAGCTGTCAAACCTCAGATATTCGGTCTTAAAGAGGCTATTCGGGTTGATATCTAATTTATCCAACGAATGTCACCGATCCCTTGTTGTATGGTTCTCCAGGCTCTTGTCAAGCCATTTCCAACGACTGGTGGAGATTGTCAACGGCTTTGTGACTTTTCGGCTGGGTAAATGTAACAAAAGGCAGTTAACTAGAGCTGAGCACGGAGTTAATCTGGGAAGATATGTCCCTACCTTCTCTGCGCCCGGGACTGTTACACCTGCACAGTTGCACACTGCCCTACAAGACAACCCTGCAAAATCACCGACAGGTGAAAGCAAGTTAGTGAGTTATGCAGACGATTGGCAAATTCGTGCTGCTGCTCGTGTCATGGCCCTTCTCTTCAAAGCAAACGGCTTGCGAAACGGCCGAAAACCTGAACCTGGCTCCAGTTCAAAAGATGGCCCATTAAGCTCAAATTTGAATGACAATCGCCTGAATAAGCTTGCTATAAGCTGTTTCTATAATGCGCGACTGGATTATGCTGACCTTATTCTAGATTTTGAGGCATGGGAATCCCGCATTGGAAAGTTTTCCTTCTGTCAATATTCATTTTTGTTAAGCATATGGGCCAAGATACAGATTATGGAGCATGACGCCCGTCGACAGATGGAGGCTAAGGCAAGGGAAGCCTTTTTCGACACCATTCTTGGTCGGAGAGGAGTAAGTCAGTATCTTGTACTGAAAGTGCGAAGGGACTGTTTGGTCGAGGATAGTTTACAAAGTGTAAGCGCTGTTATAGGATCTGGTGAGGAAGATATCAAAAAGGGGTTACGAATAGAATTCGCAGGCGAGGAAGGCATCGATGCTGGAGGCCTACGTAAGGAGTGGTTCCTTCTTTTGGTGAGAGAGGTTTTCGACCCCCTCCATGGTAAGACCTTGAATCCCCCCGATGAAATCTACATGTTGAGGGTAGTATTAGAACTTAACTGACGTCGTTTTCGTAGGTCTTTTCCTTTACGATGAAGATTCTCAGTATTGCTATTTTAACCCATACTGTTTCGAATCCTCGGAACAATTTTTTCTTGTGGGCGTGGTCCTAGGATTAGCGATATATAACTCGACCATCCTTGATGTTGCGTTGCCTCCATTTGCGTTCCGGAAGCTTCTGGCGTATTCACCATCAAACATCGCACCTACATTATCCTCTCCACCTCAGCCATTCAAGCCTAACTTAGATGATTTGGCCGAACTCCGGCCCGCGTTAGCGAAGGGCCTGCGACAGCTCCTAGAATATGACGGTGATGTAACTGAAACATTCTGTCAAGACTTTGTAATCCAGGTTGAGCGCTATGGTGAGATGATCCAGATCCCATTGTGCCCTGGAGGGGAGAAGAAACAAGTGACGAATGACAACCGACGCGAATTTGTGGACCTCTATGTGCGTTATATCATCGATGGGGCGGTGTCCCGTCAGTTCGAACCGTTCCGACGCGGCTTCTTTACAGTATGCGGAGGAAATGCACTCCACCTGTTTAAACCCGAAGAAATCGAGCTCCTGATCCGTGGCTCAGAGGAGCCGCTTGATATTCAATCCCTTCGAGGGGTGGCAATGTATGAGCATTGGCCCACCTCCTCGCCTGACCGTGAGCCAGTCGTGAATTGGTTTTGGGAATTCTTTGAAAGTATCTCAGCCAAAGATCAACGTAAGATACTCGGCTTCATCACGGGCAGTGACAGACTTCCCGCCATGGGAGCCGTCAACCTCGTCATTAGGCTGATGTGCCTAGGCCCAGACTCAGAAAGATTTCCAACAGCGAGGACATGCTTCAATGCGCTTGGATTGTATCGATATAAAACGCGAAGGAAGTTGGAGGAGAAACTCTGGCGAGCGGTAGCTGAGAGTGAAGGCTTTGGGCTGCAATAATCCGTTGGGCTTCACGTATCTGTGGTTTTGTGTGATTCAAGTTCACATCATTCAGTCTTACTTCCACCTTCGCGGTGTCATATGAAACCTTTGCATTTCTTCCACCCTCCATTCTTCCCCCAGATGTCTTCCTTTGTCATGGTTTCCCATTTCGTTGTGCATTGACTTGGGCAAGTTATATGCCTTTTGGTGCCGGCATCCCTCAAAAGGCATCATTCATATATATGTACGCACCTGTGTCCGAAGTATACGTAGACAACAAGAGGCCAATGGCTTACATTTTTCCTTTGACCAAAATTGGACAGCTTTTCCCAATATTCTTCAGGCCAGCGCAGTTACTATATCGTCCTCGAGCTTATATTCAATCTGACATCTTATTAATGGTGCGTTTTTTTTTTTTTTTCGGCATTAACTTCCCGCCCAGCGTTCATCGAATTGGTCGCGCCATTTATGGGCAGACAAAGGCCCGGAATTTTCTTTGATTGCCCACGTAACAATATAATAGGCTGTTACACTGCATCAACCCAACCCACAAGGGCTTATTTGAACGAGTTATAGGCCATGGGTGGTAGAGGCTTAGATAGTGCCTGTTTGTTGATATTAGTGCTGAGAACACGTTGAGTAAACATCACCACAGGCCTGTCTTGTTGAGAGGTCGTTCCGGGCCCCGGCGAGATCGTCTTGCCATTACCAACCAGCAGATAGAAATAGAACATGCTCAAAAGAGAAAAAAGAAAATATGTGTATAAGTCCGTCGATAAAAGCTCGAGATCCGCCAAAGCTGTTGACTTTCGGATATCAAATCAAACAACAAAAAAAAATTAAGCACATCACGAGCCAAATGTGAGGCGGCTTATGTAATAATTCAATCCCATTTAGAGTTTTTTTGCTTCTTTTACGAAAGAGAAGGAAAAAAATGGCGGAGACCAAAACCCAAGGCAAGGAGACCGACCAAGCCCAAGGCATGCATGCGGATACCACTGGTGCTCGGTGCTTCGTACATCTCACTGACTGGGGTTATCATGCCTCTGGATGGATGCGTTGGCCATGCTATATATATATACCCCTATACATAGTGTATAGTACAGAGACAGGGGCTCGTTTGATAAGGGGGTAATATATACTCCGTATATGCTGGAACATGCCGTGACTTCCATAGCTCCATTAGCGGCGCTCTTTTCTAGCCCAGTTCTCCTGGCTCCATAACTGCCGAGTAGTGAGCAGTTCTGTGGGGATGAGGAGGGGGAGGGGCAAGAGAGATAAGATGGCATCTGTTGGTGGCTCCGTTCGGTTGCCACCTGTTTTTTCCCCGGCGAGAGAGATAGAAGTTCGTCCTTCGGCCGTTTCGGGCATGTATTCAACATAGTATGTACTCCGTAGTAGAGGTGAAGGGTAAAATAGGGGAAAAAGAAAACATTGCAGGGTCGAAGTTGTCCAGTTGATCTGTTGACTCGCAAGGATTCGATCTAGATGGTCGTCCGGAAGCGATTCCTGCAACGCGCCTTTTATTTTCTTATCCCCAAGAAGGAATCTTGGGTTGAGAAAGTAGTTTCACCGCTCTTATATCGTAGCTTTCCCCATGCCCTTAGTTGGTCGTATGTACTCTGGCATATCTGGCGTGCACGTCTGTCTCGTTTCTTTTTTTCTTCTCTTTCCTTCTTTGCGTCCTCCTGTACTCCGTATAGTGTAGTTGTTCTGGCAGTGTTGGTGGGTAGCTAAACTAGCTCCATTGGCTTCTCTCTGATTCTTCTCCAACCCACTGGCCTTCACAAAGCCGGGCACCACGTATGATAGCTTCACCGTCCTGTCCTGACTCCAGTTTTTAATGTTTGTTGTCAATATTTTGTCTCTCTCCCGGCCAGTATAAATAGTTCGCATCGTCTTCTCGATTGGCCTCTCTCTCCTTTGTTCTCTTCATTCACCACCAGCTGCCCCTCAGAAGGATATAAAAAGAAACTCCCCACAAGGTGAGTTATAGGCAGCTTCATCTTCTCATCAAGTTCATCAAGCTGATAATCTCTCGCATAGCAACCTTCATATTCCATTAAAATGGCTTCTCAACTCCCAAAGAACATGAAGGCGCTCAGGTGAGTGCCTTTTCCTGCTTCGGCGTTAGTCTATCAAGGCGACTTGCTAATATCGGCTGGCAGATACTCCAAGCCTGAGGAGTTCGGTATCGTCAACATCCCACTTCCAGAGCTCAGAGAAAATGATGTTATGGTAAGTCTGCATATGTTAGCCCTGACATAAATCGGAGCTGCACGCTGACAAATATGTGTAGATCAAAGTCAAGGCCTGTGGTGTCTGCGGCACTGACCTCCACATCCATGAGGGTGAATTTTTGGCCAAGGTGAGCTCTTAGTGACCGTTGAATTGTGAAAATGATAGCTCATAGTTCCTATAGTTCCCTCTAGTTCCAGGACACGAGACTGTCGGTGTTGTTGCAGCCGTCGGCCCAAAGGTCAAGGGATTCAACATTGGAGACAGAGTTGTTGCCGATAACTCTGAGCTCTGTGGAGAGTGTTTCTACTGCCGCCGCGGTGAGGAGCTCCTTTGCGAGCATTTTGAGGCCCATGGTGTCACTATGAACGGTGGATTCGCTGAATACTGCGCATACCCTGGTATGTTTAAAAATAATTTTTTCCCCATAAAGTTATTGATGCATTCTAACTGTGTGACTTGTAGCCGGCCGTGTTTTCAAGATCCAGAACCTCTCTGATGTTGACGCCACTCTCCTCGAGCCCGCTTCTTGCGCTGCTCACGGGCTCGACAAGATCAGCCCCAAGATGGGTTCCACCGTTCTCATGTTCGGTGCTGGCCCAACTGGCCTTGTGCGTCATCTAACCTATCCCTGTTCCTTTTTTGCGTGGGTTTTGATATACTGACGGACAGTCTGGAATAGGTTCTTGCTCAGATGCTCCGATTGAACGGTGGTTGCAAAGTCGTCATCGCTGCTCCCGAGGGTTTGAAGATGAACCTTGCTAAGAGCCTCGATGCCGCCGACGAATACATTGAACTGTCCCGCAAGGACCCAAGCGCTCAGTTTGAAGCTTTGAAGGCCGCCAACCCATATGGTTTCGACATTGTTGTTGAGGCCACTGGAAGTGTCAAGATCCTCGAGGATGCTATCAACTACTGCCGTCGTGGTGGAAAACTCGTCGTCTATGGTGTCTATGCCAACAAGGACCGTGTCAGCTGGGCTCCATCCAAGATCTGTAAGTCAATTTTTTTCCTCGTGATATCGGCATCCTTGTGTTTTGTAAGGCTCCAGGCTCCTAACCTTTTCCTTTCTCGACCCAGTCGGTGATGAAATCACTATCATCGGAAGTTTCAGCGAAACCTACAAGTTCCCTGCCGCCATTGACTACCTTGACTCTGGAAAGGTCAAGGTCAAGGGTATCGTCAACAAGACCTTCAAGCTCGAGCAGTGGGCTGAGTGCTTGGAATCCATGAAGAACAAGTCTGCCATCAAGGCTGCCATCACCTTTGACTAAATGTTCTTTGGGTTATGCTCCTCCTCGCCTTAATACATCATATTCACGACCATTTTTCATTCTGGAGTCGGGCCTTTGGTTTGCTTGATGATTATTGCCTTGGTGGTGCCTTTCATGAATGACGCTTTTTAGATTCTCAGGGGAAAAAGGGGACATGTCATTTTCTACTTCTTCACAAGATTCAAAAAGGGAAAATAGGGCCGTGCTGGATCAAGATATCGGAAATAATGAAGGTACTTGAGGTGTTGATGAATGGATCCCCAGCGTTACTGCCGCTGGTTTTGTAGTCAATAATGGCTTCAACCCTAGCTAGACAACATAGCAATGGATAGAATCTCAACATCACCTTGTCTCTGTCCTTCAACACGACTTTTCAGGTGTAAATTCCAGGGAGACCGTGGTTTCTCCATTATAAGTACGTTGCCAGATGTTTAAGTAAATTTCAGATGAGACGTGAGATCAACCTTGGGAGCAAAACTAGAACTATAAGTCAATAGTTCAACCTGAGGCTAGATATAGTTAGGTACCTACTTACCTGGGTAAGTATTAATAGCGAGTTTTTCATTATAAAATCGCCCTTTTATTGAGAACATCCTTCTAATCAACACGTCAACTAAACAGTTAACCATCTGTACGTTCTTATACTGTGCCCTCACCCATTCTAATATGGACCAAAGCTGCCCGCCCAGCCTGTGTCGGAACGGTATAACTCATGTTCCGAAATAGTCGGGTTTCCCCAGATGATTAGATAATCCCTGATCACGTGATATTTGGGGAACCATGTAGCTTACTAAGATACTTTCCTCTGTTGACAAGATAAATTCACTACTCTGGAGCCCCGAAGGCCTACCTTACTTTATAGAAGCAAACCCGTGAAGAAGTGAATCATAATGGTCAAACCACTATCCTTTAAAGGCGATAAAAAGTCAAAAAAGAGAAAACGACAGCATGATGACAACGAAGGAAAAACAATAGCCGAACCCTCCAAGCCAACCGCTACGGACTTTGAAGCAACAGCTGATGAGGACGGTCAGAATTGGGTCTCTGCCAATGCTCCAGCTGATATAGCAGGGCCCGTTTTGATTGTATTACCGTCGACCCCACCATCCTGCATTGCATGTGATGTCAATGGCAAAGTATTTGCCAGCGAGTTGGAGAATATAGTAGAGGGAAATCCAAGTACGGCAGAACCACATGATGTTCGACAGGTATGGGTAGCAACAAAGGTTGTAGGGAGTGAAGGGATTAGCTTTAAAGGCCATCATGGAAGGTATGTGCTGCGTTTGTCTAAAGAACTTGATTTACTGGCCAAAGGGATGACAGTGATGATACGAAAGCTAACTGCCAATCCCCCCCCAAAAAAGATATCTTAGTTGCGATAAATATGGCATTCTAACTGCCAATTCATCTGCTATTTCAGCTCTCGAGTCCTTCATCCCAATAAATTGTCCAGATTCCCCCGGAATGATATCTCTTCAAATATGCGGTGGTGATATGGAAGCATATATTTCCTCCAAAGAGCCTCCTCCCGCCTCGACTTCATCTAGAACATCTATCGAAATTCGCGGGGATGCAACTGAGATCTCATTTAACACTTCCTTCCGCGTCAGAATGCAAGCTCGTTTTAAACCGAAAACAAAATCTGCAGCCGCAAAAGAAAGCAAAGCATTGGAAAAGATTAGTCGGAAAGAATTAGAAGAAGCTGTAGGTAGGAGATTAAATGACGACGAAGTGAAGAGATTGAGAAGAGCACGAAGAGAGGGGAATTATCACGAAGAAATTCTCGATGTTAGGGTTAAAGGAAAACACGATAAGTTCGCTTGAGCATGTTTCTGCAGCCTCCATCAACAAGTCACCCTGCCACGAGGCGTTTTGGTGATCAATAACGAAAACAGGAAACTATGAAGATGGAAATATAACAGCATCACAAGGTGACTGACATGGGAGGCGGCGTATCAATGGCATTCGGGTATATGCCGGAATGTTAGATTCTCATATGAGTAATGTTGTAGGTCACCAGCGATATAATATAGCCAAGCCCTAAGGGACAGACAGTGGGAGGAATATACAGCTAGCATTGACTGGTCATTAACGTAATGTGAAAGTGCCGCTATCATATCATATATACCAATCCCCTCATCAACGAGAAGAATCACCATACCAAATATACAAATTTCCTTGGAAAGAAAAACCTGGAAATCCATGAACAACTGTCAACGCCATTGCCCCGGATAATCGCCCTCAACGCATGCATATACCCAAAGAAAACCCCAATGAGTGCAAAATAAAAAAGAAACGGTGATATATAATGGCAGTAAATCAAACACAGCTTGCAACCACTATTCATGACATTACATCATCTAAATATAGGGAACAGCCGGTGCGCCAGTTTAAGCCCTAGTTGAGGAAGTTAGAATCATAGACAGAAACAAAGATAGAATGTTGAGGCGGTAGCACTAGAGAGGTACAGATAGGGCTGGGATTTTGATCTTACATTTTGGTCTCGCTGCATCTCGTTCCCTCTCTTCATCTTCAGCCATCCTATCATTACCAAGCATAGCTACTGCTCTTTGGCGCATTGCCTCCTGCCGTTCCGTGCTAACAGTACTAGTGCGCGATCTTGGTTGCAAAGCAGATAACGGGATTATAGAAGTAATATTTGTGGAATTCCCGTGCTGGCGTTCTCGTTCTTCCTGGATTCTTCTGGCTAACCGCTCTTGACGAACCATCAAGTTCGTTACAGTTTCCGGGAAATAGCCAACAGGGAGAACACTGATCTTGCACACAGGACACAAACTGCTATTTTGCAACAAGAAGTTATCGATGCATCCAGGGTGGAATATATGTCGACATGGCAGCTCCCGAACGGTGGTCTCCCCCGGGGCATAATCTTCAAGGCAAATGGGGCAAGTGCATTGTGAGAATGTAAGTTGACCGAGGTCCTGGTTTAAAGGTGAAGCTTGAATCCGGGCATCTGCTTTTCTCCCTGATCTCGCGGAGTGTGTGCCACCATTAGATCCTCGGGTGTTACCACCAAATAGGTGTGAGACAAAGCCTCGTACAATGGGCTTCTTGGCTTCCAAGTGGTTGGATGTGGGTGTTTGATCAATATTCGACGGGACCATTGTGACGGCCGGCGCTGGGGCCATGATGTTTCCATCATTGGCATATGTATAGAGGGGCATCTTATCGAGGATATGTTGTGGCACATTCAGCCTTTTTATTCCCAACATCTCCAAGTCTACCTCTCCAGCTTGAATTCTGCGTTGCAATGATATACGCCGTCGTCTCTGGATAAGGCGCATTAAAATGGACGATATAATTATGATAATTATGAGCACACCAAGAACCGCTAAAAGGAAAATCCAGAGATTTGGCATCAAACTCCGGCCTCGTGCTAGAAAAATGTCAGTAAAGAGAATCTCTTTAACTTAGCTGTTTGTCGGGTTTTTATTACCAACGTCAACTCGAGCGAATATCCTAGCCCGTGCCATAGGGCCGAATTTGCTACTAAGTTCATCGCCATACGGAGCGGATGACAGATTTCCAGAATATATCGCAGCTTGGTGAATTAACTGTTGCCCATACCCTCCAGGAATAGCATAAACCGGGAAAGGGTGATTTAATTTCCATGTATCGTCATTGCCTATCTTCCAGTTTGTGCTATTTCCTAGTTTATAGGTTGAGTTGTCGGGCATATAAAAAACAGAGCCGACGACACGGTCGTCATTTGCTGCATCCAAGAATGCGAGGGTGCAATTCGGCGATATCCAGGGAGCAAGTGCGATAAGAGCACATGGAGGTTTCGGGAAGTCAGAGCGTCGGGTGACATTAGTAGGAATCAGGCTCTTTGCCTCCTCATTGCAGTCGTTGTTAGAAATCTGGGGCACATATAATAACCCGCTGATGGAATCTCCGGGTCCGTTGGACGAAAGCGTTACAACATTGTCACCTAGGTCGAGTTGATAAGATACTGTATCCTAAAGAAGGGCTATGTCAGTATCCGGGTGCTCAAGAGGCTGACGGGAAACTCGGGTGGGTTTTCTCACATTTAGAGAGGCTGGCGCGTCGCATGTTTCTCCTGGTAAAACCAGTGTGCCAGCTCGAAAAGAAGTTGACGCTGGGCGGCGTTTGTGTAAGCGCAAGTCCATGGAAGAAGCCGGATCGCACCAGGCGAATAGGACGACAGACCACACTTACCCATGGCATAAGTAGGATACAACAACAGGCAGGATCCCAAGTGCGATGGTGAAGATGCACTCCGACTTCGGCTCGATTCTTCTATCGATATGCCACCGATAGAATCCGAGGTTGCAGAGGAGGAAATTATATTATCAGAATGTTTTCCAAGTATTGTGAGCGGGTCTTGGGGAAGTGATTAAGCATTTATAACTAGCCCCGTCTCCAGCCGCAAATCATGTCCAAACACCATCAGGCATGCGTAGGGACTTTGGCACTGTGACCAGGATTGACTCGCTCGAATACGATGACAAATATTAATCCTGAGCGTTAATCAGATCCAGGATGGTATTTGGCAAAGGCCGGTACCTCAGGCATGAAACGAGCGCAGAGAATGGCGATCAAGTTATTCACATTTTCCAAGCAGCATGGTGCAGGATTTATGTATTCCTGGAGCATCCGGGTGATGAAGCCGTGGCTGAGGCGCGGGGAAATCTGACGTTTGTTGGAGAGCGCTAGCAAGTCAATTAAGCAAGCCCCTAATTGCACGACATCCAGCCTGATCAGCATTTGAAGCTTGGCTCGCAGGCCCACGAGACTGTGGTGAACCCTCCAGCCTGGCTATATTTATCAAGCTCTAGATCGCCAGTCGTATGAAGTACGCGGAGGCCGTAGTTAATGTGAGACGATACACTCCGTATAGTCGCAGTTTTGAAGCCAGTGACACGTTCGCTTAGTTTCATGGCCAGTTTCTCACTCCCTTTCGTAAATGCCCGCTTGTTATTGATTAACGTCAGCAAAGAGACATTGAATACGGTCGGGTTTTTCTGCCGTTGGAGGATGGGCTGCAGCGACTCGGTTACAACCATGCCACACCTACATGGTGTATCCGCGCCACTGGTATCATAAGCGTATTGTTTCCAAATCTCACCGCCCAAAGTCTGCCGTGTCAAGAGAAGTTGCCCGTGGAATCATTTTCCTTTTGGTTCCCTTCGGCACGACGGAGCCGCCGTAGGCTCTGGTTATGAAGGAAGCTTTCACGGGGTCTAAGCCACAGAATATTCCATTCTATCCATGTTTCAGGTAACTTTTCACCCTTCACAAAACTGCCATCAACTTAATAACTTATGGAGAACAAGTGCCGATATATTGGGCTGTTAAAACTCAACCTGGCTCGGCTGTCCAGTTGTTTAAACATTAATGAGTGGCTTCTCAGGGTAGAAATCTAATACAGTTAGCAGTAAGAAAAAGGCGCCAGGAAAGTCATCTACCTATACATCTTGTCATCTCAAGCCACCTAAACCTGGAATCAGGCAACCTGAGCCTTGATGACCCCCCAAACGCTCTGGTTTTTCTCGTAATGTGCAAGCTGTCTCAAGTGGCTTGAACTTCAAAAAATTCAAAAAATACTTTTTTCCCCTCAAGCCAGAATAAGGTTTGGATTACATAACATTATGCTTATTAACAGAGTTAAGCACGGGCCAGTTCTAAAACGGGGCAAAAATGCGTCAATGCGTCAAGTTTGTTCAACGACACGAAGAAGAACGCGGAAGGTTGCAAGCTGAAGTTGAGATTGATATAGGACAGCCTCTGGCCACCGAAGTTACATGTTATACCGACTACCGACCTGTGGATTATACCGGAAGCGACCTTATCTCTGCAGACGATTCGAACGCGTTTCCCGCTCCGTTTACCTTTCTTTACCAAGATGCCTCCCGGTCTCGGGAATAAGAACAAGGGCAAAGGTCGCGAGCCTAGGGCTTCTAGAAGCCGGAACACAACTCCCAGCTCTGCTCTAAGCACCAGCGCCAGCACGGTTACGGGAGTTAACCCGTCAATGGGGTACCTTGATAACGATGTCTCCAAGCTACTCGTACCGAATGGTGTGCAATATTCTGATATTCTTGAGAAATTCGGAGGAGTGGGCCAAATTCCGGACCAGAAATCACTAGAGTCCCTTGTGGACCAATTGAAAACCCTCGGCCAGCTTGCAGAGACTCGAGAGGATGCGTGCAACGCCGGCATGAGGGAACTGTCGCAAAAACGTAAAGAGGTGTTGGAGGAGCAGAGAGAACGAGAACAAGTGGATCGAGATGCTGAGGAAAGGTTAAGAATGAAAAGAGAGGCAGACGATGACGAGGAGGAAGCACGAATTTTCAAGGGAGGCAGGATTAAGAAGCGGAAGGAGAAGAACATTCCTAAAGAGGAGCGGCCGCTCTCTCATGGTGCTCATGGTGTTGCAAGGCAAGATGGCCATGAGGTTAAAGCTGATGGTAAGCTGAGATTTTGGCATTCCAGTGGTGGTGACAACAGGGCCGTACGCTTGATTGTTGTGGCCTTACATATCGTACCAAGTCACTAACGCATATACTTAGCATCCCATAAACGAGGGGGCAAAGATGCTAGTATGGGTTCACCCAAAAAAGCACGGAATCAGCCTTCAAGTGCATCATCTCTCTCACCACCCTCACTCCATTCCCCCCCTCCCGCTACCGCTGGGTCAACCGCGGGGAGCCCTGAATCCGTGGATAGTTCCGATTCCCGTCAGCCAGAGCCTGCGCCGGCCGTTCATCAATACCAAGTTTTCGGTCCTGATCCATTATTATTCGATGATCCCACAGTATATCATATTCGAGATGTCACGCCTAATATGACAGTCGAAGAGAAAAAGAAAATTTACAGCGTCGCAAGCTTCCCGGAATCCGATTTGAAGCATTTGATGGCAGGTGAACCGCCGGACAAGGATTTTAGCAATGCAAAGCCCACAAATCAAGTGAGCGCCAACACGTTTGCAACATATCTAGAACCCTACGTTCGACCCCTTACCGAGGAGGATATAGCGTTCCTAAAGGAAAAAGTAAGTGTCTGCCCCGTTATTCTTTTAATTACAATACTTACTTTGGCCGTACAGGGTGATCGTGCCACCCCTTTTCTTATGCCACGCCGTGGAAAGAAACATTATACCGATATTTGGGCAGAGGAGGACGGTTTAAACATAGATTCTACCAGTCAGGACCGAGATAAGTTGCCTCTAAACCAGGGCCGGGGTAGTGTTGAACAAATCACGGATGAAACTTGCGAGACGGATCAAGTCTCAGTTCCTCCAATGCTTAGTCGACTATACTCTCTTCTACGCTTTGAAAATCGCACGCTCCCCGATGATGCGGCTCAGCCAGGGAACGAAGAGACGGCTGTGAACGGAAATGCAACCGCTGACGGCCCAATGGATATCGACCAGCCAAACGGAGAAACAGAACCAAAGGCGCTAAGTTCAGCTACAACGTTCCCCGAGTCTTCTTTAAGCGGGTTCAAGGTTCCCGCCGCCAAATTAGACCATGCTCAGCTGGACGAACGACTCAAAGCTGAACTACGGTATATTGGTTTCCTAGGGCCCGAGGATAATCCAGACTATGACGCCCATTATGATGATGACATTGCTGAGAGACTCCGCATTCTTCAATCTGAGCTCAAAAAACAGATGATTGTTAACGGTGCACGGAAAACACGCCTGCTAGATATCGCTCGTGAACGCCTAGCCTATCAGGAATATAGCACGATTCATGATGACCTGGACACTCAAGTACAGCAAGCCTACCTTAAACGAACACGCACTCTGGGCAAAAGCAAGAAGGGCTCACATGCGAAACATCGCCCTGGCGGAGCAGGCGGAGGCAGTCATCCTGTCAGTACAGCGGGTGTTGGCAGACCTGGAATTGGTGACATGGCCCGTACCCTTATGGATCGCCGTAAGAGATGGATCGATTGTATCGGCCCTGTCTTCAAAGACTGCAAGTCTACTGTTCCTGGTAAAGATGAAACTATCTGGGATCCCGTATTAATGGCGGACTTTGAGAAGGCGGAACTAGAGGGATGGGATGAAGAACAAGAGTAAATGACGAATGCCATCTTAGCTCGGAGTACTGTCTTGACTGTACATATACCTTTCATTTTGGGTGATTGTCCTTTTATTTTACGCCATAGGGTTGCGGGAGGATAGATTGTAGGATTTGGCGTCTTTACGAGTCATGAAGATAAACCTCGCAGGTAGAGGCCATAATATCAAATATAATTTACAAACACGAATATATGTTTTCACGGTGGCTGATTGCCGACAATTTCTAATTACGAGTGGATGATAACTACCTCTCGCGGATACCTTTTCAGTCTTGCTGTAAGCTCTTTATCAGTAACCTCCAGCTCCACACATATCTCATCAAAACAGTGCGTTCCATCCAGATACTTGGCTAGGGTTTTATTATCAATACCATAATCACCTCCCTCACCATATCCATCTCCGTCCGAATCATCATCCCCAAACCCATCCTCATCACCGTCAGGCCCGTCATCTTCATAACGATGCAGAGAGCGGCGGTTACGTGTCCGGTCTCGAGGTGAGTGCGTAGATGCAGTTTTTGACAAGGGTTTGTTGGTTGATAGCGGATCTATCCCACTTGCGGTAGATCCTAGACGGCCACGGGAGAATGGATGAGAAGACGTGATGCCCACGTCTTTTTCAGTTGCTGCCCCCAAGGAATATCCAGCCATTGGAGAACTTGAAGGGAGCTGGTGGTTTGATTGTCTTCGCTGGTGATGGTGTTGTAGAATCCGGCCTGTTGCGAAGGGATACTTATGTACCCGGTATAGGAAGCCCTTGATAACACCAAATGTAATAAAACGGCGTACATCTATGTTTGCGAGTTCACGCATATGTTTAAGGTACCACTGTTTAACTGTCTGGCCTTGTTTTAAGCTCGAGTATAATTCAACGAGGCCGACTCCATCAACAATTGTTTTTGAGTTGAATTTGCTCGAGCCCTCACCTGACGTTGAGGGAATGGAGGTATCAATCTTTGGCCAGATACTGTCATGTTCTACCCATGGGTCATCGCTTGATACGGATATTCCATGGCTCGAACGAGGCACGGAGCCCTTCTGATGGGAAGTAGATGAAGAGGCAGCGACAGTAAACATTGATTTTGCCGAAGAAGAAGGTATACCGCTAGGTGAGAAGCAGATGTTAACATACCGTGCACATTCACATTGCATCTGTTTGTCCGGGACAATCGTGGAGCTGAACTCTGCAGTGGGGGCATAAATGGCCGAGAAGGAAAATATATCCAAAAGAAAGGCACATCCATAGTATATCAGATGGCGTATCGCGCGACAGGTGAGGGTGAAGTCTGCATCCGACAAGATGGAGATTTTTCGCACACTATTGATCCCATTTATATAAGGAACAATCTATGTTGAGGAATTAGTAAATGATGGTGTAGAGATGCAAGGCTATCGTACCCTCCTCATAGTCAAGTCCCAGTTTTCATCCATAAACGTTTCGCATCGAACAGTAAATAGAGGAACATGCCATGCCTTAACGATGGGCGGAGAGGGATACAGCGGAAAGAGCTTGACATTTAAAGTGTTCAATTCATCTGACGATGTACAGTTAGTAACGTAGATATAACCTGCATAGGGTAAAGCATACCAATTGGAATCATGCACTCATAATAGTTATTCAGATCCTCCATCAGAGTCTCACACAGACTATAAATCTTTCCCTCGCCGTCCTTAGAGGTATCCTTAGACAAGAATCCCGACTGCTCTTCAAGCCCGCACAGTAGATGTGCCAGCTTCTGCACCACGGTCTTATACGTCCCCCACTCGTCCTCTTCGTTGAGCACAATACAGAAATTGAAGATGAATTCGTTCCGGTCATATCGTGGTGATTTCATGCAGACGGGGGATCCGAGGATTCGGTGACCACCGGTGCAGACATGAATGAGATTCCCGCATAGTTCCTGTCGTGGAATGACGAAGAAAGAGACGTCAGAAAAGCTGAAGAGGGGGGAAGTGCCGGGCGGGGCTGAGGGAGAGGGCACGATAGCTCCATCGGGGACTTGATGGACGACCTTTGGCCCTGTTTGAGAGGAGGATGTTAGCAAATATAGACGGTCATAGTGGCTGATACGATGAATGTGAGGGTACGTTGCTTGCCTGACTGAGTGTCGAATCGGCTGTAGAAGATGGCTTTAATCATCGTTCACTCGCGATTCCTAGCATAGAGGAAAGAGTACGATCCGATAAGGGCGACATAACTCTCCATCAGTATATGCCAGACTTCAAGTGGACTCCAGAAGTCGACTTTGCCGTTCTCACTGAGTTGAGTTGTCGAAGGTTGAAGTTGTTAGCGTAGAGTTCATAAACTACGTCAGTTTTAATGCTCGCCTCTATAAAACCATCAACATAGCTTTGAGAACCTTTCTAGGAGTAGATGGTCAAGTGGACTTCTAGGAATCGAGAGATGGATTTTGTTCCCCTGATTGAAGGCAGGCTAGATACAGTATTACGATGCCTTGCTAGAGTTCATCATGCATTAGAGAGAAAGAAATGAAAGATAAAAAGAATCGAGGCCTTGATAGAAGAAGTGAGGTTACGAACATTCGCAATGCTTGCGCTCAGGGATATCATGAAGTGAATGAAATCAAATGCTAAAGGAAGAGAAAGTAGGGAGTCATCAATGTGAGTCTGGGAGTAAAAAGTCGCAACTGAATGAGACGAGAAGGGAAAAGCAAAGGAGAAAAAAAGGAGGACAGATCTATCCATAGCCGTAACTTCTTGGGAATAATACGTAAAGTCTGTGAAAGAGTTGAATAATAATGAGATATGAGATGGCAATGGGGAGGAACTGGCAAAAAGCGAGAATGCTCCCTTGAACGCTAATATCGAGAAGCAGTCCCAGGAAGTTGACAAACGCCGATGAGAAAGAAAGAGAAGGAAAATAGCGAAATAGTAAGTTCTCTTGTATCAATGCGCCGATAAAATGCCTGAAATAAAGGGAAATAAACGGAGATATGAGTTTCTTTTTGGCCGGGTGAGGGAAATTTCAGCTGTGGTGAAGGTCTCTCCTCGACGGTTGGCTTGAAACGGTTGGAGGGACTGCTGAGATCGGAGCCCTGGATGTTAACATGTCATTGGCCATGGCTGGTAGTCTTGTACTGCTGGAGGGGTGAACCGAGCTGGATGGGCCTGACACTGGTGCATGAGAGTGGTGATGATGCTGCGGATGCTGATGCAGCGAGACGCCTCTATGTGTAAAGTCGATGGCACGCCCTTCTCGAATGGCATCGAGCATGTCGGTATATCCGCCCCGTTCGATCGCTTCCTTGAGCCACTGCTCCCATATCTCGTCGAGGGCGACGTTGATCCCCCGTTCTCGAGCTGCCGTGGCCTCGAGAAGGTGTTCGTTCAAGGCAACGCCATAGCTCTCTAGGTCCTCGTCACTGCTGCTGTCCTCCGTCCCACTCTCTCCGGTAGCAGGTCCGTTGGTCTCGGAGCCGGCGTTGCTCGGTAGTACTGGACCGTCTGGAATCAGCGGACATGACGAGCAGCTAGCTTCATTACTCTCTTCCTGCATCACGCTGTGGACCTGGACTGACGGGGGCATGGACGGAGCAGCCGGCTTGATCTCGTCTGCGGTAGTATCTCTCACTTTGATGCCGGTGTCTCTCTCATATCGTTCCCTGGCAGACTTGGTCCCTTCCCAGCGACAGAGAGACGAGATCTCAGCCTCGGTCAGCTTGAGCTCGTCAAAGACCTTGAATAGCTTTTTGTGGTGATGGAAACGGCCTAGTCGCATACGATGAGGGGCGTAGGAGTAGTCTAAGCCGGGATATTGAGCTTCGATGCAGTCCAGCGTCCCGTAGAAGGTCGACGTCTCTACTCGCACTTCGGGAACGAGGTTTCTGGTGATGTGCGAGGAGAAGGACGAAGGGTCATTTCCGCGAGGCTTGCTGAAGAGGGCGTTATACACCAGATGGGTGAGCGAGGGCTTATGCATGGCGACGTTTCAGCTTGTTGTCCCTTCGATATCTAGTTGAAGAGCTTCGGAGGAGCTTGAAGACGAAGCCAAAAGAGTGATTCCAGTTGAAGCAAAGTTGCCAGGATGGTATTAGATATCGTAGCAGGGCGAGTTTGTTTCTTTGCAAGACCTTCCCGTCTTTATTTAGTGGCAGCAGCTATCGAAATGCGCTTTTAGCATAAGGACAGTAAGAAAGATTAAAAAAAAGGAGTATAAAATAAATAAATAACCAGCAGACAATACAAGTCCGGGATTAAGTATTTATTTATATATCCTCCCGAGGATATACCAGCTCTCTATTGCTGGTCCCCTTTTTTTCTTCTTCCCTTCTCTTCCTCTCTCGCTATTTTTCTGCTTTTCCGTCACTTTTCTTTCTTTTTTTTTCTTTGCTTGCTTCCCTTACAAGGGCCTTCACTAGGTTAGGGGGGCAAAGACGGTCGAGATGACAGAGACAGACCAGGCTATCGGTGACTTCTTTTTTTTTCCTCTTTGACAGGGTCCTCGTTCGACAAGGCTGACCTTGCTGGGTTTGATGGCGAAAAGCTCTCTTCTCTCGGCTGCGCTTTAATTTATGTCGTATGTATGTAAGTGAGCTGTCTGGAGGCCTAAGCCAAGGGGGAAATAATAGCTAAATAGTTTGAGTAAAATAAGAAGATTAGAGCTGACAAGGGCCCAGCGAGACTATCGAAGTTGATCGGTTTCTTTTTTGTTTTGTTTTTTTTTTTTTTTTTGGAGATGATGAGATGATGACCCCCAGACGGCTATATTTAAATAGCTGCGAAGAAGACGACGATGGCGATGACGGTGATGATGATAGCATCACACGCGAAAAGAAGAGAGCAAAGCAATGAAATCCTGAACTTGGGGTGGCACTTGAGGTCAGCGAGATGCAAAAGATAAAAAGGGTCATATGAGGGATGGAAACGCAGGGCGAGGATTTTTGACATAAACAACGACGCTCCACTCACTCTGGCCAGCAGTGTATATAACTAGTTGTGATGTTTTTATTTACTCTCTGGTGAGCAGCTCAGGCGAGACGTTCAACACACGAAAGGAGAATGGACAGCAACGGGCGGATGGTACTACGGCGAGGAGCCCTCTTTATACGTATCCTGCGTTGTTTATAAGATATAACTCCCTGGTCCACCCTGCACAGCTTCGTGGCTACATCTACTTGGGCTAACTCGCCGTCGAACTCTCCCCCCGTCGACCGACGTGGGCTCTCTCGATCGCTGTCCGGGTCTTTCTATCCTTCTCTCCCTTCCTCCCCCGTGGTTGGTTGGCTTGCAGATTCTGCTGTGGAGTAAGACCAGCCCATCGAATGCATGGCCATGCCAGCAGGCAAGTCAACAGGCCTGACTGTCTATGTAGATGACCCTCATCCTTTCGTTATCTGCATATGTCGTGAGCTCTGGCACCTTGGTGAGCCATCAGATTCGTGGCAAATGAGGTGGCAGCTTGTCTGTGAAAGGCACCTATCAACGGACCCATATACGAGGAAAGGCAAATAAAAAACTGGCATTTAAATGAGGTCCGATGCATTGACTCAAAATCTTCCGTTAAGATTATGCGAATAAGCCAGCCCGGGGGTGGTCTAGTTCTTTTTTTCTTTTCTTCTTCCTTTGCTCCCTTGCCTTTGGTGTAAGGTTGTATGTTGTCCAACCGCGCTCAGCTTCCGGTCAAGCGTTGGAACGATAAGGTGTTAAAGGGCATAGTGGTACATAGTAGTATTAGACAGTTGTCTAGATACCAGTTAGCACCCATCAGTATCAGAAGTTGGAGATGTAGACATCAATGAAGGTGTAGACATCGATGAAGGTTGTGGAATAAAGTCGCGGTTAAAGCGTCACTTGGCACTAAAGACGACCAAATCTAGGCTACGACCTCGACGACCTTCGACAGCAGCCTTGTATCTAATTTACGGTTATTATATATCATGAAGGACCATATAAGTCCCACTTGAGTTCGCAATGTCGACATTTAACGGGATTATCGAAGGTTTGGAGTTTTGTCTCTGCCTTTTGCCTTTGTCACTGTATCTCCGCTGACGCTTTTGACGCAGAGTTCCCGTATATCAGAAGTAAAGAGCATGGAAGCATCACATAGAAAGAGGACTAGTGCTGACAAGCAACAGTCGACAGTTTCCGCAAGAATCCGGAGAGACCTGCTCCGCTGGCATGTTTTCTCAGCCATGTTCACAGCGATCATCTCGCGGGGCTAGAGTCCCTGAGGGCGCCGTTTATCTACTGCTCAACGGCCACCAGAGAAGTATGAAAGGCTGCCTGTTTGATATAATACGTATAATGTTAACGGCCATAGATACTCTTGCGTATAGAGAAATACCCTCATCGGATGAACTTTAGCAAAGGGATCTTAGAGTCTAGAAAGCAGCATTATAAGCATCTGGCAAAGCTACTGGTACGAGGTGATGTATAAACTGGGATGCATTGAATACTGTTTCTGATATACACCGCTGCAGAGACCTATTCCTTTGCAGGTTCCAACGGAGATTGAGCTTATGCCTGGAAATACCATAAAGGTTACCTTATTCGATGCTAACCATTGCCCTGGCTCCGTCATGTTTCTGATAGAAGGCGCTGGTAAGGCGATACTGTATACCGGTGACATTAGAGGTATGTTTTTATAAAAGACTCAATTTCTCTTACTAACAGGTCTCTTTAGCTGAAGAATGGTGGGTGCAAAGCCTCGTCAGAAACCCAGTCTTGATACCATATACCATGGGAGACAGTCGACTGGACAATATATATCTTGACACGACATTTGCTACAAAGTCAGATATCCATCAAGTCTTCCCTTCCAAAGCAGAAGGGATACAAGAACTCTTGAGCAAGGTCAAGGAGTATCCAAGTGATACCCTATTCTACCTACGCAGCTGGACATTTGGCTACGAGGACGTTTGGTTGGCTCTATCCACAGCCCTCAATACAAAGGTGAGCCTTCTTCAGCCATTCAACTAGACCTCACAGCTGACTTTCTTCTGCTAGATCCATGTCGACAGGTATCAGCTTGGCCTGTATAACTCACTAGCTGCCAGGCCAGGAAGCGGGTTTGGAGTTGACGACTCTTTGTATCTTTGTGGTTTCCGACTCGGGAACTCCTCTGTGTCAGGATGTCTGACAAACGATCAATCTGCTCGTATCCATAGCTGTGAACCGGGCGTCATGTGCTCCAGGATATCCTCCGGAAAATCGGTCTACATCACTCCTATCGTCACACGAACCAAAGAAGGTTATGAAATACCAGAAGTTGGTGCCGGCGGTGGCAAGGGAGACCTTGAGCAGAGCCATGAGTTAGAGCTGCCCGATGACACAAGCTTTCAGCGTCTATTGGACCTATGTAAGGAACAGATAACGGAGCCCAAGACAAGGGACATGGTTATTTCGGCCCTCTCTAAAGCATATCAGGCTGGCGACAGAGTTATATCCCTGGACGAATATGGTCTTAGGGATGAGGAAGAAATCCCTCTGGCAAAGCTTGTCGGTATCATAGGACAAGGTCTGCAGCAAAGAAAAAATGAGCCTCTTCCAAATACTATCGTGAGAACGGTCCAGGTCCTTATTATGTGTAGTGGACATAACTAACTTCCTTCATCTAGAGATTCCCATACTCTCGCCACTCATGTTACTCTGAGCTTTGCCAACTCATCGAGGCCTTCAAACCCCTGGACATCTATCCGTGTACCGTTGACCCCGTTACCTGGAACGAGCGAGTTTCTATGCAATCCCTGTTCGGTCATTTATGTTCCGGGACAAGATTTCATCATGACAGGATGATGCGAAGGGCAATGCAAGATGCAGGCGATAGGCCATCAAAGCGGCAGAGGCGCGCAAGCGATAACCCGTCTGAAGCAGTATCTACTCAACAATCAAATCCAGAATTACAACACAACCTCGAAAAGCAAGGAGCGAACACCGTAACCTCTCAGAAACAGCAACCAGAGGAAATAGGATTTGCTTTACAGGGCGATGAGGACTCTCTTGCGGACTACCCTACCTCATTCCCCACGCAATTAACCACTCAATCATCTGAATCTCCTGCCACGAGGTTCAAAGCGATAAAGCAGGCGATGCTGGAGAACTTCCAGGACGACGAAATTAGCTTTTTCTCACCTTCGTTTACGGACCCCCATCCAGAGATGGAGCCAGCTTCTCACCAACAGGCAGCCGAAGCAGGGGCCGAAAACGCAAATACACAATCACAATCCACAAATTCTCAGCAGGGGCTTCAAGTGGAGCAGGAAGAGCTTGACCTACGGCTTAGTCTCTGCGTATCTCGGACATTCACCACCGCCACCAATGACGATAACGAGGCTGAAAATAAAGATGAAGACGATGATGCCAACGATGAAGTAGAGAGCGTCATATCTCTATCCTCATCCGCTTTTTATTCCCAGCCACTCATGGTGAAACCGGCTGAGCACGGCAATGATGAAGAAGCGGATATGGTATTAGTTCCATCGTCGGCTCCCGGGCCGGAGACGGACATAGATCCTGAACCCTGCAGGTCTGGACGGACATCCGCCCGCAAAGACATGCGTATAGCTGCGTATCGAGCTGCGAGGAAAGGGACGTATGAAGCCTGGACGAATACGTGTTCGTTGATAAGTGTGTGGGATAATCATACATATCCGGAAGTTGAGTTGTAATTTGCTCGCTCATGCATTGTTTCTTTGAGTTGTATTTACCTATACATGGCGCCCGCAGCAGTACATAAATATAATAGAGTACGAGTAATATATCAATCATACAGTGATAAACAAGGATAAAATCACACGCTATAACGTCTGCTTCTCAAAACCTGCCTCCCAAATTGCCGCCTAATATATGAAATAGTCCTGACAAAGCGGTAGGTTTTGAATCGGGTCAGCATCGCATATCATTCCATCTGCTTCCACGGTCTATATTCTATAGTTAGACGAACAAGTACATATGTTTAAGCTTGGGTAAGGGATCAATTCAACTTACATAACTCTCTGGATCAACTCTCATCTTCGGCATGGTATCGTTGAACTTCATGTTGGCTTTGCCTATATTCCTACAGTTCTTAACCGGTTCGACTCGTTTCTTGAGATCGTATGTGTCAATTACACCTTCGTCAACGGATGATTGAGACACGAATATGATGGATGTATTGGGCACAAAGGCCTAGAGATATGTTAGTTCCTTAGAGTACAACTTGTTAGATTGATTTTTTTTAGGGGAATGGACATACACCCCACATAGGCCGGGACATGATCGGTTCGATGGTAGGAATAGAACCATTTGCATCACCCTGTTGGAATAATTAATAAAATTCTTCAGCATAAGGGAGATTTGGACAAGACTATACCATCTGCGCATTGGCAATCATCCCACTCTTCAAGACCAGGTTGGGCTTCACACCAAAGCTGGCAAACTTCCACAATACCAGGTCTGCTACCTTTCCAACCTCCACGCTGCCAATGAGATGGCTCATGCCCTGTGCAATTGCTGGGTTGATGGTATATTTACTCACGTACCGCTTGGCCCTGAAGTTATCGCAGTCGGTACCCTCGTCTTCCGGCAAACGGCCGCGTTGCAGCTTATTCTTATGTGCTGTGTGCCAGGTTCGAAGTATAACTTCACCACAGCGCCCCATGGCCTGGGAATCAGAGGACATCATGCTTATAGCGCCCATGTCATGTAGTACGTCTTCGGCAGCGATGGTTTCGGCGCGAATACGAGACTCTGCAAAAGCCACATCTTCAGGGATATGTTTGGATAGATGGTGGCAGACCATTACCATGTCTAGATGCTCGTCCAGAGTATTGAGGGTATACGGTCTGCTGGGATTGGTACTGGAGGGCAGAACGTTGGGATGTTCGCACACGGATATGATGTCAGGAGCGTGGCCGCCACCAGCACCTTCAGTATGATAGGTGTGAATTACCCTGTCCTTGAAGGCCTTGATCGTCTGTTCGACGAAACCGGACTCGTTAAGTGTGTCGGTATGGATGAGACATTGAACATCTAGCTCGTCGCAAACGGAAAGACAGCTGTCGATGGCTGCCGGGGTTGAACCCCAGTCCTCGTGTATCTTGAGGCCGGCGGCACCAGCGCGAACCTGGTCCCTGAGACCGCGTTGTTCACTGTCGTTTCCTTTGCCGGTGAAAGCGAAGTTCATAGGGAAATTGTCTGAGGATTGGATCATTTGGCGGATAGCGTTTGGCGAAGGTGTGCAAGTTGTTGCGTTTGTGCCTTCAGACGGGCCGGTGCCGCCCCCCAACATGGTCGTGATACCGGATGCGAGTGCCTCGTCTACCTGCTGTGGACAGATGAAATGAATATGGGTATCGATACCGCCAGCGGTGACAAACATCCTTTCCCCGGCAACAATATCCGTAGCTGAGCCGATAATCATTCCAGGCGTGATACCATCCATAACATCCGGGTTGCCTGCCTTTCCAATGCCAACGATGATGCCGTTCTTGATACCGATATCTGCCTTGTAGATGCCCGTCCAGTCGAGAATGACTGCATTGGTGATGCAGCTATCCAGGACCTCATCTGCACGTCTACCGGTGGCCTGTCCCATACCTTCTCTCAACGACTTTCCTCCGCCAAAGGTACATTCATCACCATAGGTGGTAAGGTCCTTTTCAACCCTAACCCACAAGTCCGTAGCAGCCAGTTTAATCAAGTCTCCTGTCGTGGGACCAAACATGCGTGCATACGCCTCTCGGGTCATAGAGAAAGGCGTCACCAAGCTCGCATCAACCGTCGGTTCCGGTATATGAAGGAAGCCAGCCTCCGTGATGCGGTGCAGTATCCTCTCCCGTCGACCGCTGTCAACCTTCCCCGTAGCCAGGAAATTGCCTCCCTTAATCACCTTGTGGCCGCCAATCTCGACGAGCTGAACGGTCTTTGACTCTCCCGGCTCGAATCTATGGGAGCTGCCAGCCGGTATATCAAGACGGAACCCGTACGCCTGAGCTCGATCAAACTCAAGCTGCGGGTTCGTTTCGATAAAATGATAATGCGAGCCTACCTGTATCGGCCTATCGCCTTTACTAGTCACTCTAAGCTTGATTCTCTTCCGTCCGGCGCTGAGAACGATCTTCTTCTCCTTGACGACGACGACAGCGCCCGGCATACGCTCAGGCAGGTATTCCTCCGGCTCAGGATCCGGGAACAGATCATCCGGCGGCACAGGCAAGAAACTACCGTACAACGCCTTCTCCAGGTCTCCGTCATCCGAGCAGATGGGATTATGGACAGTGACCAAATACGTCCCGCAGATGAAGGTCCCCTCGACCTGCAACTGAGTCAGACTGGCAACCACCGACGGCAGGACATGACGACGACCAAGCATCGTCTTGCCTATAGCCATCAGGTCCGCCACCGTATGGTTCCCATCTCGAATCAACTGGGATTTTTCTTAGCGTTTCGTCATTCAGACTTGGCTTTTTAGATGTTCAACATACCTCTTGGAGGTTCGACGATATCAACGCCGTGGCCTCCGCATGGTTCAACCTGACTCCACGCGCGAGCCGTCTCTGCGCCAGGAAACCCAGCTGCGAGATGGTGAGCTTATCAAGCTATATGTATACATCCCATTGATGCACGGGGATATCGTCAGTCCAAATGATATTATAACACGGATGCTGGGGGGAGGAGAAAAGGCGATGCGATGGAGCAGCCCAAGCATTGGCAGATGTATAAGCGACCAGTCAGCTTTACGAACCTCTCTCGGGATGAGGCGCATCTTCGTGCAGCCAAGCACAAAACGAGATGGTACCTGGTCGACCTGCCGAGCGCTTCGTCTTCTCTAACTTGTAGATGTTATAGATGTTGGCGAAGTTGAAGGTCGAGGTCGAAAAAGGACAGCGAGGAGGAAGAAGAGGTTACGAGGCTGATCTTCTCTTGCCGAGGTTTCCTGCCGCTAAGTTCCCAGCTGTAGCCGTTCTAGCATTAAAAGACAAAAGGGTTAATCGCCTTGTTACAGAGATATTATTATTAACATGATTAATTATCGTGAGATAAGGGGGAGGGACGCTTTTTTTATACATGGAGAATATGAGACCTTTTTTTTTTTTTTTTTAATGGACGATAACTAGTGGTAGAATACAGATAAGCCAACCAGCCAATGATAGGAAGATAACCCTAGAACTCGTCAATTCCGCTCTTACGCTTCTTTCTCGTCTTCTTCTCCGACTTGGGCGGTTCCTGGGGTGACGGGGCGGCCACGGTGGCAGCAACGGAGGCACGTCTGTCCTTGTCTTTGCTTTTGCCCTTGTCAGACTTCTTCTTCTCTGGAGATGGCTTCTTCGGGGCAGGAGTAGGCGTCTCGATCACTGGCGCCGGTGCTGGAGCAGCAGCGGCGGCGGCAGCCTTGGACTGGCGACGCTTCTGTGACTTTGGAGTCGGTTTTGGTGGAGAGGGGGTGGGTGTTGCAGCTGGGCTGTCGTTGTTTGACGAGTCCGAGTCCGAAGAAGTGTCCTCAGTGGTGGCCTCGTGGACGGCCATCTGAAGCTGCTGCTCTGCCGCAGCGTCGTGGTCATCTTCTTGCCTGGCAGTCTTGGTAGACGTCTTGCTTGTCTTTGACGTCTTTGCTGCCTTGGCTGGCTTGGGAGTGGCGGGGACGGTGGTGTCGACCTTGTGGCCTGGAGGAAGACTGGCCTTGTACGCACTCATCTGCTCCTTGTAGACGGCTAGGTTCTCGGCGTACAATTGTTTCCATTTCTGACACGTCAGCATTTAGCGGGATGCTTCCAAAAAAAAAAAAAAAAAAAAAACAGGTTAAAGGGAAAAAAAAGGTTCAGGAACTACTTACCTGTCTCTCAGCGTCACTCATCTCACTCCATCGACGCGTTCCTTCGTCTGCAACCTCCTTTGGCCGGGCATTCGTACCAAGTTCCGCAGCGATGTTGGCACGCTCATGCTTCATGTACAGAAAGTACGCTGTAAGGGCTCGCTTGGGTGCATTAGGATCGTGGACGCGTTTGCGCTTGGTTCCTGCTACCGAACGCGCGCCTGGGCTTGGAGCTCGCACCGTTCCGGCCTCAGCAGCAGCCCCGGCAGTTCCAGCAGCGGCGGCTCCGGCATCACCGTCTACAGCTCCGGCGGCATTGGGTTGAAAGATTCCATTCTCCAGCAGCGAGTTGAGGCCTCCGATATCGATGTTCGAGGGCCCGCGGTTAAGCACCGTGTTGGCGTGGTTGATGTAGGCGCGCGAGAGATCCGAGACGGCAGACTGCAAGGCAGCAAGGCCTACGATGACCTGTTCGCAAGTTAGCGTTGGAGGGAAGAGTTCAGGTTGCTGTGCACCAAGGAAGAGATCCTGGGCGGTCGAGTTGATGCGATAGGTGAGCAGGTTGATGGACTGGACCAGGTCGAGAGGAGCTTCAAGCGCGGGACCAGGAGTCTCGGTGCGTCCACGACCGGGCCCGGGAGTGGTGGCACGACTGCGCGCAGGCATGGCGAAGCTGACGAGAGGCCAATTCGTGTATGTGTGTGTGTATATTGTGTGTATGTGTGTATGTAGTTGTGTAGTTTGCGGTGTAGTGTTGTTTCGTTGTTTAGTGTGTAGCGTAGCGCGGGTGTTTGTTGTTGTCGGGCGTTGTTACGGGTAAAGAGAGGCCGCACCACAACACATAGGCTAAGAGAGAGAGCACAAGAGAAAAGAGACTTACGCTGTCGCGAGTGCGAGTAAAGTCGTCTATGCTGACGACCAGAGTAGTGGTGCCATCGCCCTCTGTCGACTTCTTCTCCTTCTTCTCCTTCTTGTCCTCTTTACGCGACATGGTGTTTATTATCCGGCCCTTTTTCTAGCGGTGGTTGAAGAGTTTTTGCTCTACGGGGCGGGCGGGAGAAGTTTTAAGGGAAAAGAACTTTCTACGAGGGGGGGGGGAAAGCAGCCACCTAAATACTCTTTTTTTTTGGGGGGGAAGCGGCGAAGGCAGCCTAGCGAGGGCTAAGGGGACCGCCCTCTTTTAACTGGGCTTTAACTGGAGCTGGGCGCTCTTCTGGCCCTAATCTAGGCATGCCGTCTTGCTTTTAGGGGGGGGAGGGTGGCATGCCCCTAGCCTAGCCTAGTCTAGCCTGCTGCAGGGCTTTTCTTTTGGGGGGGTGAGAGAACTTTAGGCCTTGGGGGGGGAACCTTAGGGTCGTAAGCGTCTTGAAGGGGGGGGGGAGGAACTTCCTCAGGCTTCTTGCATGGTAGGCTTGTTAGGCTTCTTGGAGATAAGGCTAGGCGTTGGTGGCAAGCGCCGGAAGAGACATCACAAGGCCCAAGTTTAGGCTAGCCTAGGCCTGGCTTTCCAGTTAAACAAGGCGACTCCCCCTATAACTTGTTCCCGTAGCAAGTTTCGGATGGAGGCATGGTTCTCTCTGTATTCAGCTCTACACGTACACTGCATAATACTTAAAACAATAATTACAGTTGGGTCACACCACCGGCTCTTTCTCGCTAGGCCACAAAACTAGAATTTATACACCTGCTCCTTGCTGTATCCGAGCTCCTTGAGGATACCGGTCAGCTCTCCCTGGTCCTTGGGGCTCACCTTTGGACCGCTGACGGCCTTGTACATGCCTGGAGGCCCGCACACGAACACCTTGATCCCCTCTGTCTTGGGCTCAGGGAACGCCATCTTCACCAGCTCCTTGGTCACGTAGCCCTTGCCACCCGTCCAGCCCTCACCGGGCTTGTCAAGCAGGTACAGAGCCTTGAACCGGCGGGGGTGGGTGTTCTCCAGCTCCTCCAGCTCGCGGCGCAGCAGGATGTCTTCCTCCCCCACGTTGCCGTAAATCAGCGTCACCTGCGTCTTGTCGGCGGGGTCGCTGAAGATCTTGCGGATGAGCTGGTACATCGGAGTGATGCCGGTACCGCCGGCCACCATGCAGACGTGGCTGTGCTTGTTGGCTTTCCACTCGTACTTGGGGATCGGGCCCTTGAAGGAGAGTGGCTGGCCCACGGACAGGCCGTGGATGTGTGTCGACATTGGGCCGTTGGGGTACTGCTTCACCAGCAGGTCCAGGTGGCCGGGCTCCTCCTCGTCGCTGATGGGTGTGTAAGGGCGGATGGTTGGCTTAGCGTCTCCTTCTCCCTTGAACTTGGTCAACAGGGCAGCTACATACTCGCTCTCTCTCGTTAGCTATCTTCACAGGCATCCTCAATGACATGAAAGGAATAACATACAGGCGATGTGGAGTCCAGAAACACTCTCGCTGTCGGGCAGGTCGAATCGAAGCTTCTTCACGTTATGGCTGACTTCCTCCACGGCCGAAAGCTTCAGGTCGATCCATCCTTGGTCGCCGCCGGTGAAGGTTGGCTTGCGATCTTTCTTGACCACCGCAGCCGAAGTCTGCTGCCATTGCCAGTAGTAGTATCCCGCTCCGGCAGCAACGGCCAGGCCAGCGAAGAGCGGTGCCTGGGACGAGGACTTGGGTGCTTCGGTCGAGTACGTTCTGATACCCTAGCATGCAACAAATCTCAATTAGCTTGCTTCCCTGGCCTGTATCCTTATATTTCTGCGCCGTGGCCGGACGGAACGAACCTGTCTCAACGGCCCGGCCGTTCGGGAAAAGCGAGCAAACATTGTGAATAGAGGCGTGTAGCGATTGCAATTGGGATGGTCCTGGGTGGTGGTGGGTGTACGGTAGATGTAAAAGTAGAGGTTGAGGTTGGAGTTTTGAGGCCGAAGTGGGAAGAATTAATAATATGAGCCCAAGACCCATGACGCCATCCCTGTAAGAATAATAGTGTCATTACAAGATGAAGCAGTGATAAAATATATGAGATGACGCATTTAATTCTACACTTGTGTATAAAAACTACGGCATCAATTGACGGGGCGGTGGTTGAACTTGTAGTAAAATTTGTTGTTCATTAAGCTAGAACAGCGCAGCCGATTCATCGATTCAGGGCCACAACGTCAATACCTGCACCACAACCAGACCAGAGAAGCCATCCGTCTTTGATTCTCTCTTATTTCTCCAACGGCATGGCATGCACTTCACGGTCTGTCATCATAATACAGCCATATACTTTTACTCTTCAACTCCTCTGATTTTGATCTTCCGCCGCACACTTCATAAGGGGAAAAAAGGAAACCGTTTAAGCAAAGGTAGATGGTCTCGTGGAAGCGAAGATCTTCTTGTTGGTGGGCTTGGCGACACGATGTGGGAGTGGGAACTTGAGGCCCTTGGTGAGAAGTTGTTTGATGTATGGGCGTCGGATGCTCTCGGTCTTCTCGATCTCGACGACCTTGAGGATCTGTAGCGGAGAGTTAGTCTTATTTCTTGTTCCAATTTCTCTGAAAGTCATGGCTGCACGTACGTGGATGGATCTGAATCTGGCACGGTGACGGGCGGCCATGTCTTGGTACATGGCCTCGACGGCATCGGTTCTGGACATCTCTCGGTACTCCTTGTACATGTTGTGTGTGCCGGAACGAGAGTCATAGACGATCCAGATACCGAAGTTCTTAACCTTCATCGGCCTCTTCTCATGGATCTATTCCCATTCGCACCGTCTTAGCAAATTATCCCAATCAGTGGTTCTTTTTAGCCTTTCTTTTCGTAGTTCATACCGTGTTGACAGCAACGATCTCACCGCTAGCCTTCTTGACCTTGCGCATCTTCATGAGGAAGTACCAGAATCTCGACTTGGCCACGACAGTGTTGGGAGCGAAAATTCTCATGCGGTAGAGCTTGGGGGTGGGCTGAGTTTCGGTGGGCAAATGGCGCCCGATCACCTGGTATTCGTTGAGTCGCCCTAGATTTCATGGTCAGATAGGTGTTGCAGTGTACAATCCGGTTGTGGAGGCAGCGCATATCAACGCATCGGCTGATATTCATGCTTTTGAAGATTTTGAAGTTTTTTGAGGGCCGTTGGTAAAAAGGACTTCGGAGTTGCGGCGGCTGAAGAGAAGGACTTACCCATCTGGAAGGACAGTTAGCAGCAATTCCCAAAGAAAAACGCAAAAAGACTTTACACAGGAGAAAAGGTCTCTTACCTTTGAGATATTGTCGTTGCCGTGGTCTTCAACGAGAATTCGCGGTTGAAGATCGAGAATTTGTCGCTTTTTCGTGGTTCTCCTTTAGGGCTGTGGGTTTCGCTTAGAAGAAGAGGCGACGGCGCTATGCCTTTTTGGGATATAAGGCTTGGCGGTGGAAACGTCAACATCAAAGAGATAGAGGTGAGGATAAGATGAAGATATAAGAAAAGAAAGGAGAAGGGAAGAGAAGATGACAAGATGACGTCGATATTTGCAGAGTTCAAGAGGGCTCAGTCTGCCGGCTCAGGCGAGGCCCTGGCTGCGACACTGACACCTGTTGACATACCCCGTCTGCGGGCGTTTTATTATAACACCACCAACAGCATGAGCGCAGCCTCAGATATCAGATATGCCCTTCTTCAAGATCGAGTTACAGGAGTGAAGCTGCCCAAGCAGGAAGGGAATGCATGGGTCGACATCTTTGTTGCCTTCTGGCGAGCTGCTGGAGAGCTGGTTAAGATGGACGAACCCAATCTCACCTCCAACCGGGGGACGTGGACTGCCCTTTTCGGCCACTGGAAAGATCTTGCTATTCTTTTAAATACAAACTACTCAAATTCAATCCTTGAAGCCTGGACTCTGCCAGTTCTATACGTCGTCGGCAAGTATCTACGGATATTCGCTATAAAAGCCGATGCAGAGACCATACAAGAGCCTGTCACGACTTTCAACGACGGATTCCAAGATGACATCGTTGCAGATGTGAGCAAGAATGCAAAGCTTGAAGAGACATCACGGATAATCAGCAGAATGTACACTGTGTGTCTCCACGACAGGTATGCATTAGATGTTCGGTTTTTCCACGTTCTGGTTATATTCTGAGTTATATGTATCTAATAGGGCCCCTATCGAAGAATCTCGTAAATGGGGAGTCTATAACACCATCAACCTTGCGTTTAAGACGTACTTTAAGGTATGCAATTGATGCTGCACTTCATGCAGTCAGTTCTTTTCCTTACCTAACTCATTTCCATGTAGCTGGGCTCCATTGCATCCTGTAGGAATTTGCTATCTGCAATGAAAGCATCCCAGGCCGAACTACCGTCTCTCGATGCGTTTCCTAAATCCCACATCGTTACTTTCAAGTATTATCTCGGAGTCATTTCTTTCCTAGAAGAATGTTACGCAGAGGTACGTCCTTTCAACGTGCCAACATCTGGAACTTCCACTAACCAACAACAGGCTGAAGAACACTTGACGGCCGCATGGGAGCTTTGCCGAGTAGACTCCCACCGGAACAGAGAGTACGTGCAAAAGCCTGGATAAACTTTATACAGGTATCATGTTCTAACTATCGTAGACTCATACTCACATACCTTATACCCTGCCACATCGTCACAACGAATACCCTCCCGTCAGCTCGCCTCCTATCCAAGTTCCCCCGTATAGAAAAACTATTCGGTCCCCTCAGCACATGTATTCGCAAGGGGGACCTAGCCGGTTTCGACGCCGCAATGGCGGCCGGTGAAAACGAATTCGTCAAGCGACGGATTTATCTCCCTCTCGAGCGAGGTCGAGATATAGCTGTTCGTAACTTATTTAGAAAGGTATTCATCGTCGGTGGGTTTGATCCGCCAGTGAACGGTCAACCTCCTATCAGACGGACGAGAGTACCGGTTGCAGAGTTTGCAGCAGCCATTAGGCTGGGGACGAAGAATACGGAGGAGAAAGCCAAGGTTGATCTCGATGAGGTCGAGTGTTACCTTTCGAACATGATTTACAAGGTATGTAGAACCAAGTTTGGCTATCCCTACTGCTTGAAATTGCCTAATATATTATGTACTAGAACTTCATGAAGGGGTATATTGCTCGCGAGAGAGGGATAGTGGTGCTAAGTAAAGGCGGCACTGCCTTTCCAGGAACTGGCGTCTGATCCTATCTTAATATAATTAATGGAAGTAGATATCATTATGTGCTTCAGAAAACCAGTAAATATTTATTCAAGTGCTCAGCATAACATCTAACCGTATAGGTATGCATGTATTCCGTAGCACAGAGGTTCAGGGTAGCCACAAGCCCTGTGAAGAGTACAAGAAATAAGCTCGAAAATCGTATTAAGCAGCTGAGCAAGAGAATATAGCATGTCCAGATACTGCAAGTTAATACGGGTCGAAGCATGAAGAGTAAGTGACGATAGGGTAATAAGGAAAGTAAACCTAGATAGGAGACAATTTGATAACGAGATAAATCAACATAAACCAAAAAGAAACCCTAGAGCCGAGCTATGAAGCGGGAAAGGAGAACATTATAAAAACAGATATGAATATATCAAAACGCTAAGACGCCGAGGCCTGGTATAGTGGATAATGATAGGAGATGAGAGAAAGAAAACCGAACAGTCATCGACGCACCTGGTCGGGCCATTTTATAAAGACAGAATGAATAAGAGTCACGAAAGATTTGTAAAAAAGAACGACAGGAAAGGAATATGATACACATTAAGTATGTTGGTCTTGGGTATTGGGGGGTGAGAGGGATGCTGTGACTTTGGGAGAAGGGTGGTACTGCTGACTTGGAGGACAACTGGCCAAGAGATGGTATGGTACAGGTTGGATATGGTCGAGTAGGCCAATGCATGAGAAGGAGTGCAAGTAGCCTCTAAGTGGATAGAACACAGGCTAACGAGAGAAAGGTGACTTTGAGGCACTGGAGAGGTCATCCTATGATGGACATTAGTATAACCCAAGGTCAGAGAGAGAGAAGGCAATGAATATACCATATGGTTACACATGGCAACGAAGAGGTCGAAGAACAGCTTCCCTCCCTCTTCCATCTCCAGTTGCATGGTACCACTACGCTTGAAGGTAGACCTCGAGCGGATTATCAGGGCAAGATAATGGGCTCTAAGCTTCGAGTCGTTATCAGGGGTGTTTGCATATGCATACCGTGCACTGGAGAGGATTGTGCTGCATTGGATAGCTGTCTGGAGACCCTGCTTTCGAAGAGAGAGCCGCTTCAGCTCATCTAGACCATATCGTTCAGCAGCACAGCTGGTTTTGCATGTCAGCCAAGGGTAACAAGGGTAAGTGGTGAACCTGAAGAAGGATGACTGACTAGATGGCTGTATCTTTTAGGATCAGAGTACCATCTGCCTGGTTGATGATGGTCGACTCTGGAGATGATCTTGGGTTTGTGGCATCGGTATCCTCAAGCAGCCAGGTGTCTCGACGCTTGTTATGCATCAAACGAGGGTAGTAGTCGCCCTTGTAGAGGTACTCGAGGACGGACGAGAGTATCTCTGGCTGTTCACCCGGCAAGTTTATGCGTTTGGTGTGTGATTCAAGGAACTGGCCACGGCAGCAGGCAGAGAAGAACGGCGAGACACAAAGCACATCTTCATGGGCAGCGAAGAGGCGCTGGTCAGGGCCGACGCAGATGGTGACAATGGCAGAATTGAGACTTCTAGCAAGTCAAAGCGATACAGATGAGCTTTTGTCTGATTTTTATCATAAGGGCGTGAACTGTGAATATCTGGCTGGCCGAACTTACTCTGCAACTGGCGATGAGTCTGCATGGCGAGCAGCCTCTGACCGTCTCGACGTGCTGACTGAAGGGTCTCTGAAGGATCTCTTGGTCGACCGGCTTGAGGACTTGCCAGCTCGATACTTTGAGAAGCTCTCGGCATTGCTGTGAGATCTTTTGACGAACATGATGGCCTTACAAGTCCTCAAGTTTGTTCCTCGTTTACTCTTGACAACCTGGCTGCCTTTCTGCCTTACCTTGGTTAGTATCCAGAGAACCTCGACTGCCAGAGAAGAAGGGAAGAAAAAAAACTACACAGCGAGAAGAGCAGGCCCTTATATATACACACAAACCTACGACGGAAAACACCCCCTTATATACCATACCGGCTGGAGTGTGAATAAGACCAGCCATGCCAGGATACGCAGCAGGCTTTGATGCATCCACCGGCCGAGCGACAAGGAAACCTGCCATAACAGGCGAACTAGAGTCTTGTTTTCCCCCTTTAATTCCTTTCTCTCGTCGTTTATATTACTTCGCTTTTACTCTTTTTCTGCTTGATGGAGAAACAAAAAAAAGACGCGACGAATGAGGTCAAAGACGCGTCGCAGCCACGCGTGACTCACACGAGATCACATGACTTAAAGTGGTTCATGTGACCAATAGGAGATCACATATAGACCCACTACGAGCTTGAAAGGGGAAGGGACGGGATGATCCCTGCATATATGTATTACATAATTACATACACATCACAACCAGAGAGTTTACCTTGTTGTATCAGACACATCAAGAGCGACAAGTCACACACTATGTAATGAAGAATTCTGTAGGCTGAACTCAATTAGACATGTTGGATGTTTCCGGAGGTATGGATAGTTGGAAAGGCTGCAGCAGTGTGTGTGGAGTACATGGGTTCATATATGATGGGGAACCAGCTATAGGTGCTCGTATTGGCTAACGTTTCATTCTGCGCCGTTCCTGGCTGCTAGGAGCCTATACTTGACATGGAATATATCTCCTACACCGTATGTATGTGGAGGATAGAAAAGGCTGTACCAAAATGACAGTATTTATTAGTATTACACATAGACGCCCCCTTGCAAACGGAGAAAGGCAGCATGCATCCGTCACTGCATTGGAGCCGAGCGAGGTTCAGACGTGGCTGTCACACTACGCAGATTCCCAAAAGCGAGCACGTCACTGATCCGCCTTGCACCCGTGAACAGCATGCACAAACGGTCGATACCACATCCCCAGCCCCCAGTAGGCGGCAACCCCCACTCGAGTGTTTGGAGGTATCCTTCGTCCAGTTCGCCGGCATTCTCGGGGTCTCGGAAAGATAGTTGCTGCTGGAATTTTCGTCGCTGCTCAAAAGGTGAGTTCTCTTCCTCGTACATATTCATTATTTCTTTGCCTTCCACAAACAGCTCGGCCCGTGCGGACACCACCTGTCCACTCTCCGGGTGGCGGTATGACTTAGAAAGCGGCGACATACATTCGGGGTGGTTTAGGATAAAAGTAGGCTCGTTTAACTGTGACTCGACGTAGGTAGAACAGAGCTTGTCTAGCAGCCGGGGAAGCGTCTGGTGAGCCGGCAGCGGAAGTGACAGGTCGGCGAAGATTTGATTGACCTGGAGTAGAGCGTCCTCGGCCTGCAGGTCGGGTAATTTCCTGCCAATAGCCTCCTCGATGGCAGGGATGAAGTCGATTCGTCGATATGGCCCTGTAAAGCTCACAGGCGTCGGGTTCAGCGAGTTGTTCAACTTCTCGTTGAGTCGTTGGATCTCCGGAGCAAGGGTCGAGAGAAGTGACTCTGTCGTCTCGATCAGGGATTCTAGATCGGCAAAGGCCTGGTAGAATTCACACGTGGTAAACTCTGGGTTGTGCGTCTTGTCAAGGCCTACAGAGGCATGATGTTAGTTGTGACTCACGTTTCCCGACAAGTCATATACAAGGCTATCACCAACCTTCATTGCGGAATGACGGCCCAATTTCGAACACCCTGTCAAACCCTCCAACAACCAGGCGTTTAAGCCACAGCTCGGGGGCAATTCTAAGGGACAACTGACGTTCTGGGAACTCAGTAGCACTCGTGACGAAAGGTTGCGCAATCGCACCGCCCGATTTTGAAGCAAGGATTGGAGTGCTGACCTCCATGAAGTCCCTTTCGGCAAAAAAGTTCCTCATGGAGTGGGTGATCAGCGACCGGGCTCGAAGTACGTTGGAAGCACTGGGGCTGGAAAGAAGCTCAACATGGCGGTCATACGGAGATATCTCAAGCTCCTTTTGATGCACAGGTACATCGTGCAAACACGGCGATATGAGCCTGGGTAGCCCTGTCGTTTTGATAGTCAATTCTCCTCGGCCAGTTCGGTGTGGTTTTCCGGTCACAGCTATGAGTCGACTCAGTATTAGATTGGTAGTCCTATAATAAAAGCAAATGGGCCAATCCTCACAGAAAGAGTCACCACGCCGGAGTAGAAGATAGAACTCTTTGAACTTCTCCGGCGGTATGCCTGCTTCTCCCATGACACGTTGGTTGCAGAGAACCTGCACCTTATGTCCACCGTGAACGAGGTCGAAGAATACTAGCTTCTTTCCAGCGGTTCGCTGAGACCGTATCCTCCCTAAGAAACTCGTGTTACTATTATACAACAACGCGGAGCAGGTGTATAGCATCCTACCATATAATACTACGGTGTCCTCCTCTACCGTTTCATCTGGCCGTATTCCGTCATATTTCGACCGAAATTCCGCGCATGTGAGTGCTAATGGATCACGGCCTACTCGTGGGTACGGGTTTGACCATGTCTTCTGGATATCACTAACTCTGGTCTGCGGAGTGTGCTGTTGGACTGGGATTGCCAATTGCTCTTCGAGCAGCAGTCTATGGTTCGTAAAAGTGCGAATTGGCGTCCATGGCAAAGAGGATAGGCGGGTACTCCTAAATCCTTAGATTAGCTCTGGTCTACTCTGTGAATAAAAAGAGCTTACCTTGCAAGAAACCTATCCAGGCATACCCGGGATAGAGGGTTAGAGCAGATGGATAGCATCAGCCCACCAGCTCATCCGGTCTGCATTCCAAAATGTATATACAAGTAAAAGAGCGTCGACAGTAAGCTTGGTGAATTTGCGAAGTATTTTTTATCTCTTGAAGCTTCAAAACTACATCGACGTCCGCATTCGGTTTAGCGTCCTTCAGCTTTCTGACGTTGAAGCCAAAAAGTTTTTGAACCTGGAGAAAACAAAGCGCAAAAGATATCAACAAACCAATTAACAACCCATTCGATATATACCATCAACTGCTCAGGGTGTGACGGAGTTTAGTCAGGGTACTTCTTTCTAAATACCACTTTCCATCTACGAAAATGTCTTACTTGTTCGGCGGCCGTCCTCAGATCTCCTCTGAAGAGAAGATAAGGCAGGCCGAGTTGGAGGTTGAGATGGTTACAGACATGATGACTCGGTATGTTAACTCTGCTATCAACCGATATCTATACTGATCCATTGCCTTTATGCCTTACCGGCGGAATCAACTGCTTAGACAAATGCTAACTTGATCCCTTTTAGCCTCTCTAACGGCTGCATCAAGAAGTGTATCCCAACCGATTACCGTGAAGGAGACCTGAACAAGGGCGAATCCGTCTGCCTCGATCGATGTGTCGGCAAATATTTTGAAGTTAATATTAAGATCTCCGAGAAGATGCAGCAGCAGCAACAGCAGCAGGCGGCTGGAATGGGTGGTGGACTCTAGATGCAAAACGACAAACGCTCCATTGAGTCTTCACTGCATCATCATCATCGATAATATAATAAGATTCCTCTCTACGAATGGCGCAACATTGGATTGGTTTTGTTATGAACACGGTTTTGCTTCGTCCTTCCATGATGCGGGGAGAAAATATTTTTGGAACCCTGGTCAGCCGGGACCATGTATATTACGTGCGGTGGTATCTTTTATATGATAATATATTTAACGGATTGGGAAGATTGGGAAGGAGGCGTACAGCTCATCTACGTGTCTTTGCGGGCTCTGTAATTGGAACTGCGATTGAACGCTCGTTATAACAATGAATGAAAAGTCTATCAGTCTATTAATGATATAATGCAGAGTGTATATATAGTACAAGGTCCGTTCGAATACGCTACCTTGGGTTTTTGCTAGAGGAACCTGCAGACTTTTCGTCTTCACCGTTTTTGGAGCTGGACAATGTTCGAGCCTCGAACTTATTGAATTGGCGAGACCACAGCTCCTTGATCCATTCTAACCATGGAATATCTTCGGACTCCTTTCCATCCATAACCGACGTCGTCCTGCTTTCGATGTTGATGATCACATTGCAATAATCCTGCAAAACTGCCTCCGCTTCCTCTACCCTTGCACGAAGTGAATCAACTTCATAGTCAAGCTTTGCATCTATCATCTCGACATGTCTGACGGTTTCCATAAACATCTCCTCCTCCTGAGCCATGACATCGCGAGAGTATATGCCTGCTCTCTGGAATTCCTCGAGTTTTCGTTCGTACGCGGCTTGGATCTCGTATGCTCGAGCTTTACCAGCTTTTTCAATCTCCTCAACCGTGGCTACTTTCTTTCCAACCCAACCTGCAGTGCTTTTACCCAATTCGCGTATCCTCCTCCCGACGTCCCGTGTATCAGCAGTGATCATATCCTCGTAGAAGACGGCTTCCGCAAGGCTTAAGTCAGGGTCCAGTGTGCTTGAGTAGATGTCGCCAATTTCCTCCCAGCCCAGCACGTATTCCTCTACATAACTAAAGGACAGGCGACGAGGGCAGATGGCATCTTCTCCAATGAGAAGGAAATCCAATTGCGGTGAAGTCAAGCTTCCAGCACGTCGTCTAACCCTGGTGACAGGAACGGGGTTGTTAGATACATCATGATACTTTCCGTCGGCCTTTTCAGAGCCTCCTGGAGTACCGTCTACCTCCCCAACTTCATGGCCCTTGTCCGAAGAAGGCGTATCCTCCTCGGGGGGACCATATGTTCTTGCACGACCAAACTCCGGAACTGTAGATGGCCCAGGCCCAGTCTGACCTATCAAGGGGTCGTGCCGACTAGCCTCAGACAGTGCCATGCTATCCATTCGAGCAGCTCCCTCTGGTCCTCCATCTTTAGAACTTGTTCGTGTGGCCGTTTCCGTCATAAAAAGCTGCGGGGGCAGGTTTGCTTCTAAATCTACGCTCTCCTTGGAACGTTTATGATGGTGTGGACGTAAAGCGGGCAGCCCAACAGCGTCCCTGAACCGGCCAAGGCCAGCACGGGCGTCTGATACTTTGTTGGTAACCGAACGCTTGAGCGTCAACCTTAGCTGGTCCTTGTCATCAAGGGCAGCTTGGGATTCTGCTTGTCTCCATGGGTCTGCTTCAATGCTTAGCCGGCTGGGAAGATGGTCGTCTCTCTTTTTCCGAGTCCAAACATATCCACCATGTCTATCATGTGCAAAGACTATTTCATCTCCAGTATCATACTGGGCTTCGTTCAGAGGTTTAGCTGGCTTTCCGCGCCATAGCCATTTTGCATGGTCTCCTGTAATGAGTTGGAGAAAACGATCAAAATCACACGTTTCAACATCCGAAATACCAGGTTTATCTTTGCCTCCCCCTACTATTTCCATAACCATTTCTCCTCCCTTGCCGCCAAGCTCCGCCACCGTTGACTTCATAGCTCGCTGTAAGCCTCTTTCCCCACTTGCAGCTTTAACTGTCACTCGGTGCAGTCTGTCCAGCGTTTGGGTATCAAGCCTCCGTGTTCTGTCGAGGCCCTGGGCCTTTTGGAAGCCACCAACACCTTTTTCAAAGCCAGGTATATCGAATGGATCCTTGGATACGGGTGCCCCATAAGCATGTAGACGGTTCCTCGCACCCATAAAAAATCCTACAATAGCAGAAACCGTGGTTGGCCCAAGTATCCCGTCGACGGGCTCAATGTTGAAGTAATCCGTTCCAACTTCCGTCCACCAGTCGTTGATAGCTCGTTCGGTGACATCACAGAGTAATCCATCTGCATATTCGGGTGCGAGTTTATCAAACATCACGAGTGCCAGCTGGCATAGTCGAACCAATTCCTTCACCGAGGTATAAAACTGGATCCGGTCGCATGTCTGGTAAAGCTGATGGAACTTGGCTTCTGTATCTGCTGCAGGCGGTTTGACTGTCAGGCCGGCTCTCCCTGAACAGCCTAGACGTTTCAAATTTTCGTTGACGATAAAGTCCTCTCGGTGAAGCTTGACATCTCCATCTGGAACAGGAATCGCAGTAAGCATGGAAGGAAATGTGCTGAGGTTCGTCACCATCACTGTCCCGAGGCTGGTCTCTTGTTTCCGGGCATGGAACTGGGCCATCGCATTGAAGTAGACCTTCACCCGCTCCGTCCATTTTTTCTCATCCACCGGCACGCTGAGCACACCGACGACGACTGTGTGAGTCTTGTCACCGGTATAGGTGTTGATGACAAACGTAGGATGCACCCTTGAGCAAGCCCATTGTTCGACTATATAAACCTGGTATCCGGATAGGGTCAGTCGCCTGCTGACCGTGACCGTACAAGGGTCCTCCTCCAGATATCGATATGCAACCGGATCTGTAAACACAAGACGCTGGTATGTCGTGTCTGACACAACACGCCGGGTACCTCTGACGGGCGTCTGCTGTGTCGTCGTAGGCTCAGACTGCCCTTCGCCGGTTGGACGAGCAGCATTTCTATCCGGCCTGTCATCATTCGGGATGCTTGTTGACGCAGAAGGATCCATGTTGGTCTTTTTTATTTAATTTCCTTTTTCCTCTCCCTCCTTTTCCTCTTGTAATCACTGCAAGGTGTGTGTCTCGGTGACGTACTCCCAGTCTGCGGCCAGGGTTTATCGATGCAAGCAGTCACTATTTTAATCCGCCTTTCGCCGAGGTAATTAAGCAGGCGAACAAATCGTAGTAGCTGCAGCAGTAAGCCATCCTCCGCGCTGCTGCTTCTCCGCTCTGTGTTTCTCCTGCTCTTTGGTTGCTTGGTGGAAGCTAAGGCTAAGGCAAGGCCGATGATGTCACTTGTAGGAGCATCTTTCCAGGCGGTAGGACGAGGGCGGAAAAAGTAGGGCGATATAAGTAGAGACAACGCATAGAGAGATCGGCCGTCTAAGCCTCGTCCTCGTCCAAAGCTGATATCGTCGCAGTCGATCGAGTTTCCGGAGTGTTTTTATGTGTTGTAATGTTTAATGCACAACTTATGGTTAAGTTATACAGCTAAAAGGATTAACATCCCCCCTGGGCGTTGCACCATGTGACCACTTTCAAAAAGCTCTCCTCTCGACCTCAAGCTTGCTCTTCTTCTTCTACTTCAACTTCTTCTTCTTCGACCGGCGCGCGCCACGCTTCCTCTAGTCCCTTTGCCCAATCACCGGCAGCGTTAAAGAAGGCATAGTTGCAGCCAGCTGCTTTTACTTGGTCAAACAGGCATTTCAGGGTTTCTAGGCGACATGAGTACCACTCTCCGCAGTTAGCCAGAGGACGACCACACCACGATGGATCAGGTCCAGAAGGAACACCAGCGCCTCTGGAAAAAGGCGCAGGGCTCAAAGTGCATCAACGATGTTCAGACAACCATCGATTTGCTCTTGGAGGCTCGAAGGACCATCGAAAATGGTTAGTTCTTTCCTCTCTACCCCGCTGGTTATATCTAGCTATAGTACGGCTGTCTGATATTTGCTTCTTATACCTATAGATCCGAATTCTGCGTCTATCACACTTGCAAAGCTTCAGAATCCAGTGAAGGCGTCGTTTGAAGCCACGAATAATGACCTAAAGGAGGCGTACAGCGGGTTGAACAAATACACAAAGGCATTGGACAAGGTAGGAAGACGTCATATGCTACTACACACCGGCCTAAATTTGGTGCAGAAGAATGCTGACTCTGCTCCTTGTTCAGCTGTTCAAGGATAAACCCCTACCGACTACCGAATATGACTCCCTATCTCAGCCGGCCTTGGTCAACAGGGCAGTGGCCATGCATCTATTGCGAGAGGGGGCGTTTTCAACAGCAGATACCTTCTTAACCGAAGTATCGAGAGCACACATGTCGTCAGAATCAGATACGGCCATGGCACAGACTGAACAACAGCCGTCAGAAGTTATCCCCGATATCGAGGCTCTAGAATCTGGGGAAATACGAAAACAGTTTCTTCTCATGTACGAATTACTGCATGAACTCACCGAAAACCGAAACCTACTCCCCGCAATTGAATGGGCTCGAAGTAACCGCGAAGCTCTCTATGTTCGAGGGAGCAACCTTGAGTTCGAACTTTGCCAACTGCAATTCGTATGGCTCTTCCACGGGGGGAAAGAAGCCAACATCTCAGTAGAAGAGGGTAGATTGAAGGCACTTGAATACGCTAGACGCGAGTTCACTGGATTCCAGGGCCGATATCTGCCCGAAATTCAACAACTTATGGGCGCAATGGCCTTTGTACCGAATCTCGAAGACTCCCCGTATAATGCTATTTTTAACAACCCCCATTCCTGGGAACGTGTTGCAACCTCCTTTAAGAGGGAATTTTGCGCCTTACTTAACCTCTCAGCGGAGTCACCTTTGTACGTCGCGGCCACAGCTGGCGCGATAGCCCTCCCAACCCTCCTCAAACTTCAAACGATCATGAAAGAGAAACGAACGGAGTGGACGAGCCAGAACGAACTGCCTGTAAGCGACTGCTTTGCTTTCTTCTGGATATTTATATTCTAATCATTATATAACAGGTCGAAATCCCTCTTCCACGATCATACCAATACCACTCGATATTCGTGTGCCCTGTATCAAAGGAACAAACAACAGATGCAAACCCTCCCATGCTGATGCCTTGCGGGCATGTCATTGCCCATCAATCACTCATGAGAATCAGTAAAGGCGTTAAATTCAAGTGCCCGTACTGCCCCAGTGAGAGCCATGCTAAAGATGCTAAAAAGCTTCTCTTGTAGTCACATCCCTATAGCTTACTTAGCATTTGCTCGGTGTTAACTTTCTTATCTCTCTTTTTTCATTTTTTATTTTTACACAAGTCCCCGCTACAGGGACGATGGTTCACGGGGCCGAGCCTACAGGCGTTTATGGAGTTTGTCGCGCGGGTCACTGGGAGAAAGTTCAGGCGTTATTCTTTTTCTCTTTGATATAGGCCTTGATGCATTTGCCTACCTTTATATAAGTGCGACTATTAGTACTTGAAGTGTAAAATTGAATGCAAAGAAAATTAACTAAGTATACAACTCACTCCGCTATCAAATGCTGCACCATGATTTCGATTGCTATTGGCAGGTAATTTAATACTTTCATCCATGAACTGCCCATCTTAGTTAAAAAGGTATTTGAAAGCGCAAATCTAAATAGGGCAGCTACGTAAAGGGTATAAAAAAACCAGTGCGAAGTGAAACAAAATAAGAAAAAGAAAATCTTATGAAGTCATCGGAAGAAAAGTTGATTAAGCTGCTCCCTGATCTGTGGCTCGCGTAGCGTCAGCTTGCTTTCCTTTCAGTTCTTTTGCTGGTTTTGACTTCGCAATGTGCTCGTTTGCTTTGCGTAACTCTTCAACCTCGCGAGCTGTCGGGCGGGCTTCCGGCCCCTTGTATCGAATGGGGGTCTGGCCTTTAACTCGTTCAAGCTTGAACCGGTGCAGAGCAGTTTTGGGATCTAAGGTTTCGTAGTCGCAGATATTATAAAGTCCATCATACCTAATTCCTTCCAACGGTCTATAAGGGTTCAGCTTGGGCAGCTTTGAGCTTCGAAGGACACGAATATCACTCTTTTTGTTCGCCGCTTCGAGAAGCAAGGCTGTGTTTGCAGAGACTTCTCCGTCTTTCCCTCTCGTTCCGCAATACCATACTGTGTCCCCTAGGTCGATATCGGCGTATGTGTGGTTTCCACCTGGGGAGCTGAGAACAATGGAAACAGCGCCAATTGATTTATTTCCAGATATACCACCCTCTATATCCCCGTGTGCACCATCCCGTAGAGCGCAGATCTGCCAAGGAAACCACTGGCCGTTGCGCAGATGATTGTCTCCCCGAACGAAGGCCGATTCTCTGAATGGGTAGCCTTTGTCAATGGTGCGAGACAGTCCACTCCTTCCGTTTTCTTTGTATGTCCTCCGTGTCAGTATACCACGCGAAAGGTCCACATTGAAATCTCCTTTTTCCATCCGCTGCAGAATCGCGCGACAGTCAAGCCGGATGTCCCATGGAATGTGGTTGTGGTTCCTGATGACGGCCGGCAACCCGTTTTGAGGGTCAGTGAATTTGGCCTTTATAGATTCGATTGACTGCTCTGGGATCTCATAGAGCTCAAGATAGTGTATCCGATCCCTTAAGCGAGGAATACTCTTTTCAGGCTCATTTCCAGTTCCAATTTTTTTGATAAGGTGCAGAATTTCAAGGATATCTGCGTTGGAACGAGTTATTTCATTTCGACGCCTCTTTGAGATGTACTCATGGCGTGTAATCCTGTCATTGAAGGGCAGTTAACATCATTTTGTTTATAGTAATTGAGCGGATGGTATATAGACTAACCCAGTGTCCTTGGCTTTGGGGATTTTCTTGATCACAGGCTGTGAGCTTGCGCGACAGTCTTTTACTCCATTGGCAGCAGCAACCTCACATTTGGTAGAGATAGAACATGTACAAACAGAGCCTTCTCTTGGAGGGGTGGATTTCTTTTGCCTCTTTGCCAGGGGTTCTTGCGTCCCCGCTGGCGTTGCCATCCCGTCATCTGTTGCCGGGTCCATGCTTCTCTTTGTGCCTGACAAGATGCTTTGACCAGAGAGAGGTTGTTCGAGTCCTCTTAGAGGTGGATCAGGCTGTAGTTGAAGAATTTGAACGTGCTGATGCTCTAGTGTTTGTTCCAAGGGATGTTCCGGCTGTTGTTGGTGCTGTGGTTGTCCTTGGTGTTGTTCAAGTGTTGGCTTGGGCCCTGAACTTGATGCTACAACACACTCTATATGATCCTCCTCTTCTCTCTTGATGTTACAGCCTTTAGCTTCCGACATGCCGCTAGCAAGAGGGCTTTTGGCACACTCAGAGCTATGTAAGCTCGGCGAGTCAATAGTCTCACTGCTGCCTCTAGAGCTAGACGCGATAGAAGAAGAAGAAGAAAAAGCTCGAGCCTTTCGCTCAGTCAAAATTTTTTCAATCCTTTCATTCAACATCAGTTGAAATCGTGGAGATGACTCTGGTTGAGGAGCATCGAGCTGGGCATGTCTCAAACCCGAGTCTCGAGCATCCCGTGCCCTCCTTTCAGCCAAGGCTTTCTGAGTCCGTTGTTGCAGCATATAGTGGAATCTCGTCAAGTCCATGTTAAATCCTCCCTCTCTTGTATAGTTAATCACCCCAGGTACAAAAAAATCTTCGACCAGCCAGTGCACGAGTACGGAATAGTTATAGGAGCGCAGAAATACTCAGTGCTTAAATAAATACTAGGCTGCCTTACACCCGAGCAAGATGCCTGCTATTTAGGCCTAAACAAGTCCTCGGATTCCCCAAGTGAAGCTGCTTTATTAACGTCGCTTCTTTGTAGTTAATTTAACGTTGACGACCGTATATAAAAAGCTATAAATCGAAGTCACTAATTAGTCAGATTAGTCATCATCAGCCTCTGCAGGCCACAGAGAAAAAGACGGTAGACTTCTCGTCGAGCGGCGGGTTTGAGGCAGGCCGTTTGAGGCCGTTTGATAGGCGCTCGTAGCCTCTCATTATACTACTACAACTGGCGAGGCCAGAAGCAAGATACACCTTTGACTGGCCGTCTTGGAGGTTGATGGTACGGAGGTAAGGGTTGATATAACCCGACCTACTAACGTATAAGTGATGGAATGGTAAAAAATGCCGATAGTTCTGGTATTCCCGTTCCTCAAGAGGTTCTTTTGAAACCCTGTCAGGGCCCCAATGCGCTAGCCAGGCGCCTTTCGTTGTCTCTATCTTTGAGACGACTCGAGATATCACCTCACAAAGACCAAAACGCAGAGTCACTTTGATAACTAACGGTTGCCAATGAAAAGGCAAACTGGATTATAACTATTAGTCGGTCTTTGTCAGCTTTTCTATAGAATTAGCCCAAAAAACAAACACCGAAACGAACTATTTAGCTAACGTTACATGGTAGAATCATCGGAGGTCTCCGAGTGGGCGAAGATACAACGACAAAAAGCCGAGGATTTGAGAGAAAAGGAGGTTTACTTCCAATACCTGTAGCACATAACTACTTCCAAATAACAAAGCACTTTAACGATACATTGCTATTTATATAAACATGGCTGGAATAACTCTCGCAAATCCCGTAACTGTGAGCCTAGAGGAGCTCCGAGCTGGTGAGTGAGCAAACCTTGCATGTTGGCTCTTATCATATCTTCTTGATGGCGGCGTATAATCCTCCCTAACATGAATACAGGTACCGTCTCCTTTGAGACCTTATCGGAAGCCTTTGGCCCTGCATCGCTGGGGATTATCGTTGTAAAAGATCTCCCTGCGGAGTTTAAGAGCCTTCGAGCTCAGGCACTCTCCAATGCATCGTATGTTGCATCTCTGACACCAGAGGAGCTAGGTAAGCCCTTGCTGAGCCGCTAGGGATAGCATAGTGCTAACAAAAGTTGCCGCTAGAATCTCTCACTTCAGCCGAGTCCAAATATCTTATAGGCTGGTCCTGCGGGAAAGAGACCCTCCGATCAGGCCATTATGATACCTTAAAAGGGTCATATTATATCAACTGTGCCTTTTATCAAAATCCAGACTTGCAGAGCGTTCCCGCAAGCGAGTTTCCTGATTTCCCGGGGTACACGGCGGCCAATATCTGGCCTCCTGCCGAAAAGCTGCCTAACTTCCGTCCAAGCCTGATTGAATTATGCACCTTAATTATCGACACGGCGGTCCTTGTTGCAAGAGCTTGTGATAGATACGCTATCGCAAATATTGAGGGATATAAGAACGGGTATTTGGAACATGTTGTGAAAACTAGCTTGACAACCAAAGCCCGCCTGCTGCATTACTTTCCTGCTCCAGAGGCGGACGCTAGCGGTAAAGAGGCGGATGATGACGACTGGTGTGCCACCCATGTTGATCATGGTTGTCTCACGGGCCTGACATCCGCAATGTTTGTAGATGAAGCGGAGAATAAACCCCAGCAGTTGGCGGACTTAACCCCTTTACCTGAACTCCCAACATCCCCTGACCCAAAGGCCGGTCTATATATACAATCCAGAACCGGCGAGGTAGTGAAGGTCAACATACCGAAAGACTGCATTGCCTTTCAGACAGGCGAAGCTCTTGAACTCATTACACAGGGGAAGTTCAAGGCTGTGCCGCACTTTGTCAAGGGTGCAAGAACGGGAGGTAAGATTGCAAGGAACACACTGGCTGTGTTCACTCAACCAAACTTGTCTGAAGAAGTGGCAGCTGGAAAAACGTTCGCGGACTTTGCCCGCGAGATTGTGGAGAGGAACCATTGAGGATACTAAGTGGCCTATCCTGCCCTGTGTATATAACTTGGTTATGTTAATGGATAGCTCTCTCGTGATATAAAGTGTTTGCAAATAGGTAAATGCTACCTGGTGTTCGAAGATACGTCTGCTTCTGGGTATTGAGGCAATACTGGTTAAAACAAAAGTTGAAATATTTCTAAAGTACATCTCAAAGGTTCTATAAACGCTCAGTACATTAAATTTTACCGCAGTAGCCTTCGCTAAGCCTATTCAAACATGAGAAGAGAAAAAAAGAAGAAAAGAAAAAGAAAATTAAGCTTAACCCCCTTTACCCATCCTCCCGTGAGAGTTCCAATGCACCAAAACAAAGAAACATATTCTGTTGTCGAAAATATGAAAAAAAGGAAACGCAGGCTCATAATTGGCGCTGACGTTTGGGTAATGGTTGGCTGATAGGATCTTCCTCGCTATCAGACAACAATTGAATTTTCCTTGGACTGCCTTCGATTTCATCCTCGCCCGATTCGTCTACTGTATCTCCTGCAGGAGTCTCAATCGGCGTGGCGTTGGAGTAGGAAGAGATAGTTCCACCGCCGAGTGCTGTTAAAACCATTGAGCTATGCTTCCCTGCACTATCAAATCTTGTATTACCTGATCGGCTTCCAATGAGCCCCTCATGTGCTCGGCCAAGCTGACGAACAATTTTAGCATCTCGATGGTCTGCATCGACGGCCTCGCCATTGATAATATTCATGATGGCTCTGCACATCTTTGGATCCCTCGAATCGTCGTATCTGCTATGCTCAATACCGTTCAACGACTCAAGGGCGAGCTGTTCTAAACGGTTATCTCCACAAAACCAGTCTTTGCCAGGAGCGATGCGTTCATCTCTTTCCTGAGCATAGAGACGGCCGCCTCTAACACTATCAAGATCAATACCAAGGGATAGGTCTTGAAACATAATATCCATGTACTCGGATTCAAGGCATCGCCCAATAACTTGGCTTAAGGAGACCTCAACAGTTGCATTTGGTTCACATAGCGGGTACCAAGACCCATATTCTCGCATGCCAGTGCATTCAAAAGATTCGGTAACCTCGAAATCCGTCATCGGCTTGTTCGGATCATAGGCAAGTTTCGGATCCAGGGTATAAACCTTGCCAGACAAACGTGCGGTTGTATTTTCGCAGAGTAAAGGTGATTTCAGGTCTGCATCGCATCCCATTAGTTTAAATAAAATTTTATCAATTACCAAGATTTCTGTGGCTTTTCCTTTCGGGTCATAATTTCCATTTTGGTCATGCGGCATGAGACGAACTCCATCGCCTCGAATAAGCAGTTCAGATCCTAGGTAGATGCCCTCGCAATATACCGAGGCATCTGGCCATGTACCTTTAAAATGGTATTTATCCACCATACTAAACGAGGACATTATAGTCAATGCATGGGTTATAGAAGGGTGAAAATCCTCAGATCTGACTCCTTGGAGGTAAACGGCCCAGAAGCTGAAAGGGCGGATACGGCTAAGCGGCACGTATTTGTACTGGTTCGACATGCTTTTGTCAGAGCTATTTGGGTCCGGAAATAGCTCGATGCGATACCCTGACATATTCAGCGCGTATCCATTATTGGTTTCGATAATGGCATTGTGCAAAGTTAGCGGTTCTTCTGGGACCTGAGTAACCACCCCGGCATACCATTTTGGAATGCCTAAGAACTTCTTCCGTTTGTGTGAGTATATCTGAAAGGTTTCGGTTTCCCACTCAAACTTAATCTCTCCATTTACCTCCACGCACCAGAGGACCAGTTCACCTATTCTTGGGAAAAAGGAGTGTTGCATACGGACACGGGTCAAGTGGTTATGCAACAGCTCTCGCTCAGCTTTCCATTCCATGTTTGAATTTTCTAATATTGGCGTATCTTGGGTACCCTCCACATGGAGATAATACACCAGCTCCTTGAAAACATCTTGGTTTCCCTCGGCGTCTTCAACTAAGAATTTCTTTCGCCTCATGCGTTCTAAAATGCGTGTTAGAGTCCAAATAGGTTAGATTTTGTCAAGGTAAAATGGGGTAATACTTGGTCTGCTAGCCCTTGGCTGCGTTGATCCAATTTGATTATCCAACGCGTTCCTAGGTTTCCCGGCGGGGCGCCCTGGCCTTTTTTGAGACATGCTCGCTGACAGCTTTCCAGGCTTTGCAGCTTTCCGAACAGGGCTACAATGCTCACACTGGCAGGCTTCTGAACCACCATTCATCAAATAGATGAAATGGGGCCAAAACCTATTTGGAGAAAAATAATATTTCCCAGACGGATGCCCCCAGAGGAACTTGTCTGTCTGTCAGAGAGTATATTAGCAATCGCCCCTGAGCTAAGCATATGCCATGATACTTACAATTGTAGGTTGGCTTTGACGCGGCCGAGCATAATAGATGTATCCTTCAGGCAATTGATCAAGGATATATGTTTTGTCTAGAAAATAAACAACAAAGCGCGTCTTAGTATGTGAGCTTAGCCTGGATGAATTGTGCATAACCAATAACACATTATACATTGGTATAATGCATAAGTTATGCCACAGTTGTCAACTGGCAACATCATAAAGAAGCCCATTTTGAATATGAATACTCCCTCTTGTCTACACTGAGAAGGTAACCATATAAACATCCCGGTAGTGATTTTTGGGTATTCGGCATGACCGCAAACCAAAAAATACAAGTACTGACCTTGCTGGAACTTGCCCCTTGATTTCATCCATTGCGTTCCTAACTTCTCAAGATAGAGGGTAGCATCCACTTCCGTGCAGTTGGAGTGATGTGGCCAGATTTGAGGATCGCCATCGGAAAAGCTATTGATAGGGACCACAACCCGGCCTTTACTGTCGACTGCATATTCTTCTGGCTCCATGAGGCCCTCCTGGATAGAGATAGTGCGGCTAATGAGGCCTCATCAACTGTTGGCTCAGGAGCTAACTGAGGTGATATTCGTCAGGTAGCGGTTGGTAAGTTCTGAGGCTTTCCTTACGGTAAATTAACCTAAATATATTTTCCTCACGGTCATGAAATCGATAAAGAAATATTCAATGGAGAATCTTTAGATGTTTGACGTTGGAGCAAAAGCGAGGACGAAAAATGGAAGACAACTAGAATCACGTGGTGACTAATCTCGTCTAAGCGAAACACAACATTGGCTTAGCCGCCCACTAGTAGCTGTAGGGGTCTTAGTAAGCAATATAATAGCTCGTGTAGGCGGGATTTGCCTATATAGAGACAATAAATCATCATTCCTCAAACTGGAGGGTGACGCATGTTCGGTACACATGCGCAGTGCTCACGACAGACTTGTTGATAGTTAACTATATACACAAATAACATGACAAACCCCTGAGTTATGCTTACCAAAATCTATAAGATCGATGGCCCCCCTTTCTCCCATCTATATCTCAACCAAGAGAGCCAAACACCTACTAATAGCCTTGACACCATGAAGCAACTAGGTGGCAGAAGTAAGCCCAGCAGCATCTTGCTCATCCACCCAAACCTTCTGTAGTTCGTCTTCAATCTCCTGCCTGCGAGCTTTGAGGGCATCAACGTTGTCTAGTTGCCTCCGCAAATCCTGCAATTCTTTCTCAACACCCATCTTCTCCTTCTCTGTTCCGATGCGGTCAATTTCCCAACTCATCCCATCAGTTCCAAGGCCCAAAGTGAGGTTAAAGGTGTGGTACTTCTTCAAGGACGCTCGAGTCGAGATTGTTATCAAGGTGATGCCTCGCTCCTTTGCGCGTTCGTACAATAGACCCTCAACGTCGGAAGACACTGCAGATGTTGCTTCGTCCAAGAATACGTAACGTGGATCATGGTAAAATAACCGTGCCATGGCCATACGCTGCTTTTCTCCACCGCTGAGAACGTCTTTCCATTCCTTGCGTCCATTCCATCCACCCTCACGAGCCGGAAGATAGCCCAAGTGAACTGCCTCAAGTATTTCCGTCAGATGGTTATCAGTCCGCCCGCCTTCGCGCATGTCAAGTTCATTGTGAGGGTAGATGACTTGGTCGCGCAACGTTCCAGTACTCAAGTAAGGCCGCTGAGGTAAGAACATGATGCCATCTTGGCCAAAATTCCTGGGTCGACTGACTAGACCTCTGTATACAGGCCACAGTCCAGCGATAATCCGTGCAATGGCAGACTTGCCAGCTCCGTTGGGGCCCGATATAAGCAAGTGTTCACCTGAATGAACGATAAAGGACAACGATTCGATAAGTTCATCTCCACCTTGAGGGAACAGTCCCGGTGCCACGATAGGAACATTCTCAAGGCGCACGCCGTCGTACCCGCTGTGAATAGTCCCTTGAACATCAGACAGCGAGTACAGTTCTATTTGACTCCCACGGGGTTGGTAGTATGAATTGGCATGGGCACGATGGAGGGTTGATATTAATGTATATACTCGTGACGTATATCCAGCGAGCTCTGATAAATCTTTGATGCTATACATCATACGGCCACCCGCGTCTGCCAAAGACAGCATTAATCGTTTATTAGTTATGAATTCTTTCATACGGCCCCGTTCGCGAGTGGCACCTGCACCAGGTGTAGCCATCTCCAGGACACCGCCAGCTCCGCCCCAGGCTGGAAGAAAAATCGGTAGCGAGGTGATCAGGTAACCAAAAGCTGACCAAGAATATTTCAATAAAATGTCTTCAAACATGTTATATCGTATCTTCAACTTGTAGATACCTTCCATCCAGCGTTGGAGGTTGGAAAAGCTTTTAGAAAGGAAGACTCGCTCAATATCAGCTCCACCATAAAAAGCTATCTCTTCAGCATTCGCAAGGAGCCTGGAATGCAGGCTACGGAAGTCACCTTCTTTCTTTCCTTCCACTGCCTTAAGTTTCCCGAATGGAGGAGAGTGACTGCGGAGCAGAGATGCCGTGCCAATATACCCACTGAGGATACCGGTGAGAGCCAGTGGCCCTAACGCACGATAAAGTTGATAGTTAAAAACAATAAGATCTACCAGGGGTTTTCCAAGTGAAGAATATAACGATGCAACGGCGCTGCAGAAAAGGGTTAGGTCTTGGGTGATAAACTGGTCAACCCCTTGGCCTATAGCTCCGTCAAGATTCGAAAGTTTATAGTAATTCATGTTGTCGTTCAAATAAAGGTCATGTACGTAGCGGGTTAGCCGCGTTCGGAAAGCAATCGAGACCTTCGACTTTAGGTATTTGATCATAGCGTTTGTGTATGAAGCAAAAGTACCGATACCGCACCATTTGATGATGCCCCAGATGAAAGCTCTTCCTTTCCCGGCCACGAGATCCCGTACTATTTCACCATCCAATCTCGCGACCACGAGGGATAGGTATGTCCTCAACATTAAGAAAACACCATGGCTGAGTAGGAGACCAGTTTCTTTGCTATTCCATCGGGGAATCATAATGCTCAGAAGGCTAAGCAGTTGGTGTAAAAATGCCAGGTTCAACCCTGGCTTCGTGGAAGGCGGTGGTGCCCCTCCATATCCTTCGCGTAGACCAACTGCCCGAGGGGGGTTCAGAAACAGTCGCCGATGGGCATCAAATGTCGTAGACTTTGTAGGATGAATTGTAACTTTGGACGTGCTAGAGGAAGTGAGAGATGACTTGTAAGGAACGTATATTATCCTTGAGCCGTCTTTTCCTCGTAATCCCGAATTTTTGCGTAACAGTTGTCTTCCTTGGACCCTTTCTTTGGACCAATTCTTCCACCAGGTATACCCCCCATACCCACTTCCAATGATGGATAGGAGTAAGGCGATTGTGGCAGCTAGCCTCACTAATCTCGACGATTTTCGAACACGGGACACCAGGAGCTGGGAATAATGCCGATATAGTATAATTATCGGGTCATCTGTACGCCGAAGGGTAGATTGAGCCGCCATAGTGCCTTCACTGTCGGACCATAGGTCATATCATTCGCTGGTTATCTTAATGTGAATCCCATGGTCTCGCGACCTTCACCCGACAGCCGTCGCTGCAACACGGGATGGTAATAGTAGGACTTTAGTTCTATTATCAGGGGATCTCAGATATCTAACGTAGTTCTGAACAAGTCACAAAGGCCACGATTTTTTGTTGTTCTCTGTCGTTGAAAATGATGTCGAACTTGAACAACCCCGGTCCCCGGATTATCGTTGAAAGTTGGTTGATGTCCACTTTTGGCATGTGAACACATGTCCACGTGACTGAGAATTGCCGAGGCTTTATTGATGCCAAGACGCAACTGCTTGTGCTGCTGTTACTGACAGCGACACAGAACCACAACGAGTTGATGGGACAGGGTTGAATAAAGACTACGATGATATGACAATCTATAGAGTACCATCTAGTAGAACATATCTAGCATTGATCCATCGCGTAACCAGGAAATAAAAGGAGTTATGCATTTCAGGAGCAAGTAACCCAGGATACGATTGAAATGAAATAAATGCAGAGTAATAGCATATAATATTTAGAAAATATCTCAAAATTGCTATACTCTCACGAATGCTATAAGAGGCAAATTAATCAGTGGAAGTCATTACGTAGCTAAAACTGGGGTTGAATGTGGAGCAACGACGACCCATAGTAAAAAATCGCACTGTTGACAACGGCAACTTACTGGCATCAATTTGTTTAATCTGGGGTAAAGCAAGCCGCACTTTATTCCTATATAAGGCCGGCGACGCTTTCTGAAGTGGATTTCCTTCAAAGTACACAGTATTTAACTCTTCTTTGTCTTTCAGTTCACGCTCGACTTCTTCGAAACTGGCAAGTTGGTTATTTGATGCCCATAGCTCCTCTAATTTGGGTAAATGCGACAAATTTTCGAGCCGGGACACTTTGTTGTTAGAAATATCTAAAATACGGAGGCTTGAGTTGTTTTCCAGTCCAGATATTCCAGTGAGGAGATTATCTGACAAGTAGAGTTCCTCAAGGCTGGAAAGGGACTCAAGTCCAGAGATGGTTTCAATTCGATTGGATGGTAAGGAGAGTATTTTTAGGTTAGTAAGGGAAGAAATGTTCTAGGAGACAAGAATTAGTGTTACCTGGGTGGGTAATGCTTGAGCTTGGGGTTGGTACCTTAATCTCGGATATTTTGTTCTTTCCAAGCCATAGCTCCTCAAGAGCAGTCAAGTTATCAAGATTATCGATTTCCTATCACCCAGCAAAAGGAATCCTGTCAGCTCCCTGTCAAACGGATCCGGCCATATTTTAAATCGGCCTATATAAATCTCAGAGATACTGCACCGTACCCTTATTTTGTTTGCACCAAGCTCCAGATTCCGCAATTCTTTGAATTCTTCCAGCCCCTCAATCGTTTGAATTCGGTTTTGAATAAAGTATAGGTCTTTCAAATGCACCAGCGTAGAGATGTTTTTGATATGTTTGATATCATTGAAACTGAGATCAAGGCTTGTTAAATTCACAAGGTGATCAAGTCCTTTCACATGCGAGATATTGTTGTCATAGAGGTCGAGCTCCATTAATGTGGGTACAAGGTTATCAGGAAGGTATATTCGGGTTATTTGATTCTGGCGAAGGCATATTTTCTGGTGAGGGGTTAGAATTACAGTTAAAATTGGATTACCCGTCAATATAGCATGGTATATGGAACGAAAGATCAGGGAATCATATTTCCAAGCTTGCGTACCTCGATATGCGTAAACCGTTCTAACTTCAAGCTCTTCATAGACGACACTCTCGAGTGAACCAAGTATATTTCCTGAAAACCGACTTCAGTTAGAGTCTAATAATTTCACAATGGGTTGACTATCCTCCAACGGAAAACATACGTCAGCATCGTCCTCCAGATCAACTAATAGATCTGTAGTAGAGTAACTGGGTCAGCATCCGATTTCCAGTCTCTCCTGTAGGGTATCTAACGTGTTCCAATACCTTCATCGGCTTCGATTTCTTCAGGAGTAGGCCCATCAATATCCCCGTGAGGATTGTTCAGCACTTCAGGGTTTGTGAGAATCGCGCGAGGCTTAGCAATTTCATCATGGTCCGTTGGTTCGTTCATGTCGTTGCGCGAGGTAGTGTTTAATGTGAGCGGCCTCAGATAAAGCTACTGGCGAGTCGAGCCTAAGTGTAGCCTTCCAAAACGTAACACGTAGCTGCAAAACCGAATTCGTACCGTAAGATGCTGTTCTCTGTCTGATATTGATTTCAGTTGTGAGAAGCATTTACTATCGGTAGAGAGTCATGTCATAACACGTGACTAAGTTGGGATCTTTATATTAGAACTCAATAACTACATCAATTTGCTACGAGTGATTGCTTCAAAAGGGACTTTTACGGCTGTGCTCCAGGCTCGGCTGGACCCAGATTGGTTGAATGTCAATCTATTAAAACATACAAGAAAGAATACATCAAGTATTTAATTGAGAAAAACGTTACTAGAACGCATGCAAATATGAAGAAAGAGAAGAAAACTGCAAATCTCAGACTTGGAAATATGAATGCATGCTAGGCAAGAAAATTAAGCAATGAGAAACAAGAACATCTTGTTCTAATAAGTAAAAAGTATGCATGCATATGATCAAACTAGGTGCTTGGCTAAAGGGGTCACTAGAAGAAACGGGGCAATCAAAGGTGGCAAAAGTGTAGGGTATGGGGAAATAAGTTGATAGATATGTAGGTTAATGGAGTTGGAGGGAAATAAAAAGTAAAAGTAATGAACGGATAATGCACAGGGCTAAAGCTGATGCGTAGCTGGATATGTTGCATCAAGGGATGTATAACTGCGGGTTTAAATAACTGGATGCTTGAATTATCAGAGACGGTGGAAAGGGATATGGTACGAAAGAAGGTAGATAAGGAAATAGATGTGCAGTGTGGCGCCTTTTCGCAGACCCAGGATTGGGATGTGGAGGGTAATAGGAAATGTGGGAATAGGTCAGGGCTGCTAAGAAAACCTCGGCGAAGAAGTTGGTGTGCTAGAAATACTTAAGTCACCGCTCACTTAGCGGTTAAAATTAGAAGATAGTGGAAGTGTAGGTAGAAGAGTGCGAAGGCCACCAGGGAATTTAGTTATCAAAACAACAGGGAGAAGGGTAAGAGGTTGAGAGGGGGGGGAGGGGAGCGGAAGATAATTCCAAAGGGGAGAGGGAAATTAAGAAAAGTAAGGAAAAGGTGCTTGCAGGGTAATAACAATATAACAAAAGAAAAACTAATAACAACAAACAGGGTATTAAAGCGAACGTGGCTCATGTAGGAGAGCATCTTTTTTTTAAGTGCGCAGGTAGAGGTCCAGAATTTTTTTGGGGGGTGAATTAACAGGGGTAGATAGGTATGAAACGTCAAGATGGCAGACTGGCTCCTAACTTTTTTTTAAGCAAGCCGATGCTATAAGGCGACATCGAGCACCAAGCTCACGTCTCGTACTTGGCTGTGAGCTAAGTCTTCGAGGACTGGGATAAGATCAAGAAGCTCGTTGTCATGGGCATCTGAGAACCAGCTGCTAATCGGAATTGCGTGCTTTGGGTGGAATATGTACGAGGTTGGGGAGTTGTCAATGATGATGGTTTCTTTCAGGTCACGACCGACTTGCGATAGGTCCTAGAAAAGTATTTATTAGCCAAAGTCACCATAAATCTATTCGAGATTCAATAATCCAGCAGCTTACCTTGACATAGTTCCCTTGATGGTTATAGCAGCTGTCTCTGAATAGGCGATGATGAACAACTTTATGAATGTCTAGTTTATCTAGTAGAGGATCTCCATACTACAGAAATGTTAGTATAGCTGTATAACAGTGCCTTCTGGGGCTAGCTTAGCCAACCTTAGAGACAGACGCGGTGAAAACAACGACTTCATAAAGTTCACCAACACGTTTCATGAACTGGTCTACTCCAGGGCGTTTGATCACATAAATATTGTGATACTGCCCCTCTATCTCCACAGGTATAGTGAAATCGGCTTTGTCAAGGACCTAAGCGCGTCATTGTTAGTGATAATTTAACTAAGAAGAAGAAAAGGGGAGCATGCCTTAAAGCTACTGTGGACAAGTGTTTCATCCAGATCTAACACTAGACATTTCCTGCCAGTAAAATGATCTTGAATAGGAGGCAATAGCCATTTTTGTTTTTCAGTCTGAACCGAGGGGACAGGAGGAGCCTGCTTTTCGGAGGTAGAGTGAATATATGGGCGGTCCAATGGGGGCGGAGGTGGGAGGTTGGCTTGATGAACAACTTGGTGATTTGCTTCAGCAGCTGGCTCATCAACACTTGTGGTTGGGTATTGGTCATTCATGTTGGCCTCGTCAGTCTTGTTCTGCTGCTCAGCGGTGGTTGCTGTGGGTTCTTTTTGTTGTTCAGATGGAGGGGCAACTATAGAATTTGGGGCACCAGACTCCTCTGGCAACACATGTCTGGAACTTTCCGCGGCTACTGGCTCAGTTTGATGATGAGTGTTACTATCACGGCCAGAAAGGGTGGATGCCTCCTCATCCTCATTCTTTGCTACAGAAGCCTTCTCAACTGCCGCCACGGCATCATTTTCCGCCTTGGGCATACTTTGCTCATCAAACACCTTGATAGCTGGTTTCTCAGTAATATCACTTTCATCTTTCCTTTCGGCACTACTCGATTCTGCAACACCAGCATCCACCTTCTCAGAAATCGGCTGCGTGGTCCGTATGGAATTGGGTTTGACAGTCTGCTTTGGTGGGAGCGAGGTTGTGTCTTCTCCATCGTCGGGCGCACGGCAGCAGCTCAAGAACGACCAGAGTGAACCTCTTTGTTTCCTTTCCACCTTTGAGTCATGTTCGGCCCGTGGAGCTCCATTTTTGGCACCAATATGGGCGACACCTTGTTCCAGAGGCTGCGCATGTCTTGACGTTGTGCTACTAGCTTTGCTGTGGCTCCCCGTCAGATTTGTTTGCGAAGTGGATAGCGATGCTCCGGTGCCTTCCCGGTTAAGATCATCTGATTGCGAGGCTTCTTTATTTTTCTTTGATGAAGAACGAGACGGTATGCGGAGGAAAGATCGCTTCTTCTTTGGCTGCTCTACGGTCTCTGGGGAGGATGGTACACCATGAGGCATCTGATTTGAAGGTCGTGTGTGACTTTCGGGAGCTACGCTCGAGTCTAGATTTATGGGATATTAATTTGATGTTGTATCCAGAGATATTACAGCCATGGACATACCTGGATTTGCAGAAGGAGCGGACATTGGTACTGAGAAATATTATGCGAGCGACAGTGTCGGGTTGCAGAGGCTATCTCGAGAGACGGGCGGCCGTTTCCCACTCCTTCAATTAAGCAATTTTCCAACTGTCGGAAACGGGTCGTAGGGCTGACGGTTCCCAACGGCCTCTAACCGCCAAAAATGTCGATTGAGTAGATTTTGGGGGTTAATTAACGTTGGTGAGGGAAAAGTTCACAATATCAAACTCCCAGCAAGAATCCCCCCCAAAGCTATAGTTGCAGTTGTTGATTTGAAGAAGTAGCAGTGATAAATGGCTGAAACTTCGGATCCGGTGTTGGCCAGCAGCCTATTTAAAGCTTTTCTCTTCTTCTTATTCCGCTATTGCGCCTTGCCAACAGGTGTGTAGCGATAGATGAGCTAGGGGTAAGAAGAAGGGAAAAAGAACAAGCCCCCTCGAGGCGTGCGTCAAGAAGGGAACCCGCTTGCTCGGTCCGGACGAGCGAACCCGGCGTTTGTAGCAATCGCAAAGTGGCACAGAGACGGATGGCTGAGACTGACAGCGCCGTATGCGGTGTCTGGGAGCGGCTGGAAGTGAAGGGAGGTCGCAGGGAGAGCAGGCTGGAAGGTCAAATAGAAGGTCGTTGCTGGGCCACAAAGGGGAGAACGAGAGCGAAGAGACGAAGGGGGAAAGTTGAAGTTGGGAAACGAAGTCCTGTGTATGCTTATGTAAGCCTCCCGCGAAAAGGTGTTAGACTTTCTGGTATTGGGGCGGTATCAGGCGTTACCAGCAGGTGGCTAGAAAAAGCCGCTGATACGCACTCGATACACAATTACCAGAATTCAATACTTTATTCTCACCTCCTTCTTTGCTTTTGCTCCTTTTCCTCTCTCACGCTTCACCCTCCACAGCTTACTCCGTACATATCCTAATATCGACTGACTCCTTTGTCGTACCTAGGTAATATATGTACATATATAAATAGGATGTGTGATGGCCCCCCCTCCGGAGGCCGCCTTATTGGGCGATGCTGGCCTAATCACAGTCCAGGCGGCCAGGGTGTCTGCTCAGTGGCCAATCTGCGATGCTGACTGGCGGGAGCCCAGGGGCGACAGGACGCTAGCGGCTGGTCTGCAGCGGACTAGGAGGCCACTCGAGTGCTCCCGGTCACAACCTAACCCATCAAAGGGGGGAACCACCAGCGTGTACTCCGTCAGTACTATATGTGTATAAAATTACATGGTACCGAGCAACGGGGGAAGACCGTGTTATTAGGCTGGGATTCTCATCACATCGCTGATCTTCAGGTTACATAACATTGACGATGACAGGGGAGGGTGATGGCATGGGAACGGATGCCCTCTTACGCATGACTGGGCTATCATGGTTGCCGCGTGATTCTCGATAGGACACCCATTTCAGCGGTCGAGAATGTATAAAAAAGAGTGTGTCAACAGAAGAAAAGCCAGATTACCCCAGCCAAGCTTTAGTGGAAGCTATATGACTGGCGTTATAACCACAGTACTCCGTATGGAGTATCGTATATTTGCATATAACAAGGCGATTGCCGAAAGACTGCTGAAATTCTCCACAATTGGGGTCAGTGATTCTCCCTTGACTTGCCTCTAGGCATGCACGTCGTGTCTACCTCACGTGGTGGATTGAACTCTCTATCGTTCTTCTGGGTTTTTGTCATCGATGAGCTGCCTGATACGATCGTCTTCGTCTTTGCTCCATAGAAGCCAAGCCTTGTGCGGCTCGAACGAAGCGGACACGGGAGGTAACTCATCAGAGCACCAAACATGGTACATACATGACTTGCTTCAATTATATAAATGCAATAAATACGAGATCTCCCAGTTCCGGGCGCCTAGCTCTCGATCTCCAACCAAGCGCCCGCTCCTTCAGCCTGCGGCCCGCCCGCACCACAAGGCTTCCCAGGCGGTCTCATGTCAAACAAAACGGGCTGAATTCACATCCGGCCCCTTAATAAGCAAGTACTTCGTGGACCACCAATCATTTTATATTTACATATTAGCCTGCATCTTGAAGATACACTGCATTTTCTCTGATACCTACTTTGTGGACAATAGGATGACTAAAGCTGTTACCGCCAGTAGGCATGAATGGCTTGAGTAGAAGACATTGGGAATAAAGCAATGATTTTATACCCAAACTTCATAACTTGTTACTAAATACCTTGTTCCAAAAGAAAAAGCAAGACTTGCAAGCTGTCATCTTCAATCTCTACTGTGGAAATGTTCAATTTCTTCTCATCCTCTAAGGCTACCTCCTCGCACTCCTCCTTCAGCCCCAACCCAAATGCCCCGCCAGGCCCTCAAGACGACGACAACGGCGTTAGAGTCGAAGCCAAAGGAGTATATATGATTCTCTGGAGAACCGACCTTCCAAGAAAATACCATTGGGGAGTTCTTGTCGCTACAACCGAGACTCAAGGCTTCCTGTTCCACCAAAACTTCAGCGGAACCCTTTGGCGCTATGTAGTTGAGCCTAAGAACATAACGAAATCCGGAAGATTACTCGTTGCCCTTAAGCTTGGTGTGGTCCCAGATGTTACGGATGAGTGGATGGGCGCCATGAAAAACTGCATTCGATCAACTGAAGTGCCAGGAAGCGAATTTACGTGTCGAACCTGGGCTCTTGCGGCCGTGTACGAACTTGCCAACTGCGGATTCATTGGTATGCTTCCTAACTGGGAGGTCATAGATAAGATTGAGGAGGAGGCGAAAGATTTAGCAATTCATGCGCTAGACACGGATCAGAAATACGTTGCCGTCAGTGAGCAAAGTCGTCCGTAACTGCTGGGTTGATAGACGGGAGTTATTTTCGAATATCTTCTACCCGGCAATTAGTGGATATAATATATATTATATCAACTATTTGCTACGGTAGAATTCCCTATGATCGTTCTATATTTCTGCGTTCTGTTGTTGTTGGTTAGGGCAATTATATATTTCATTGGAGATTACGGCAGATACATAATATATGTTGAAGTCTCCAAGATAAATGATTATATGAATTAAAAAGACAAAAATGAACACCAAGGAATAGTGCATCTATACTCATCTATACTATATCAAAACGTGGGGTTTGCCATCCAAATAAATTTCTCTGCCTCCAGTTCATCATGATAGCACTTATCAAAGGCATGGCCTAACTCTGATTCTGTGCGTTTATTACCTTGATGAGCCCAAATTGCTCTCGTGTATTCCCAATATTCTGGGGTGAAGCATGCGCTTTTCCAGTCAACCAGACCGGAGAATTTGCCACGCAGGACAAGTATATTAGACAAATGTAGATCTGAATGAGTGAAACATACACTGTGATGCTTTTCGTATAAATATCGTAACGGGTACTTGTCTCTTTGGCCCTCGAGCCCTTCTAAGAAAATTCGTAAATTCGTCCTCTGTACTATACAGTCCACATATTTTGCCTATGTCAGTCCGATGATCAGTAGTCGGGCCACCAAGAGTATCACAAATAAGATAATCGGCGTGCGGGTTTGGGATCTGGCGATATTCTGAAATATGTCTCCCCAGGTCTTTTGCAAGTTGGATGCGCTCATCATACGACATGCGATAATAGACACTATCCGCAGGCACGCCGGGAATCATAGTCATAATCAGGTACCCTACGTTGTTTTTCTCATCCCTTGTAAAGCCAATAAGTTTTGGAGCCGGTATTGATGTCATTTTGTCAATAAGGAGCAGGGCATTGGCTTCGTTTCGATCCACCCTTTTTCCAATTTTTAAACATAGGCCCCCAGGAAGATATCTGAAGAATGGGTTATCTTGCGGATACCAACGGTTAACCGCTTTAACAATAAGCTGAGCAATTTTTAACTTCAAAAATTCTGGTATCACGAGAAATAATCCACGTAAAATGCGTTGCCCGAACTTTCCAAGCGTTTTTGTATCTATACGCAAGTCAGCGTCCATGTAGCTCGACACTAAGTGGTACTGTAACGAACCTGTGCTATATGACTGCCACCCACCCTGAACTTCTTTCTCGATAGACATGTAGTAATTAAATGCAGAAATAGGTCTATGGATAGCGAGTAAGAACCCGTCAGGCAATGGCAGCCTAGCCATGTCTGGAGTTGACGGCTGAATGGAAAAGGTGCAGTTTTTTGGAAGTCCAGCCACTCTGAACTGTCCAGGAATTCCACTGAAAGGAGCTCAAATGAGTATTTTCCTATTATGTAAATCGAAAGGGATAAAGAGAACGGGGTAAAGGGGAATATAGACTACTGACAGATACCTCTGTCTCATTGATCCGGTTCTTAAACATTGAGATACGCCCACTTCGGAACGCAGAGCTCGCTGATGAGCTCATCAACCAAAGGTTTTTGAGGCATTCTTCCTGATTTTTATTGCAAGAATTCAAAAATAGAAACAGCTTCTCTGTCATTTGTGGTGATATCCAGGCTTCAAGGGTAGGTCGCAATGCTCCCTATTTTCTGTAAGATTAAGTTTCGTCAAGTATAAGTTGGAAAACCTACACCAGGTTGGATTTCATTATCATCTATGATTGATGGTGAGACAATATATGTAGCCTTGAGGGCACCAGATTCTCCCGACACATAACAAACATTGTTCTGGCGTCCCTTGAGGGCAGAACATAATTCAGGAGATACACCTGGTGAATCGCAAGTGACTAGACGTAACCAGTTAGAATGCAAGGAAAATATCGAGGGTTACGAGGCAGGATAACTATACATTTTTCAGCCAATACATGCAAATTTTCTAATATAGAGCGCAGTTTTCCTTCAAATGAACCTTCAGGGTTCTTTGTGGCTACGTCGAGCAGGAACCTACACGCTAGGTCCTTATCAACAGCATTGTAGAGGAAAAACTTTAGGCGTAAATGCTCAAAAGCAGCAAGATGAGCAGAATCAATGATAGACAAAGCTTGAAACAAGAGCTCCTCATTATACAAGCCAGAGCTCTTTTTGAAGTACGTTGTTGTTAGGACATGCACATTAAGAGGTCGAGATCATAGGATTACTTATGTAAGCATAGAACTAACTACAAGGAAAAAACTCCTGGTAACCTAAAATTTTCAGTTTGTTATTTGACTCGATTCCATAGTATCGTAGTGCAGTTGAATGTTTCTTCGTAAGTACATGTACACTGTTTAAAAACGGTCTGTTGACAGCCCTTTTTAAAACACCACCTGTAATAGTCATCTATCGGTGAAACGGCGTTGCCCACCGCATTGTAATATTCCCGGATGGACTCGTATTCGGCCTCGGTAAGAGCTATGTCTATTCCCAAGGGTATAAACAACGAAAATAATCTTGATTTCATCAGATACTATGTCGTCTTTAGGACATAGGCCATGGCTTACCAATAACCAAAGTTGTGGAGTCGGTATAGCATATATTCCTTCATATTCTTGAATTCCTCGCCACAATCGTCAAATGTCACGATATAGTTTGGTAATGTTTGACAAAATGCGGAACTTTTAAAGGGTCCACGTCTTAGCGAGTGTATACTATGTATAGAGTTGTGATACTAGTCTCGGAATCACTGCAAGACGTGTACAGGCTGTCAAATGGCCAATCGATTTAACCTCCCTTTTTATGGCGTGGCTATTAGTTACCGATTACATAATCCAGGACTCTTTCTGCTATCTGAAGGTTAGCTACAGGACAACAGCAAACAGAGAATGTTCATCTCGAAAGTATGAAATAGCATACCCAGCTTATACTTTGATAAGCTGTATTGGGCGCTCGCAATGGCGTCTTCCTCGCTCCGTACTTCCATTAACAGCCGCCAGGTGTATATCCGGATGCAACCTGCTCCTCGCACGCTATCCCAAAGCAGATCAGTCCTGAAATCATTGCAGAAATTTGGAGAAGTATCCTCTTTTCTTAACACGAAGGTAAAGTGAACTGGCTCTATCGCACGCTCATTATCTGCAATGCTAACTCGCAAGTAGTATTTCAAGATTAGAACGTCCACATCTGGTGGCACGGCATTTGCAATTTTCGAGTCGTCTCAAGCAGCATCTGACGCAATCAAGGCATCACCATTGACCGTTCATCTCTCGCATCCAAGACTGAATAAATCTATCCATGAACACCCAAGCTCCTCTAATTCCGGCGAGCATGTTCCGCCTCACCTATCAGGTACATCTAACGAAACCATCAAATGCACAATCCAAGAATCAGAATACGACCACAAGGAAAATATGCGGAAAAACCCCTACAATATGGGGTTCCAGATTTCACGCCACTGGATGGAGGTGCAAGATTTGATGCGCTCGCCGAACAACAGCGTACCACTTGTGGAATACGCAGATTGCTTCATAAAGCGGAAGTTTTCCATGCCATATCGGATCCAAGACCGGTATTATGACAATACTGTTAAAGCGGGAGGAACTTCGTTAATGGAAATGTGGAAGCAAGGCATTGAAGAGAAGAAATCTGAGGTTAAACGCCATGATACCGAGGAGTCCAAACAAAGTCCTGATTCTGGTTGACTTACCAGATGAATCTACCTCTGCTCATTCAAATATAGGTACTTGACTACGGTGGGTTGAAAAACACCGCAGATCAGTAGTCATTGTTGGTTTTCGCAAACATACAGCCAGTTTGACTTTGACCCAAAGGAAGTGGTTAAGGTTATACTAAAGGATCCGACTTATTGCATATTCTCCGGCACTTCATAGCCTAGGGCAAGGCGCACTGTATAACAGTGACATCATCCGAGCGTTCTCAGTCTTGGTAGCTACAGGATTGCTCCTCCTTACCAAGTAATGAAGACATCCATCGGTGGTACTTGTGGATAGATCTCCATCACCCTTTATAACCATACGTCCTTCTATTAGTATTCTCGAAGAACTGTGGCAAGCCGATTATCGTGCCGTGCGGCTTTGGGTCTCCGAAAGGATGTCAATGCAACAAAAAATAAAGCCATAGAGAAGTCTCATGACCCTGGCGCGGGGATTGAAATTTCGTATTCAATTCGTTTAAAAACGCGCATTTGGCAGTCTTTTCCAGCCACCTTCATGTTTATTTTCCCTAGAATTTATAGTACATTTTGTCTGGAGCACTACCTGGCCAGTATGATCCTAATATTTTGACACATTCAAGGGCCGTGTATTTAAGTAAAGACTGGAGTAACATCGTTGCCCAAAATATTTATCCAAAAATCGGAAAGTTGACACCATACTAAATATTGAATTAGTTATGTTATAAAGCAAGTCGAAGGGGCAAACGTTTACTTACACTTGGAGGGTTGTTGAAACGTAGCCCCTGATCAAGAGCACTGATAGCCCTGAGTTCGTTCGCTGTAAGGTTGAAGCCGGTTGCATCCAAGTTCTGCGCCAGTCTGTCTGGGTTATTGCTTTTTGGGATTACCGCGATCCCTCTTTGTGTAGCCCATCGAAGCAATATCTGTGCTGGAGTTTTCCCGTGTTTCTCTGCAGAAGATTTGATAGTTGGATGCTCGAGCAGCAGGGTAGTTCCAGTAGCAGCTTTGTTTTCCAGCTCGATGAAGCTCTGCGGTCCAAGAGATGAATACGCCGTCACCACCAGTCCTTCATCCTGGGCATACTTGATTAGACCCTCCTGGGTAAGATATGGGTGGTGCTCTATCTGAAGAGTGGAGGGTCGGATCCGGGCATATCGCAATAAGTCCATAATCAACTGAGGGCTAAAGTTGCTGATTCCAATGCTGCGAGCCAGCCTCTTATCCACAAGCTCTTCCATTGCCCCCCAGGTCTTATAGAGAGGGACGTTACCACTCTCAGCTTTCTCACCAGGAGCAGACCACTCCGGGGGATATCGGACTTCAGGGTCGACATATTTCAGGGAGATAGGGAAATGGACGATGAACAGGTCGAAATAGTCAATTCCCCAGTGGGACAGTTGACGACGACAGGCCGGTTCAACATGCTCGGGATCGTGAAAGGTGCCCCAGAGCTTAGAAACGATGAAGAGATCCTCCCGTCTCACGATCCCTTCCTTGATAGCGCGAGCTACACCTTTGCCGGCCTCGACTTCGTTTCCATAATCTGGGGAACCGTGAGCAAAGATATCCCATGAAACTGATCAACTAATAAATATATCCCACGTACCACAGGCACCATCAAACAGACGATAGCCGGTTCGAATGGCATTGTACACTTGGTCTGCGCAGGTTTCCTTGTTGACTTTCCATAGTCCAAACCCCACGATCGGCATGGCGTACCCGCTGTTCAGCTTGACTGCAGGAGCCGTTAGATTTGGGGTCGTCGACGCCATTGTTTCTGTATGTTTCTTTTCCAAGACGCTATAAATGCAGAGATTCAGAATATTCCTCTTCCGTCTGAACGATTCTCGAGCGGTGCTAAATAAAATAGAAGAAAATTCGACAGTCGATGGCGAGTTTTCTACCTTTGAGGAAGAAAGCGGATGCAGTGGATACGTACGGGACGAACCAAAAAACGGGTGTAATAAAACTATCAATCGACCAGGAAAAATGTATATGTGGGCGATGTATAGATCGCGGGGGAGGAAATCTGAGCGGAAGATGGAGTCTTTCTATCTTGATATGAGCTGGGATACTCCTCTACCGGTGCTTCTGGCATATTTATAATGAACGGTCAACGGATGCTGCTGGAGAAGAAGCCAACACCAAGTGGCGACTTCACGATGGGCATCATGACGAACATGGGAAAAAAGACCATAGGAGGCTCATCAACTTGGCAAGTGGAACCACGGGGATAGCGTTGAGTATCGCTTATGGTATTTTCCAGGGCTATGCTAGGGCGTGGAAGACGTATACAAAGCTGGCTGAGGGTCGGTTTGAAGTCGCTTGGACAAGCCCAGGGAGTTTTTACCCCTTAAAGAAGTGGGATTTCGCATTACTAACTACCAAACAGCTATTCTATGTGCATATACAGTCGTAACATCTAATCCTCAAGGTCCGCATCAACATGAAATTTCTTTCGTCCAGGCCCCATAAGTTTCTGTATCTTAACCTTGTTCACTTGCGCGTCCATCTTCCTCTCGATCTCCTTGATCTGGTCTTCCGGGTCGGTGGCCTCCTCAGAGACGAATTCTAGCACAAGCCGTCGGCCGAGAAGATGGGTATTTCGCAAAGCATCCATCGCGTTCTCAGCCTCCCTCGAGCTCACAAAGTCGGCAAAGGCGAAACCACGAGCAGTCCTGTCGAATTTCTTCGGCACACGGACAGACCGAAGTTGGCCATAAGCCGCAAAAAGGGACCAGATATCCTTCTTGGTTGCTTGGAACGGCAAGTTTTTGATAATGATTTTGGTTCGCTTCGCGGATGCTTTCTTCGCATTGTCCTCCCGCCGCCGCTGCTCGGCTGCATCCATCCCCTTGTGGGAGGGTTTGATGACGAGCTCATGCTGGTCGAGCTTATACCCATTAAGAGCCTTGAGAGCTGCTTCAGCCTGGGCCCGACTTTTGAATTCCACAAAGCCAAAGCCCATGCTGAGCCGTTCACCTGGTTTCTTTGGGTCTGGCCTCGTCTTCACCTGGGCAGAAATGAAGCCATCAAGGGGTCTGAATAGGTCGCTTAAGCCTGTGTCAGTAGTAATAAAATTCAGATTACGAACGAACAGGGTTGCGCTCTCCATAGGTGCTTCTGGCTCATCGGCCCTAAAGGTATCTGAGGTAGAAAAGCCTTGAGAGACGACTTTTTCGTTTAACAATGACGGCATTGTAACAGTTGGGCCGCCCTCAAACAGATCTTTTGGAGCTTTCTCTACGTAGAGAATCGATTCGCCTAGTCTTTTATAGGCAAGCCCTTTGAATGCTCGCTGAGCTTCATCAGGCATGGCAAACTCAACTATAGCAATCGTACCACTAGGTGGCATGAGAAGTCGTGTCAGTTGCCCAAAGGGTTCACAAAGTTTTTTAATATCTTCAGATGAAACACCATATGTAAAATTCTTCAATAAAAGAGCAGTGTTTCCTCTTTCACGCTGCTTAAATGACTCAATGTTAACACCATTGGCACTAAAATAGGCCTTGGTTTCTTGAATGACATGGGTTTCTGCATGGGCTTGCTTGACTGCAGCATCTGAAGAGGTTGGGTCCAGAAGTTGTGACTTTGAAACACCCAATCTGTCCGCTACCGAGGCCATTACCGCATCAGTCTATTAAACAAGTCAGCCACTAAACTCGATTACCGTTTGAGAGGCATAATATCTTACATTCATATACAGAGAATTCCAACTAAAAGTAGATGAAGCGGCCTCAGCTTTCCTTTTGATTTGCTGTTGCTTCTTCAAAGGCAGCTTCGAAATTTCGAATTCATCTAGTTTGTATGTTTTCTTTGATGAAGCAGGTAATATGTGCATTAGGCGACCCTGAAAGTCCTTTCCATCTAATTGCTTGTATGCCTCTATTGCAGCATCGCTCTCAACATACTGAATGTATGCAAAACCTTTGCTTGTGGAATGCCGTGTATCTATGGCAACATGGGTCTACTTTCAGTCAGCTTCTGTCTCATTCCATAGATGGCAGTAGTTGATATTTTATGCAATGAGGCTCTTTGGTCTTCAGATAAAAGAGGCATCTACTAAAATTCTCTTCCTGGTAACATCATGTGCAAAGCATCGGATGTCCCTATCAGGATAATCATCATATGGACTAGGAGTGGATCTCGGGAATCACCATGAATATGAAAGTATATCTTACCTCTTCGATTTTACCAAAACGAGAAAATGCAGCACTTAGATCATCTTCAGACGCGTTATAAGGTAGGTTCCGTATAAAGAGCCGCCCAGTGAGTCGGATCGATTCAATGTTAGCATCTGGAGCGGGCTCCGACACGTGATCCTGCTTTTCAATGGCATCTTGAGTGGTGGATGTTTCAGCGGGAGGAGCCTGAGCACGATCAGTGGTATTTTCCGAAGCCTTGCCTGCCCAAGTTTGAGCTAACATATCATCCTCTTCATCCAAAAGCCCAAGGAGACGGGATGTCTTTGATCGTAACCAATCATCGTCATTCTGGGGTGCTGGATGCTCAGTAGCATTACCTGGATCACTATCTCCAACAGTTTTCGTGTCTGGTGTTTGTGACTCCATTGCCAAGGTAGCCGTAGCTGGCTCCCCAGTATTTTGCATATCAATATCACTCTTAGTTTCAGGGTTTTCTTTTTCAGCATCAATCATAGGTTCGCGCTCCTGCTCTTGAGGCACTGCTAGACTGCTACCGCTATCCGCCCACGTCCGAGACTTCGTGGGCGGTTGCATAGCAGTGAGGTATTCTTGCAGGTTTGAATCCTCAACCGTATCTTGTGAAGGGCGCTTCCGCTTTAGAGAAGGAGGATGGCTTTTAGCATCCAGGTGTTTTCTATACCTTGCACGTAAATCTGCTTCGCCATTGGCGTCGACCTTTGAAAATATCTAGTCAGCTTTACTTCATCGTGCCCTTCAAGGCCGGTTAGCCTCGTAATAGCCAAATATCTGGAAACATGGCTCGCATGAGGTCCTGCACTGCTAGAGGGGGATGCAAGGTACTTACAGCTCTGGCCATTTCCACTGATATCCTTGACATGTTAATGAATGTCTTATTGAAGTACTTGATAGCATTTTCAGCAAGATTTGGACCCTTGAATCCTACAAAGCCAATTCGTCTGTTGGGAATGACATGTGCATCTGTAACCTCGAACCGCTGAGCAAAGTGATTTCGTAGTTTATCACTTGTAAGCGAGGGCGGGAGTCCAGATACAAACACGCGAGTTCCCTCCATGCTTCTTAACGGATAAAGTAGCACACTGTTTAGCCACGAATCTTATTACATCCTTTCGTGGAGTTGAAGGTGGAAAAGATGGATGAAAAGCGTTGAAGTTTGAATATTTTTTTTTTCTGCTTTTGATATATTTTTTCTGCTGCACGAAGGCGGTGAGATGATTGTGCATTATGTCATCACATTCTGCCATGGTCTGTGCATCCAGCCTTTCATCCCCAAAAAGAAAAACGAAAACAGAAGAAAGAGACGCATAAGAGAAGACGAAACCGAACAAAACCAAGGCCGAGTCAGAGCTCCTGAGTTACCGTTGTTTATTACAGGTTTACAACCTTTTATTCGCCAATTCTATTGTCAGTCAATATGGCTACCGAGAAGCGGGAGAAGCTCGAAGGTATTTTCCACCCTGTTATTCTGCTTCCCCTCCGCATCTGATAAGCTAACGGCTGGGACGCGAAATATAGCCCAGATCAAATCTGTGGACATGGTGAGCGAGTACCGGTCCTGATATACAATATTCAATCCCTAATAGTCTGAAATAGAACGATGACATGCAACAGGAAGCCATTGAAGTTGGTACGTGTACCTAACGCTCAGCGCTTGCGCTTGACGTCGCTAACACAACCACCATCCAGCTACCGAGGCCATGGAGAAATACCATATCGAAAAAGCAAGTGATGATGCGACCTGAACGGCAGTTTTGCGTTTCTGGGATCTAACTAACCGAGGCCACAATAGGACATTGCACAATTTATAAAGAAGGAGGTTTGTTTCCTTTATGCACAGCTATAACGAAGGGTACACAAATGCTGATAATAAGATCAGTTCGACTCACGAAAGGGTGCTACCTGGCACTGCATAGTTGGAAGGAACTTTGGAAGCTTCGTTACCCATGGTATGTATTCTTCTATTGAACTGTTGATGCATCGAGTTAACCAGTTCTTATGCAGAAACTAAGCATTTCATATATTTCTATCTTGGTCATTGCGCTATTCTTCTATTTAAGACGCAATAAGCGTGCAACGACTTTTGGATTCTTCGAGCAGAGCGTACCATCGTTACCTTTCCTTCACGATCATGTGCCAGGCCGTTGTGAGCCAGACTCGGGATGCGCGGGCATAAAGTTTTTATTGGAGGAGGCCTTGTGTTAATGAATGTTGTTCTTCCTTACACCAAGGATATCCTTCGCTTTTATATTAATGATACTCTCTAAAGCAAATATGGAATATGGTTTATACTGCTCTTAATTTGCCTGTTAGTTGGCGGTTGCTCTTTGGGATGGATCCAACATAGTATCCAAAGCTCAAGCCAAGTGCTATATATCCCATTAAAGCTTCTCAATTCAAGCGATATCTCATTAGATATTATGGGTTCATTGTACAAGTGTAGCTTGAAACCACGAGAAAAGGGAATGGTATCTAGGTACAGAAGGGTAATATCAAGGGGCAAAAGGGATTAGGGGTATTAACGCAGGACGCGGGTGAAAGGAAAATACAATACAGCTAGAAACGACCTTCACACCCCATAAAATTAAACACACGAGCGAACGGTAGGCACTGACGCGGCATAATCCCTATCGTTACTTATAACCAGGCGGCTGTGGCTGTTGGTACTGCTGATACTGTCCCGGCGGCCCTGGCGGTCCTCCTGGCGGTCCTCCTGGCGGGCCGTACTGTTGACCTTGGTACTGTGGAGAAACTCCAGGCGGTGGCCCGTGTCCTTGACCTTGGCTTTGGCCTCCAGGTCCTTGAGATTGAACGTCCGGCCTCACTCTAAAGCACAACTGTTAGGATATGACCTAAATGTGAAGGCAAAATCCTCAAAAGAAGGAGGATCCACTCACGATAAGTCTTGCGAGAACCGGCAGATATGGCAGTATACTTCCTAAAAATAAAATCAGCAAAGGAGTGTCCATGAAGATTCTAACACAGCAAGCAATAAAAACTCACTTTATACTTGTGCATAGCTAATGGAATAAGTGGCTATTAAAAGTGATGTTCGATTAGGACCTTCATATTCCAGGCAGGTAAAGCATAGGTTGAAGTTCATACAATAAAGCAGACAGTGAAGAAAGGCCTATTATTATTAAATGTTAGCAGGTTATGCTGGTATAGGGAATGACCACCGTTTTCCTCAAAAGTGCTCGATTAGAGACTGACTGACCATCTGGTAATACAACGGCCTGACCAATTACCACCTGATCAAGTAATATCCTAATTTAGAAAACGGACTCGATGCAAGGCGCATAGCTGCATATGCACAGCATATCCATCTTACAATTCTGGCATTGGGCCGTGACATGCTCATATCCTTGCAGCTGGGAGGTGAACTCTGGTAATAAGAAGGGATTCTAGGATTAGTCCGTGGCCGTTGAAGCCGTCGACGGGATCTCGACATACCATGAGTACCAAAGGTTATACAGATAGCCATGGCTAGATCTCGAATGCAACTCTTGGGTAGTAGTTTAACACGCAGCGAAGTTTCTCGTGAGTCGGTCGGTGAAGGTGAAGTAGAGAGAAAGGAGTTTCTGTTTATTACGAAGAGGTTTGAAATGACGCACGCCGTACTTGGCTAGGATCGGCAAAATGGCCGCTTTGGCTTAGAGTTTTTTTTTTTTATTCCAGCCGCAAGAGGGAAAATATTGATGTTCTTGTTTATTTACGAGCGAGCAGCTTTGGTATTTAACTTGTCTTCGTATATCTGCAGGGGCTTTGACAGGCTGAGTAAGCTTATATAATATAATATCGGGACTACCGTTGATCCGCGTTGCATTTTTGGGCCAATCCAGTCCACTCACATCCGACCATGGTTCACTAAGTACCAAGTAGATTCAAACTTCTTTCAAAGCCGTGACAGTCATTGACGTCAGCAACACTTGCTATATATCAACGAAGTTGATATATTCTCTCTCTCTCTCTGTCTCCTAATTCCAGGAATTAGGACCATCACGTCTTGCTCTAAAATTCAAATAGTCAATATCCTCAAATACGATGGCAGCCCCTTTGATAGCCTCACCTGTTCGAATCTCACCAGATATCTCGATATTACGTGACAAATTACCCTATGTCAACTACGAGGCATCTCTTTTGAGACCGGATAACCATGCCCATCCTCACGCGTCGATTTTGCAAAATCAGCAATTACCTATGCATGAGACCAACGCGTTACGCTGGAGGAAGCTCATGCCTACTTATGGATCCCGACATATTCATGATGTTGCTGAATTCTCTCTATGGTGCGAAGAGAAAGGCGATTTTAAACATCCAACTTCAGAACAGTCAACATGGATCATGCACTACTATAAAGCCAAAGAAGTGCGCTTTGAATATCCCTTGATTATCATAATTACGGATAATCCTCCGAAGCCGCTAACGCTTACTATTGCTGGTGTGGCGGCGGTGTTTGTCTCGGATGCACCCCTCAGCGCAGGTTTCCATGTTAACACTGCCTATGCATCCCCTCGCGTGCCTGATCCTTCTCCAGTTTTTCTTAGAAAGTGGCTTGCACCTACAAAGGCGGAGACAGATCTTATCCTTATTTCTCTAGCTCCTCTATGTAACGTCAAGGCTATTAATTGGTATGGATATCATTGTTATGTCGAGCTACATACAAATGACGGAAGATCCTACGATAGGCATTCACTGCCTGGCCGTGTTGCCGGAAAGATGACAACATATCACCATTCGGATAGCAGCTTCTGGGACGATATGAAATCGCTGGAATTAACACGGCGCATCGATCCGCAAGCTTTTACAACGGCACCAGCTTTACAGGACCGTACAAACTATCTACTAGAGGGAAGTGGAATTCTTCAACCCGGGGTCCGTATTGCAAGCAGCCTGGATTCCGATAACGAAAAATTCGCTGACCACGAGCTAACCACGAGCTGTGGTATACGGCTACGTCATTCCTCGGGCCAAGTTGTCGTGACTGTCGCAAACCACGGAGTTCAACATTCCCAAAAGGTTTACCATCCCAGCACCATGAATGGGTCTAAGATCGGAGATGTTGTTGAACGGTGGGAAGCCCAGGACATTGCTATGGTTGACTTGATCCCAGCAGTCCGCTTCTCGAATAATCAATATTTCCAAGCCACTGCACCCAAGCGCCTCCTCAGGTCGGATCATATACCAAATGGTGCCTGGTGCTCATGCGATGGGATGTCCACCGGTGTAGTTTTTCTTCAATGTCAAGGAACACGCATGTCTGACATCCATATGGAAGTTACGAATGGAATAAATATCAAGAAACTATACTACAAGACGGAGAAGTTGTACAGCACTTTCGGGCCGATTGGGGGACAGCTATCTGAGGGTATATGTGGCGCGCCCATAGTTGAAGAAGGAGATATGGATCGCCCAGGCGGCGGTAATTTGTAGCACATTTCGTTTTGGGGAATGAGTACATTGCGATAGCGCCTGTGCTAGACGATATCATAGACGCAGGCTGGGGGTTATACTAAGAATGATTCATTACATAGCTGCTCCGTTTTAGATATGGAAGCCTCGTCATGTATCTTACTGAGCGTCTTTTGGATTTACTGGTAAATGACGTGGTGTTTATCGTTCATTAATGGATCTACAATGACTTCTACATATCAAATATTGCTCATAGTCCAGTAGGGCAATAGGTATTAACTACGCAGGATCAAACACTACAATTCGTGCAAAAAAAGAGGTTCAATAAAGTTACAAGAGAAGTAAAGTCTAGCAAGATTTGCAGGTACGGAGGCCCCAAATATACAGCAGATATTGGGATGATGGATGGGTAAGCGAGAGAGGACGGTGTGAGGAAGCAAAAAATAAAGACACAAAAAGACGAGGACCTGCGGCGTCTAGTGCCAAAGTAAATATTATATCAATATCCTCCTTTGGCCAATGTCGTGTCCATGCTTTCCCTGAACCACAGAATGACAGAAGAGTTCCCCCTGTCGTAAGATATAGATTATAGTAAATTGTGTAGTTGTGCAGTAGAAGATGGATCCCGTCAGGTACACTGGCTCAAACCTTTCCCAGCCTTAAAATGAATATAAGAGAAGAGCAGCCTTTGTACCGTTTTAAAAAGCCGTCACTTGTGTTTTTGGTGATCAGAAATTTAAAAAAAGGACGAGCGAGAAACGAGAAGGTCCCATTAATATGGCGCCTAGTTTACGAGGAGAATTTTCGGGTGATCTTTGCAATAACTGGTAGAAGAATGAAATGCCCATGTTAGTTTGAGATCACGAGATAGACACTTGTACAGAAACCAAGGCTTGAGCCACAAGGTACATACCATGCAATCCGACGACTGAGAAAATGAACCCAAGAGACAAAACCAATACAACAACAGGGTCGACTTTCAGTCCCGGGCTCTCGTCGGTGTATAATTTCAACATGGTACCAGACGAACCACCAGCTCCGGCTGATCGAGTAGATGCTGGGCGCGCATTTCGTACTGATTCTTTGTGGTCTGCAGCAGCACGACGACGGAGGGCCGTTCGTGGGCCTCCTGGGGGAGTAGGAGAAGATGGGCGCAAGGCAGAGCTAGATCCGCCAGCTGGGCCGGACGAGCTGGATGGCTTGGATCCCTCAGCGCCTGATTCGGCACCTGATACCATTGGAGAGGAAGGCTGCATGCGAAGAAGAATTGTTAGTATCTCGTTCACTTTCGTGTATGTGTGTTTATACCGGCGGATACGGTGTTTGGGACAAAGGGGCAAAGAGAATTGAACGACAGCAAAGGATTGAGTTAAATACCATTATGAAGGGAGGCGGTTGGAATTGGTAGGATGAAGCAAAAGACGGGAGAGTTCGCTATAGAATAAAAGACCTTGGAGGAGCTAATGGTTAGATAATTGTGCCCGTTTATCTCCGAATATCTTCTGTTCTGCGTCCTGGGCTCCAAATCACGGAAGAGGCCACGATTTCTCAAGTGGTGCGGTTGTTGATTACATAAGCAGTTAACTAATAGGTCTTTTTTCTGCTGTCCATCACCGCCCTGGATTCTCTGGGGTAGCTGACATAATCAGATTCCATTTACCTTGATAGGGAATATATAGAGAGAATATCCATATATCATAATAGAGAAGATATGATGATAGTAGTAAGTAGTTACCGTCTATGGTTCATATGGCTAGAAGTGAGGGGAGATAGAGAATGCGCTGTGTGCAAACAGAAAAACAGCCACATACACACTTAAAAGGAAGCAAGGGTTCATGTTTATTTGATATGTTTATATTTCAAAGAAATCACAAAAGAGTGACAAGCGATGAGCAAAGGTAGGCTCACAGAAGTACAAGTAGGTACAAGTAGATGAAAACAAGGCAGGGGTCGTAGGAAATACATGAGGTATCATTGAAAAAAATCTTTCCAACAGATTAAAAGTTTGCTATGAAGGGGGTAATCGAACCTTTTTTGGTTTGCTTGTCGTCGCCATTGTTTTAGTTTCTTTACCATCAAATCCAAATTCCGAATAAGCATCGAGTATGGAGGGAGATTTGGTATCTTCAAGCCCAGAGTCCGAAAAAAAAAAAAAGAAAGAAAAGTACATAAAGCGAACGAAGAACGAGGGAACAATTAGAGAAAAAAAGAAGAGAGGGGGAAAAAAGGAAAGATCCTTGGGGTATATGGCATTGGGAATGTTAATTGCAAGTTTAGATTAGTTTACTTTTTCTTCTTCCTTTCCATCCTTTCCTTTCAAAGGAAAAGTTCAAAACACTTTCATTCACTATTGATTTGGTGGTTTCAATCAATTGTCATGCGAGTGGGCACAGGGTTTTGTGAGAACTGGTCGTGAAGCTCAGTGCCTTCACCCTTCTCAGCACCACGGTGCCTCTTCTTGCTTGTAATGTGTGGCTTCAATCCCTTGTTAAAATTGAGAGTGCACAGTATGGCATTAATAATCGTCATTATGATAAGAATGATGGTGGCGACGGCAAAGAATGTAAGCGATCGACGAGCAGGGAGATATGCCTGCTCCTTCGCAGGAGAATACATTCGGATCAACTTGAAGAGGAAGTAGGCAAAACCGCCAAAATATAGCAACTGTAGTTGGACATTAGTTTTGCCTAGACACAGAAGAAAGGTAAGCCACTTACGATGACGATTATCATGCCAACTGTGCTTTCACGCCGGGTCCAGAACGCAGCCATGATCAGGATCAGGATAGTAACTGGTATGGCAGCAAGAGTGAGAGCAAACTCGATAGTCTTGGTTTCTGTCACAATAACCACAAATTGAACCGTAAACCCAAGGAAGAAGAAAAAGTCAAACTTCAACAGGGCAATGTAGATCTGTGGAGGGCAGGTTAACAATGTCATACTGCCAAGAGAAGAGATAGTAAACGGGCACAAACCTGATACGTAAGGTAACGACGCTTCATCCGCAAATCGGCACTTATATGCTTATAGATCGTCCAGGCAAATTCATCATATAGCTTCCATGCAAGGAAGCTCATGGCAACTGTTCCCAGTCCGGTGATGCAAGGGATTGCGATGAGGAACGGTCTGATCTCGTCTAGTACACCAGGTTGGATAAGTTGATCCTCAGCGAGCGCCTTTACTGCGGAATCGATCTGGTCGATTTGCACGGCCCCGTAGATAAGTAGGCCAAAGTTGCAAATACACAGTCCAATCACTTGAATGGTATTTTTAAGCCGAAGTGCATCGTATACCAGAACAAGTTCGTAAACAAAACCGAAGATATAAAGGGTCAGGAACGTTGGGATAGTTTTTGAGTCGGTGTTTGTTGCTGTATTTCCATGAAGTTGTAGCTGGAAGCGGGCGAAAATATATCTATCAATCGGGTCAGACCCATCATCACATGATATAGGGATATATATATAGAGAGGTCTAACTTACGACTCAAAGGCAAGAATACAAGCAGCCTGAACCGTCGTGACTATGACAAACGACCACGTCCAGCGTGTGTTTGGTAGATACATCTTCATCGACGACTCTCCGCGAGCTGTGTATCCTTCTCTAGGCCGGTAGCCCTGACCAGGGGGAAGTAACGGGGGATCTATCCCTGGCTCTCCCAAGAGAGACGTCCGCCTCGAGTATGGACGAATTTTGGCGGCCAGCAGCTCCTTGATGGAGCCTTGCTCTCCGTTACTTTCGATGGACTAAAATCAAAAAAGATCGATAAAACAAGAAGATGCCACAACCGGGACGAGACTTGTGGATTACTCTATGGGCAACGTAGGCGCTAGAAGGCTGTGCAGGAGAGAACAATGGGCGACAGGACGCGAGTTATATCATAAATATGCGGGTTCCAGGCTGGAAGTTCGCTGTGGTGATTCTGTAAGGCGGTGCAAGGCGGCTCCGCGGCTAGGGGCGTCCCGGACAAGAGAATGAGAACCAAACGAGTGACACGGTGGAACGGGCGACGGAGAGGAGGTGTTGACCTGTCGATAAGCGAGAGAGGGACAGAGGCTAAGTCGTTCAGGAGAGAATGAGGGCGGTGCTGAGATGATCGAGAGAGGGTGTGTGTAGAGAGAGAGAGAGAAAAAAGAAGAGAGAAAGTCGAATCTGGCGGTGGAATATCGAAATGCGCAGCTCGGTGGCTTGGCGGAGCCGCCTTTTTGGGGCCTTGTTCACAACGGCCATTTTCTTCTTCTTCCTTTCCTTCTCCTTCTCCGCCTATGGATTTTTTTCCCAGTGTATATAGTTTGTGGCTGGAGCCTGCCGGCTTTGCGGTTGGTTCCCTTGGTTTCTCCGCTTGACAAGGTGCTTACTACGGCTGTACATAGTAACATTATATATTAGACTACGTTTTTCCCGTGGTTCCAGGGCTGGACCCCTGGATCCCGTCTGGCAGTGTTTTATCGCGATGGAGCAGGCCGACAAAGGTTGAAGGAAAAAACCGCCTATTGTGGCTCAGCACGGGCGGCTGGTGCAATTGAAGCTGAAGACTTGCAGTTACGTATGTCATCCCAGGCCCCTGGTCCTCCCTGGCTCCCCGTAAGATTAGTTGTTTATTTTGTCTCGACTCCATCGTGTCTTGAGATTGCATTAGGGCGGAAACTCCGTAAACGTATATGTTATTTGACTCAGGCAGGGCCCCTGGCCATGACAAGAGGATAGAACTCCGGATGGGCTGGACATGGAGCCTGAGAAGAGCTGAAAGAGAAGCTGAAAAGGCTGACTTCTGCCGTCTTGGACTCGTTGGGACTGAAGATGTTGAAAAGTTGATGTCTCAACTTTAAAAGGAGGATTCAATCACGTGATTCTACCGCACAACCCAGAAAAAAAAAGTCCTCAACTTCTTGCTTCTTCTTCTTTTCTTCTTCCTTGTCAAGCATCGTCCTCGCCAAAGCTGCGTTTCTTTGCTACACTCGCCAGTTATACTGGAGTCATCCTTGCAAATGAGAAATTCGGAGTATTCTTCACTTTCAACCCGCTTCTGCACACCCATGAAGAAGCTAGGTACTGCCCGTGAGGGCCTGGCATGAAAAGTGTCTGCAATCAGGCATCAGAAACATCGGGGGATTGGAGGGCTTCGGAGAAATCTTGAGTCCTCCCTTCACCCCTTGGGAGAGCCGTTGCGAAGATTGTGTGTGTCTTTTGTTCCCTCGGGACAAGAGATGCGACACCTAAGTGCAATACGCAGCGTGCCTTGCGCCTTCGAAAGAGGGAGCGGGTACCATTCGATTCCGATTACTCTGGCGAGGACGATGCTTCACCTTCTCTTTTTTCCCTAGGTATGGAATATCCACTCATCTGCTCTGTATATGTGCTAACATGTTTATATGAATCCAACCTATCAATGACGTGAATACTCCAACACAAGGATAGATCTGGTAAAGCAGGTGAGTCATAGTAGCTAACATACGGTAAGCTATATAGACATAATAAAAATAAATGAGATTTTATTTTAATGTTGGGGGCAATTTCAATAAACTACCACTCTAAATTTGAATTGAAAGGGTTATCTCAAATTGTACGCTTCATTATTTAATCCTCGTGATGTAAGGTGAAAGAAAATATTCCTACCCTCCCGCCCCTGTCCTTTTGGCCAGTGGAAAATTACAAAAGATACCATCAATTTATTCGTCTTCGCCAATCTGTGGAGAGTCAGTATCGTGAGGGCATCAAGCAAAACGCCTGTACGGGGGCATTGGGAGGTTACTTACCTTTGGAGCAAGATAAAACCGTACATATCCAGATCCATCAAGGGTATACTCAACGAGCAACGGGACCTCGGCAGAGAGAGACAGTCGCACTTTCGATGAAAGACTGGTGGCCTTGCAGAAGTTTAGGAGGTATTTAATAGAGAATGTAAGTGCAACAGACTCAGTAAGGGTGATGGAGACGTTCTGCTCGGGCTTGTCGACATTGGTGTTCTGTCGAATTGTTACGGCACCGTTGCCAATTTCTCCCTGGCAAGAAAATCGAACGCCATCTTTGCTTGCCTCGATTAACACTGTAATATCGAATTAGCATAACCTGGTGTATTGTTTCTTCCACATTCAATATCGCATACCTGACTCAGACAGCTGGTTCAAGTCTCCGCAAATCCGCCTAAATTCAGCCGACGGCATCTCAACCGTAGCCGAATAGTCTGTCTCTGGGATAGCCAGGTGTTCCTGGTCAATGTCCATGAGTTTGATATCATATTCGCTCACACGGTCCTTCTCCACACTCTCGAACAAAAGGTTGACGACATCAGGCGTATCATCGGCCTTGAGCGTGAGGACGTCTCCGTCCTGGGCGGCTCGTAGAACCTTCGTAAGGGAAACCAAGTTGATTCCCAGAGCGACGTTTCGGTCACATCGGAAAGGCGAGAAGCCTTCTGCTTTCAGCATCATGGAGACGAGCGCAACGTGAGAGTTGTCCATGGCCTGCAGGGCAATTCCAGAATCATTGCAGTCGAAGTTGCAGTCGTGCACAAGATCCTTTACTGCATCGACTACCTATTGATTCATATCCACGAAGGTTAGATATTGGGCATGGTCCGCCAAATTCACGATGCAGTTCAACCGTACCTTCTTCAGCATAGAAGCTTGTTCCATTCGTGCCTCCAACACTGTTTACATAGTTAATCGGTTAGGTCTCCTGCTTTATATCATCGATCAGGTCTGGGTAACGCACTCTTGACGGATTTATATCGGTGGACTGCTGGGAAAGAGTGTGCGGTCTACGGTGGGGTAGAAGTCGAAGCTGTAAACAGACCAGAAACAAGAGAGAAAGGTCGAATGTTGAACTGTAATAAGCTGCTTAAGCAAATATTTGAACGCTGATAATTGTTAAAAATCTAGTGTGAGTCTGATGATGGTAATTTGAATCTCAAGAAACTCGCTGGGCTTATTTTCGGTGTGCGATAAATCGCGCGTCGCGCGCCACGAAACCAATTTAGCTTAGGTTTTCGCGTTTATATAACTAACGCTTGCAGAACAAAAATGATGCTGTAACTACGAGTAAACACGTTCGTCAATCCATTAATTCATTTCTTAAGAAGGTCTATAATACGGGTGAATATATTACATTCTAGGGAAACACGTATGGCAAAGAAATGCATCACGTCTATAGGTGATGCTAGGAAATACAAAAAAGGAAAAAGTTGGCCGTCAACGCCGTGATGTATAGCAGATTTGTTGGATATAAAAATGAAAAAAAATGAAAAGGAATGTCAGGTATTAAAGGCTGGAGACTCTTGCACCAGCTTTATGTGGGCGAAGCTTGATCACGGTTTCAAGCTCCTTTAGCATATGGGTATTAGCCTCTGTTCTCTCTCGAGCAACGGCCTGGCGAGCCCGATCTTCCTTCATGCGCGCGATCCTTTCCACACGAGTCATTGAGCTTCGGGTTCTGGGCATGGCAATGGCTTCGAACACTTCTTCATCATCCATATTGCTGTCTGGGTTGGTGGATTTCTCCATCTCTCCGTTCAAGGCACGCAGGGCATCAGCGGGACCTCCGTCTACCGCTGTGCTGCCCCCGATGCTAAAGGTTGGCGATGATGGCGATTTGATCATGCTTGATGTGCGTCGGGAAGAGGAAGAATAACGATCGGAGGTTTCCATATTCGCTCGCATAGAAGACTTACCTGCCTCCCATTCTTGGAGTATTCCGCGTAATTCTGCGCCGATAGCTTCGTATTGAGCAAGGAGAGTTGAGCTTAGGTCCACGTCTTCGCCAGGCCTGTCTAAACAGGCATCTGACTCTTCGCGAATAAGCTGCATCCTTGCATGAAGTCCGCGTATTCCTTGAGATAACGAGTTTAGTCGTCGAAGCTGTGCCCGATATCGGTCCTTGTTGGGATTCGGGTTAAGGTTCGCCATGGGAGACGGTGCAATGATGTCACCTATAAACGCGTGTTAGATCTTATCCCAGCAGTGTAAGAAAAACGACATGGAAGAGAATCCCTTACGGTCTTGCTCATTGAGTATATCCCTGAGTTTCTCGATCCATTCGGCACTGGCATCAGCCAGGCTGTGCATTTCCTCGCTTGCCGCACTCCATCTTGCGATGTCTGCCTCCCCTCCGTCTGCAGGAAGAGCAAGGAGACAGCATAGAGCGCTTTTCCGAACAATGTAAAGCCGAGCAAACATGGACCGGAGGGATCTAAGGGACGTCTTATCGTCAACTGACTGGTCGATCACCGTCGATTCAGCAGCCTGGAGTTCCACCTGGGAAATCTCATAAATATCGTAATATTTTTCTAAACTCGTGTCATCCACGAGTGGCCGTAACCTTCGTTTCACATAGAGATACTTTTCCAGCATCTCCTCCAAGCATTTGGCTAAGATACGGCGAAGTTTCAAACATCGCCTGGTCTGTGACTGTTCCTCTAAACGGCTCACTGGTGGAAGTGGTGAGCTCCTATTCGGCTAATCAGTAAGGTATAGACAGGAGACAAACATGGCAGGTGGAAAGGGTCCCTACACTCTATATCCGCGTGAAACAAGCTCTACCTCCTGTATGAGCACGACGGATGCCGAAGCCGCAGAATCTAGGGTCTGAGCATTGCCAACGCAAGCAGTGGCAGTTTCTATCGCCTGGCAGCGCAGATATCTCAACCATTGGCGTTTCGCAAAGATGTAGAATGCAGCCACTATAGTAGTGAGAAGGAAACCAAAAAGGATGACAGTTCGAACGCTCCAGCCCGTCCTATGTATCGATCGAGCCCAGTGCAAAAGCAGGACGACGGAGAAGGAAGCCAGAGCCGTAAATATCGCACCTCGGACACCAAAGACTGCCGCTCGCGAGGTTGCCCTGTCTTCATCGCTCTGGGGAGGGTGGCTTAACAGGTTCGACACGGACGTATATGAGGGTGCGCTGGGCTCGCTGAGAAGCTGAGAGGCGATTATAGTATAGCCAAACTGTTCTCTGAATCGCTCGTTATCGGTTTTGCCTATTCTTGCGCTGATTGCTGCCTTAACGACGCCCTGTTAACAATACGTAATGCCACCAACGACCCGCAACACTCATTGATAATGATAATGATGATTCTAACTAACAGCGCAGGTGTCATGGATCCTAGCTAGAGCCTCTGGTCTATTCGGCCGCTTCAGTTTCAAAGGTTCTGGGATCTTGTTTCTGATGCGGTCCTGGAATTTCGGGGGCCCTTGGGGTGCAAAGTCAACGGTCGTGGAGTCGGAACATTCAGTCTGGGGCCAGTCGACCTCCTGCGGCATCCATTCCTGCTCAGCTTCGCCTTGACCTGAAGCCGGAAGAGCGTCATCACGTATCAGCAACCCGTTATCTTTTTTATCACAGCGGTGGTATCCTGTGTTGGCGGGGGGGAGGGGGATAACGTGTGTATGTATGTACCTTCAAGGTAAGCAGCCAGCGGCGAATCTTCATAGACGCAGGCCTCCATGGTACCGCCACATCTTCCTCCCAAGAGGTCCCTTCTTTTTTGATGGCCTTCGTTACTATTGGGATATATCAGATTTTAAGACATGTCGCTATTGAAACTCGAGAAGCCAAAGACGTAGTTGGAATTCGCCACAAGCTCGTAATCGCGCGAATATTTCTCAAAATCTTTTATATTTTTATACGGAGTTGTGTTCATCCCCAACGAGGCGAAGGAAGCCCCTATTATATTCACTTACCTCCAAGAAAAGCCTCCGACGCTAACTCCGGAGTTACACTCTTATAAGATGGGCTCTATAGCCTGATGTTTACCAACCAGTCCAAAGACGAGGCGAAAGAGCCCAAAGTTCGCCATCTCCTCAGGCACAAGAAAGAAACATGAATATTCATTCTATTTCTATGCATAGATTTTAACACGTGGAAGAAGGAAATATTAACAAGGTTCGCCTCCGAAAATAGATCTTGAATTATTTTTACTTAGCTTCGATCTTGGGATTTGATTCGAGGGAGTTTTGTTTTCTTCTGTTCGTTTCCCTTGGAAAACACCCTGCTCTACCATGCGAGTACGGGGTATGTACATAGTATGCACATACCAGGTAGTTTTGATGTGTACCGTGGCATTATGGTCGAGTCTGGAGTGGAGGACATATATTTATCCATCGACAAGCCGGAAACAAACATCATTACTGAGTGAGCTATTGGGATGTGAGGCTTGTAGGCTCTAGGTACTGCAATGCTAAAGAATATAGCAACCGTAGGGGATGTCGTTGATAAGGAAACTAATATCCCTAATGTTTATATACAAAGCGTGCTGCGCCAGGGCAGACGTTCCTCACGTGATATGCCATGACATCCATGGATAACTCACGGTAACCTCTTTTCTATGTAGTTCCTCTAATTCTATAATAATCCTTACTGAGCCTGCACCATAGGCGGTCTATAACAACGAGCGATCGGCGTTTTATGGCGAACTATCAAAATCAAGGGATACGACCATAGTATGGATGATGAACTGGAGGCCTCTCCTGCGGACTATATCTGTGACAGCCTGTATCCAGGCGATCTCCCGTGCATACTCTGGCCGGTGCGCTAGATTTCCAACCAATATTCCCAATGGTATAGAAACGGTGACTGTACCGGCCATCCTCATGGATTCTTGTAAGCAGTACTCTACCGACTGGCAGATGCTATGTACTATGGGAAGATAATCCTTGCGGTGGCCTAGCTGGGGCAGAGAGGCAGAGGAGGGCTGTCCAGTACTTGAGGATACGCGAACCAGGTCGGGCTGAATACCCTCAATAAGGCTGTAAAGATCGCAGAGCCCAACCCATAACATCATTCGTGTGGCCCAGAACATAATCATCGTCCAGGCTGACATTAGATCAGTGAACCAATATGCCATCGGGAATACGAGGCCGCCCTTGGTAGGTACCTTCAGTTTAGACGGCACAGGCCAATATGAAGGATTGGGTCCTGTCGACTGTATTTTTGCATAAACGCCATCAAGCATCCGCTCGATTTCCCAGCACTCATGCACCAGATGCTGGGCAAGTTCTACCCTTTTATCAGGCGCGAGGAACTTGAATTGAGAGCGTTTCTGAATAATTGCTGGATAACGGGCTAGACAGTCTTGCACACGGTCCATTAGCGACTTTGGGGTTATTGCCCATGGCCCTTCCATCCATTCAGGCTCAGACAAGAAGTTCGGTGTCCCCTCACGAATAGCCTGCATGATCTATGGGTCGTGTTAGCGCCGATGCTCAGGAACCGATATAGGGCCGTAATACGTACTCCAGCTGGCCGCATAGCCAGAAACAAAGCATATCCTGATCCAGAAGTGTGTGCTGCCACCCCACGAGCTCTTACCAGCTCCATCATCCCCTTACAGTGGCTTTCAACGGCAGATTTGCCATTGCTCGGACACTCAATTACCTCAAACATGCTAAGCGCCATACAAGAAAAGAGAGTCTCGTCTTCAAGCATCTTATTCTTATCCCACAAGGCTTTCTGTAGCTGGTTAAGTGAACGAGTGTAGAACTTGAGCCCTTCTCTCGACAATTGCGGTTTACCATGCATACGTCCCAGTGAGGCTGCAGCCAGCGCTACACTCGCTGATTCTAGAACTCGGGACTTCATCGGTATCTCTGTGAGGAAATATGTCCATGGCTTCCCGTCAGAGGTATAAGCGAAGTGCTGCTCGTCCAGCGGGAAGCAGTCAGAGATGAACGCATTTATCAACCCGATACAGTCGCTGTTCCTCATAATCATCCTATTGGCATTGCTGTTTTCTGTGAAGGGGTAAAGCGGGTTTTTCTTATAGGCTGTAATCTCGAGGCTATCTCTGCTATCGATCGATGCTGTTGAAGTATTCTCCTCTCCTGATTTACAACCCTTAACGTCACTGCGCTTCTTTTTTGAGCCTGGAGAGACAAAGACAAATACATTTTTATCGGGGTAGCCGGTGCATTCTCGGGTTGACTGCATACACTGAGTACATGCCGGGCGCTGGAGTCCACACTTGTACAACATCAGCAAGGTGTGGCAGTTAATTGTAAAATGCCATTTACTCACTCCGATCTTGCGTTTTCTGCAAGGTAAACATCCCTTGGATCTTCCAGGCACACCAACCATGGTGTCTCGTAGATGACAGTTGATATCAGATTGGAAGTACTTCGTGCTTTCGTGTATTAGAATCGAGCATCAGCTATTACCGCCAGGTAATGATAAATTGGCCGCAAGGAACCCGTTAAGAAAGCGAAGGGAGCCTCATAATCGTCTAGGTAGTAATTTAAATTCAAATTTCGTAGCTTCATACTAGCCTTGGAAAGAGATTAAAATATCTTGTGCATTTCAAGCGGTTTTCCAGGCCGCTACTTGTCCAAGGGTCCAGAGTAGACCCCTAGCCTTAACCCAAATACTATACGGACCCTGCAGGGCGCTGGAGATTCCTGACTTCAATCTAGCCAATCATAATCGCCATACTTGATCTCCATACATACATATAGTACATAGCAGTATGTAGGTGGAATTCCTCAAGGCAGCTGCATACGCATCCTACAACCCTGACCGCGCGTCGGGCGTATGAACGAATGAGATTCACAATCTGATCATGGCCAGAGCAGTTTGGCCAAATGCACCTCGCAATTCCAAGTCCAGCTGAGCTTTCAGCAACTGGACTGCAACTCTGTGCGACCCATTCGACTCTGTTAAACGCAAAGCCGTGGACCCGTCAGTACTCTGTACTATGTATGTTCACAACGAGCCTTCGGTCACACCATCGAATCGGTCGTAGGAGGCTGGCTGTCGGGTGCAGGACGGTTTGATAGGAGGTGTTTACTCCGTGGATGGGAAAGGTTTGCTCCATGGATATAAGTAGATGCGTTATTTGAAACGGCCTTGGATCGAATTCAGAAACCTCATCATATATAGAATGGTCGTTCACACAGAAAATAGTGTCCCGTTATTAGAAGCGGTGTCGTGGACACTCACTGGCTCCCATTTCGATACGAGCGGATGTTTTCATAGTGCCTAGATTTCTTCGACTGATTGCATATATCAGCGGGGTGAGCACTTCATCATCTATTAGGATCCATGCCATGATGGCAAGAGGACATCTTCGTAAAGTATCACCAATCCCAGCAGTGGCAGCAAGATGCAATAAATTTAACACCAGCCACTGCAGACAAGCCCAGGTGGAGATATGAGCCCAGCGCTCCTAGAATCACATAATCGTCCTCTTAAGATGCACCCTTCTAGGATAGTTCAGTCGCTTAATGTCGGATTGAAACCAACATCTTTCTCCAGGATTTTGAAAAGGTCTCTTTTCTTCATATCCGCCACATACGAAAGGGCGATTATGCGTGCTCTTGGAAGAAGGATAGTTGCAAGCTTTCGTGAAATGAGAGCAAGGAAACTGTTGTTTGTCTGGATATCGAATTTCTGCTTCTCTTTGACTTCTTGACTCCAGAAAAACCGCTGTCAAGATCTCACCGTCGGGTTTATTGGATTTATCGGGACTGTAGACATGGAGGATGGATGGATCTACTGCTAGGCAGTTCACTCATTATTTATTCAAGAGCATCAGATGAATGGACAAATAAGTTACCATAAATAAAAGCTAACTCTTCCCTTTCGGTTAAGTTGTGGATTCTTAGAATTGATCTATTTCGACCCCTCTTCACCAACAACGGCATCAATAAACATCATAGTATTGTAATATAAGGGTAAGCTATGCCTCGAAGGCAAGTAAGAATACCAGTGAGTGGAAGGAATTGAAAGCAATAGAAGACTGGACAGTGATCCACGCAGAAAGAAGCGGTATATATGTGTATATATACTGGTGGATGCCGGGAGTCGAATGGTAAGGGTGCGCGCTCACCCGCTCTAATGAACATTATACATTAAATAAATATTTCACACTCTGTGTTCATAAAAAGACCATATGGTAGTGGCCCAGCACCCATGTAAACGTCCATCCCAAATCAATATTATACATAATCAAACATTGTTACTTTTGCTTTGGTATCATGAGTCCGGCGGCTTGTCTTCGAGAGAAGTTTTCGTCCGTAAGGGCATTGAGCAGCCAGGCGAGGAGGCTTGAAAGAAGCCCGCCTCTAGAAAATACCGATGGCAGGACAATTAAATGCTTCAAGGTAAATCCTGTTTCTTGCGTTAGTCAAGACAGTTATCTATGGAAGAGGAGAATGGTCACGTACCACACCGTTTGCTTTAGTTTTGTTTAAAGGAATTGCCGGAGTCCGCATTGAAAGTCATCTCATAAAATAGAGCTTAGCCACCCGAGGCCAATGGCTTTAGCGTTATATTTCCACCACAGGCCTCAGATGCGAGCTCATAACCCCCCATCGACTTACTGCTGTCGTTCAGCAGGAGGATTAAAGGGCACGGAAGAAACTTCGGGTCCATGTTATATCTAATGATGTTACATAGCCCTAATTAATTCCACTAGAGGGACCATAACGGGCCCCAGTTTCTCAGGCTGATCTCTAGAAGAGGTATAAGGATTGAGCAAAGGTAATCAGCATCGGCATCCGAGTCGTAAACGATGCTGTCTTTATAAGCATAGAGTTTTCTATTTCTAATCTATTGAGAGACAGTGGTTAGAGTAAATAATGCCCATTTTGGTATTGATGGATGGGTACCTTGACTTTGCTGTGCTGAGAGCAACAAAGGATAGACGTGCTTCCGCTCCATTCCGGTCATCGTCTGGCCGGTGTTGGGATCATGCCAAAGATATCTTTAAGCCCATGCATCTAAGCTAGTCGTAGTATATTGTGACTAGTCACCAAATATGAACCGTCCAGTATGAATAGCCCATAGATACTAGTAGCGGCTCTTCGATGGGTAGTGAATTTCGTGGCGGACTAGAACTCCTCACCGACAAACCATTTTTCGGGTACGAAAATCGCTGCTTGGGCTTCGAATCTGTCCGAATGGCATCTTGCACATCTCGACCTCGTTAATGAAAATGCAGGGTCGCTCGCAGTGGCAACAAACCCAGACAGACCGAGGGCTCATGACCTCGAGCCCTGGGGTTGTTTTAACAGGAGTTGGGACGTTTGGACAACGTTTTGCACAAAATAATTGCAAACGGTGGAGGGGTTGATGACTAAGCAAGCGGGTTTTTCGTTGCCCTTGGAGACGTGCAGAGTAAACAAGAATATACAAAACTCATCCTCCACCACCAGCTTTGAGCGGCGTTGATTCGACTCTAACTTAGATAGTTTGGACAAGAAGTGAATATAAACCCGAATATCGATATTTTCCTAAGCAAAGCTTCAAGACTGAGCCGTGATAAAACGCGTCGGTTCGAAGCTGATGATAAAGGAACTAGAAGAACCGGCCCTAGATTTCGAAATAGACGCGATGGAATACAAATACCTCGATGCTACTCCTTGTCCAGTTACATGGAATCGGAAAAATGACGGCAAGATCCCTATCTTCGAGGACATCCTCGATTCTTACGATGATACAACGGAGATGGATATCATGGCAGAACTAGGGTCATTGAACTCGCTTGCCAGGGAAAAGCCTCGTCGAGTAAAAAAGGCTACTGAATTTAAGATACATGAGGATGCTGGGGACTCGGGAAATGGCCATGGTGGACGAATGCCTTTGTCTAGGGAGTCTTCCATGTTCGCACAACCAGCACAACGGCTCCCACGGCCTGTAAGAACAACATTTAGAGGGAACTTACCACCAAAGCCTTCTGTTAAAAAGCAATTGGGCCAATCCAAAGAGAATTACCTCGAGGAAAACTCTACGTTGGTGAGATCTCCCCATGCCATGCAGAAACCGGTGAAAGAACGGAAACTGGAGAAAAAAGATACCCTGAAAATTGACAAAAGACGGAATACAATATATATCCCGCCAGATGATACCACAATGGCCACCATATTTATGGATGCATTCAGCCCTTTGACAACAAAAGATTTTGGTGTTCCGGAAATGGGATATATTGAAGCCCAAATCGTGAAGAAACGGAAACAGCGCAGGCTTAAGTCACCAACTCCTCAAGAGAAGCGCCAGCCACTAGAGAGCCCAAGTAGGGTTATACAGGAGTCGACACAAAAGCTTGACATTATGGGAATGAATACAGGAAAGGAAAACGTACCCCCAGGAAAATTGGTTCATAGCAATGTCGACATCGTGGAAAAGAAGAATGATTTGGTAGAAGCTCCAACCCAGCCGATGAAAGCTAAATCCGTGAATAGTCCTCGACCCAGGCTTTCGATGCCCCAGCAAAAATTTTCTTCATCAAAGGTGTCGACATCGAGAGCCCTACGCGGCCAAGGTTCTATACAACGCACAACTTCTACTGGCAACCAGAGCATCCGGGCTTCACCTATAGCAAAGCAGCGGGAAGAGACAATGAAAGAGAAAAACGAATCTCTACCTCTAAACACCTCATTGCTGAAGCCTGTCCCAAAGAAAAAGTTACCCTCAGAGCTACTCCTTTCGATTCCTTTAGCCACAAAGGTAAAGTACCCAGCCCTTGGTAATAATATTGCAGACCCTTTGATTCACGAGGAGAATTGGCTATCTCACCAAGAAATGGTCATTACACGGCTTGTGAACACCGTCCTTGGTGCAAATGGACCATCCAACACACAGAGCCAATATTCCCTAAGAGACCAGCTCTTCCACTTATACCAAGACACATACTTCACGTTTCTCTATAAGCGTGTACAAGCATCCATTCTTTATGGGGACTTGCGTGCCACTGAAGGGCCAGATGGTCGAAGTCGTCGGCTGACAACTGATGTGAGTATGCGCCGCGCATTCCAGAGATTCTGGACGGATACATATGATATTTCCGCTCTCCAGGCAGCGGCAGAGGTTGTTATTGGGAAGGGGACGGGCTGTTGCATTCACGACGGAGATCAATCGTCCGCTCCCCAAACATCCCCTTGCAAGGGAGAAAAAGGGGTCAGACGAGCCGTCGAGTCATATCTAGACGCCATGCTGATCAAGAATGAGGACATGAATCCAATTGCTTCCACCGAGACTAGTGATTGTGGTTGTGACGTGGTCAAGGGATACCACAGAACGGCCCTTCGAAGTATAATGATCATCGCCCTTTTGGACAGGGCAAGAATGGACCCTGATACAGCATTGCCGCGCCGTCTTTTCAAAGCAAGCTCGGCCTACACATCATCAGCAGCAGTGATGCGGGCTCTGGGGCCCTTACTTCACCATCCCCAAGCAGACTTTAACCGTCCTCTTTCGCGCCTGGACTGCTTTATGAAGTATAAGCAACACCCGCTAGCAGAATATAATTACCATATTGAGAATATCGCTGTGGATATCAGAGATGGTGTTATTCTCGCCAGGCTGACAGAGTTGCTTCTACTTGAGCAGTTCCCTAACAAGCTCCAAGCGAGTGAGGGAGAGATACGGGTAATGTCACATCAGCTGAAGATGCCGTGTATAAATCGGGCAACGAAAATCCATAATGCGCGCATTTCATTGTCCGCATTGGAAAAGGATTTACCCAGCATTGGTGCTTTTATTAGCGGGATAAAGCCGGAAGATATCGTGGATGGGTATAGAGAAAAGACCATCGCCCTGCTATGGGTTATTGTTAGCAAATGGGGACTTTCATGCCTAGTCGATTGGGACGATCTCAAGAACGAGATAACCAGATTAGAGAAAAAGGGTGGTAGACTTGACCGGAAGAGGAACAATCGTTCATTCCATGAGCGAGTCGACACGACAGATATGACGGCATACCATTCATCTCTACTCCACCATTGGGCATCATGTCTGGCAAGATTGAAGGGTTTAGAGGTTCCAAACTTGACCACAAGTCTTGCTGATGGACGGGTATTCACGAGTATCCTGGATGAATATGAATATTTCATTCGCCCTGCCAGTATCAAGGCTGGGAGGACGGCTTCACCAACACCACTATCAACCACAATAACGACTACGGCTGGCGATGAATCAGCCCTGAAAAGACGATTACTCTCACTCGGCTGCAGTAGCCCATTCGGTATGTTTTTCAGCGTCTTAGTTCCTTTTTTTACCCCTTTTCCATCCCCTATTTTATATCTTTTATATATTTAATTATATATATAGAGTTTATATGGAGTACTTACAATACATTGGCGGATAGTGGCACTTATATCTCCGCGGCCAACGTCGCCATCATCAACACAGTCGCCTTCGTTGTCTGGCAACGCCCTCAGTAAGGACTTTAATATCATAGCACTGGCATATCTGAGTTCCCGACTTCTCTCGGCATCTAAATACGGTCGGGCAGCGGTGTCGATCCAACGCGCATGGCGTCATACGCTTGCCACCAGGCCTGTCATTGACGGCAGCACTAAGGGGCTCGGGGCTTAACGTCCGCATCCGCTTTATAAAATCGAAGTATCGTGGGATGCGGGGGACTAGTGATGCTTAATTTAGAGAGAGTTGCCTGTTCATCTGATTGAACGGTTGGCTTGGGTGTGGTATTGGAGTACGGGAAGGTTTGGGGGGTTGATGTTTCGTTTTTCCTACTCATTTAAGATATGGGGACGGTATTTATATTTGTTCCACGGGCTGCTGGTGCACTTACCTACATTGTAGAATATGTATAAGAGTGCTACTTATATATGCGGTGTATGGATTAAATATACTCATTTATAGAGCTGAAGGGTTTTAATCTTAAGCACCCCTTCCTTTTGCATGTGTTTACGTGTCTGATGTAACTGGCCGAGTCGGGCGCTGTGAGAAGGGGAACTGCTTCTTCTTTCTTTTTTTTCCCTTTCGGCTCTCTTTGGTGTGTCTGTTTCTTTTTCTTTTTTCTTCGGACATGCGTCCGCGTCTTTGAGGATTCGGCATTTATCGACACTCCTTTGCCTGCCAATTGCCATGCCATCACAACACGGATTGTATGCCTTACGCAACCTCTCCTGGGCGAGAGTGATGGATGGAGGGTGATGCTCAGCAGCCAAGTGAGCACCTGGACGCATCTCAGCCTTGGCTCCATGTTGATCTGGTCGTGCAGCTATTCTGCATCGCCCAGTTGTTCCGCCCGGTTGTAAAGGGCAAAAGCTGAGAGCCGACACGTGACGGCGTGGACTTTTTTTTTTTTTTGACGATGGGCCCAGTAATCAGGACCAGGAGATAAAAATATGAAACTGGCGTCGTTGATCGGCGGAGTTGAGCTGCAGGAGGCCATGCGCATTGACGTTGGGAAAGTTGTTTTCTCTTGAGGGAGCGTGAGAAGGATGAGAGTCGATATTTTATTGATGGAGAGAAGCCGCCATCTTCACTCGAGTTGTCATCTTATACGAAGAGCTGGCCGGGGGAAATCCATCCGTACGGGCAAGGATAAGCCACAAGACGAGCCGCGTTTCGAAAAAGAAGAAACCACATCGGTTTTTCTTATTTGCCATGTCTCTTTGCTTCTTCTTCGTCTTGCTTCCCATCTTCGCTTCTGCGGTGTTCCCCCATCTCCCTGGTTTGGTTTGATAAGAGATGGCATTTTCGGATATAACTGCTGTACAGGCACTAGCGCATCTGCCACACCGACTAATGAGCGTGCTCCGGTTTGTCGAGTTGGTCTTCCCGTTTGTCTTTTAGTATAACGCGCCGTCCATATAAGGGCGTCGAAGGTAAACGACCCCGCACCGTCGCATCGCATCTGTAGGCAACTTCCCCCCGTAAAAGCAAGAATGGCCAGAGATAAAAGAAAAATAGCTGGATATGTTAATTAAAATCGCAGGCGTTCTCGTGGTTCCACATGGCAGCCCCATATCACAGTCGAACAAGCCGGGCCAAGGAACATCAAACCCTCGACAAGATGGGGAAGCCAAGCAACAGTTGAGTTGTTCCATCGAAGGGTAAGACGGGGCCAAGCGGCACATCAGATTGAAGACCAGACGGCCAAGCTGCAAGCAGCAGCATGATTCCTCTGTCCTGCCCTGGTGGTTTAACTTCGTAATCAACTGCTGGATGAGATATGCAGGCAAGAAATGCACTCCCATCCCATCGTCCGCGCCCCCCTGCCTCTCTGCCGATGGAGCAGGTTGTACTATATATGTACTATGTAGGGATCAAGCTTCCCAACCGGAAGGGCGCACATCAAGCCCCGGTAACCATGTCTGTCGGCCCAGGACGTTCCCTTCCCATCGTCATCGAGCCGTCCCCAGTTTTTTTCTAAGCGAACGAGAGGTCGAACGGGGAATTGCTCAGCACGCACACAGAGCGATCTTGACATGAAATACAGCGTGGTAACCAGGACTGCACGGCCTGATCAGCATCCATACATCTGCAGCGTCTGCACTCTGTTAGTCGCCTTCTATACCGAGCTGTCACTAGACACAAAAACATACTCAAGACATACTCAAGACATACTCGATATGTATGTAACAGATGAGCCATCACTTAATTAACGAGAGCTTCCCTTTAAATGATATCGAAATCCTCAGGTCGAAGTAACTCCGGCTCGCCCAAAACGGCAAGGCGTCCCGCTAACCTTTCTCGGGATCTTTTTTTCTTCCTCCGCGAACTTTTTTCTTTTTTTTTCTTTTCTCTTCGCTTTTTCTTCTTCGACTTCGCACTTCTTCTGCTCCAAAACAAAAAACATAGCAACATCATATCTACATCTCGACCAGCTGCGTCTCCTTATACTATCGATCTGCGTCGGCATCTCAAAAGAAAAAAAGAGGCTGTCGGCTTACCGTTCAACGTTGCTTCTTCTGTCGAGTCTACTTAAACCACCAACTGACCACGGTCCCTTACAGCCGAGAGCGAAGAGAAGAACCTCAACCGCCACGGAGCACCAGCCAGACACACAGAGAGAGACAAACCCTTGGAAAGCCCCGGGTTGACAGCAATCTAGGCCTCTGTATCACTAAGAGAGAGATACAAAACACCGAACAAGCGCCAGCTTCACTCACTGCCTCAGGTTTTTCGGGGGTGGCATCGCCCGCTTGGCGTGTCATCGACGTCTCTTTTGCGATTACTTCCCTACCCTCGTTCCCGGGCGTCTACTCCTTTCTACACCATGGTGGTTCGATTATGACACTACGTTTGTCCTGATGGACATTTGCGTCTCCCAGCCTGTTATTTAAACTGATCGATGCCGGTATAATTCTCATATCAGCCACCTTCACCGACTTTCTTCACACTTACCGAAGTATTCCTACGACTCTCCCATTATTTTCATATATACGTTGGCTTTTTGCTTTTGAATTCGCCCTTTGTTTTCCTTGAAGGAAAAGACAATAATAATAAGAAGAAGAAAAAAAAAAAAACATGCCTATCGTCTCACAGACGCCGAACATGGCGCCCACGGACGAGGACGAGGCCGCCGCAGAGTGTGATGAGCCTCCCGGATACCGAGTCAGAGGCACCACAGTTCGATCTCAGTCTCATGAACAAGCACCAACCTCCAACAATACCAAGACCAACAATTCGAAACTCAAACTCCCAAAGGAGTCCCTCCTCACTCGAGCGCTTCTCAGCAGCCCCGAGCTCTCTCCAGCCGACCGTTCTGCTTCCGGCATCACCTGGCGAAGCGTACCGGCATTCTCCATCAATCCCAGCCACAGTGGCCCCTCGACGGCTGAGCTCACCAGCGACGGCGAATTGACCACTCCACCTCGATCGACCACGCCCTCACCCCCTCCGCCCACACAGTTCACCCGTCCACCGTGGCTGACGACGGAGCCTGCTTCCAAACCTGTCTCCCCCGTTGACGAACACGAGTTGAAACTTGAAGCTAACCTGGGCCGTAAACGGCGCATCACCTTTGCCTGTGCCAACAAGATCGACCCTATCGAACATACGCAGAGTGACCCCGTTGCTGGCGACCCTCCCAAGCGGAAGTCGACCATCAAGTTCGCCTGCCCCGCCAGACCCCGAGATATCGACGTCGATGTCAAGGGCGAGCAACGTTTGCCACGCAAATCGCCTGCCAGCATCCGAGGAAGTCGATCCCCGGCACCAAGGAGTCTACAGTCGAGGTATCAGGCCAGATCACTCCAACTGTCCCGGGCCCCGGGATCTAGGCCCGCTGAGCCCGAAGTAACGACTGGTTCGTTAAAGGTTACCGGTCTGGGAAAATTTGAGTTGTCAGACGCTACACGATTCCAGGAATTTGGAAGCTCACTCGAAGACGAGGATTGGTTGAATGAGTCATCGGATTACAAACAGAAGATGACATTGGATGACTGCATGCGAAAGGAGAACGTTATTCGGAAGCTGGGCGAGGAAGTTGAGGCTGAAGCACGGGAGGAAGCAGAGCAGGCGGAGAATGACGGTGACGAGGAGAATGACGATGAAGACGAGGAGGAGAACAACGAGGATGAAGAAGACGAGGATGAAGACGAAGACGTGGACGATGAAGACGATGGAAACCAGGACTTGTCTGATGATGGAAATGAATCCGACAACGAAGCCGGATTTGCCTCTTCAGACGACGACGGGGAATCAGACTATGCCTTCTGGACTCCTACCACGACTGCGGCCACCTCACACTCGGACATCACCATGCCGCCACCCATGAAATGGAGGGATTCCCATGGCTCTGTCGAGTCCCTTGCCAGCCCAGGCCCACTGGTGGTTAGCCCGTTCGAACCAAAGCGTGCTGCCCCAATTAAGGAGAAGAAACAAAAGTCCACCGCTCCCAGTCTGCCAGACAGCACCGACTTTGTCTGTGGAACGCTGGACGAAGACCGCTCCATCGAGGTGGCCTACATCTCGCGAATGGAAGAGCGTCGTCGCCTGAAACACATCCCTATCCCCCAGGACATCGATCCCAGCTTCCCTACCTCCGATATTGAGGACGAAGATGACGAGGATGCCGATGACGACGTGGCTGCCAAGCCAACCACTTCCCGCAAGCAGCAGACCAACGATGTCGACACCGTCGAGCCACCGCGTGGACGACGTTCCAGTCGCACAGCTATCGACAAGGCTGCACCACACTCCCCTCGCAGGCTGTTTGGACATTCTCCACGTCGCCTTCGCTCCCCTCCGCCATCAGGCCGTCTTCGTTCCCCTCCTCCATCTCGCCGAACATCCCTCATCAACCCTCCAAACATGGGTGCAGGCCCCAGCTCAAGGACGATAACCATGGCCCTCGCTGAACGGCCAAACCGTACCCGCACCTCCTCTCTCCCTAGAACCCCCAACCCTTTCTTTGCCCGTGCATACACATCCCATAATACCTACAAACGCACCTCCCGCTCCCCTTCTCCCTGCCCCAAGTCATCTACGAAGAACAAATCCAGCCCAACTCACACCCGTGGCCCCATCGACATCGTCGCTGGCCTAGAGAAGAAGCGACAGAAGCGCAAAGAAAAGTTTTGGCGTCAACACTGTCGACGCGCTGCCAAGGACCAGATCAACAGCCGCGACAAGATGGTGCCCGGACGAGGCGCAGAGAGGATGAAAGAGCTGGGCATCGAAGTTGCGGAGAGGTTCAGGGCGTACGGCGTCGGTGTGGGCGGAAACGGACCCAAGCTCGTCCTTTCGATCTGAGCATTCTCTGTTTCTTTTCGACTCGACATGAACCAACGAACCATGAACGACCAACCAAAAGCTGAGAGTGTTTTTTCTTCTTCCTCTTTTTCGAAGGCAGGATTGATTTCTTCCTGACTCTTTTATATTTATTTCTCATTTGATACTCCACGCTGGATGACTTGATTATTTGCGCAGATCGCAGTGACTTACAGCTTTATGATATTCTCCTGACTGACTGCTCCCCAGCTAGCATCGTTGATCATCTTTTTTACTATTACTTTCTTCATGTCTATATTTTTATCTCTTTTAACTCTTATACTATTTTCATCTTCTTTTTCTCGTTCTCTATCTTTCTATCTCATCTTTCTATCTCATCTTCCTCTCTCATCTCCACCTCCCTATCTTCATTCCTTTCAATTGTATATACATACCCTTGTCTTTTAGCCCTTTTTCACTCTTTGTTACCGAGACTGGAGTTACGTCCTCCCAGCCGGGGTTGGTCTTCTGTTTAAATTGCATTTCACTAGACTAGGTGGGAGGGTCATTTCACTACTACTGCTACTGCCTACATCTTATGCCATGATAACGACTGAATGAAACAAATATCTTATATATCAAATCTCTCTTCGTCTTCCGTATGCACCAAAGGCTACTTCACGTGACCATGGCTAAGAACACATCGGCCGGACCAAAAAGAAACAACTTCGTCTTCTTTTTTTTGCCTTACAGCTTTTTGCGCTCCTTCAACTGGGCATCACAGCATATCCTATCGCATTCCAACACAACATATTCACTTTGGTGACACTTCACACTGCCACTGCTCGACCAGGCCCGTTGATCCAGCTATCTCTGCTCTAAAAGAGGGATACCACTTACTCCGGAAGCTCCCTCATCCTTCGTTCCGGACGCACAAAGGCATATATATACCACTTTTACGCCGACTGAGAGAGCTCTCCGCCGCCCAGCATGTGGATTATTAACTGGTGTATGTACTCCGTCCTTCATCTTTGAGCATTCCTACCGCTACATCTCTCTTCTTTCCCCCTGCTCTTCCACACAGAGCGTGACCAGGAGGCGCATCAAACGGGCAAAAAAAAGAGGGCCACCAACTTCTGAACACGTAGACTGATTAGACACTTCTTCACCTAGTCTACGATGTCCTCGCCTCTCTCGGGCTGCTTAACAAGCATGCCAAACTACTCTTCCTCGGTCTCGATAATGCCGGTAAAACTACTCTTCTGCACATGTTGAAGGTAAGCCTACGACACAGGATATGCATCTTCAACCTACGGCCCTAACAATAAGCCTACATAGAACGATCGAGTTGCTCTTATGCAACCTACCTCGCATCCAAGTACGTTTTAGAACCCCCCCCCCCCCCCCCCCCCCCCTCCCCCGGCGCGGCAAAGTAGACATTGCATCTAGGGCTGACAATGAAACAGCTTCCGAAGAGCTCGCCATCGGAAACAACAGATTCACCACCTTCGATTTGGGCGGCCACTTGCAAGCCCGTCGTCTGTGGAGAGACTACTTCCCTGAAGTCAACGGTATCGTCTTCCTGGTGGACTCCATGGACGTCGAACGTTTCCCCGAAGCCAAGGCCGAGCTCGACGCTCTGCTCAACATGGAAGATTTGGCCAAGGTTCCTTTCCTCGTCCTCGGAAATAAGATCGACCACCCTTCCGCTGTCTCTGAAGACCAGCTGAGATCCGCCCTGGGTCTTTATCAGACCACTGGCAAGGGTAAGGTGCCGTTGGAGGGAATCAGGCCTATCGAGCTGTTTATGTGCAGCGTCGTCATGAGACAGGGTAAGTTGGGTGATCAAGCTTGGACCAAGCACTTATCTCCTGGCCTGCCACAGCTAATGTTTTTTTGTCCCCTTAGGCTACGGCGAGGGTATCCGATGGATGTCACAATACGTCTAGATCAAATAACGTCCGGCCGTCTTATCTTAAATGGGAATGAAACGCCGATGCATGTATCTTTTTCCTTCTTCGACTCTACGCCAGCAACCTGAGCATGATAAATGGGCTTTTCATCCATCTCCCACTCTCTTACTCACATACTCTTCCACTACCCCATGTCTCTTAATTAATTCTCTATTACGAGTCCATCCAGCAAATCATAGCTTCGTTTGATGATTTCTCTCTTTCCCTGCTCCACTTCTACTTTCTTTTCCTGTTAAAAATAAACACGGCTTGGTTCTCTTATATATACAATATACTACAGTATGTGATTTGGGTAATACGCCAATCCACTTGAGATAAGCTACTCAAACCATGCAGGATATCTACCTCATTTGACGAGTGAAACGTATTATTATTCAGTTCATCAGTCAGTCGACGCATGTAAGATAGGAGAGAGCTACAACAGCACACGCGTAAACAGCATGAAATAAAATATAAGAATGAGGCACAAAATACAAAAAAAAAAAGTGTAACAACCACCCGGCTTTTCCTCCAACATGACAAAGGGTAAGGAAAGAGAGGAAAAGACGAGAGTAAATAGATATGTCGTTTAAAGAGGAAAAGGAAAGGACTGAAGAAGAAAAGAAATAGACTGCAAAAAAAAAAAAAAAGGGAAAAAGGGAGGAGGGAATGGAACGCAGAGAGCAGCAAGAAGAGAAGTAAATTATCCACGCTACTAGCTACTAATATACTGGAGCTGATACTACCGCTTCTTTTGCGACCTCGAGAAACAAAGATGTCATTGTTGCCACCCAGGGAACAGAGGTAGAAAAGAATTGGCAGCAGTCAGTTTAAGTAGTTTGGTTCACTGCAGCGCTTCATACAATCGTACACGGAAGATATATTGCAAAAAAAAAAGCGAATCGGCTCTGGCGCGGTCTGAGCTCGTCTCGTTCTAGCGCGGTCGGATGTAGGAGGAGGGTCGGTTATGGCGTATATTCTGACAATCAATGAGGACGCGGGATCAGGCCGGATGCTTGCATGGGCGTTTGGTTGGCTGCGTGTACATATACGGATAGGCAATGAATTGGTTTGCTGTATGTCGTGGTAGTGTGGGTGGTAGTGGTATGGTGGTGGTGGTGCGTATTATCTCCGCCCGAACCTGCTATATGAGGGAAAGCTCGTATGATTTCTCTTTACTTTTTCTTCTGCTTCCTTGGAGGAGTGATGGGTCTGCCAGGCGCCATGCCTCCGTAGACGTACTTTTGTTTCTTTTCGGCTGGTTTAAGGATCTATAGATGTGAAAAGAGTTAGCGGCGGTTGAAACATCAAAGTATGTAATTTCAAGGGCTGCAAGCATACCTGGAATGAACAGAGAAGGCTCTCGTCTACACTCATCATAGCTCCGGCATTATCAAATTCTCCGCAGTAGTTTGGTGCGCTGAAAAGCGTTACCAGCTGCCGCTTTGAGAAGAATTCGTAACCATCCTCGACTACTTGGTGCGCTCGACAAATAAGATCCATGTCATGTTTTTGCAAGAACCGCGAGACCACATCGGGGCCGAATGTGAAGGATACACCTCGATCGTTCTCGCTCCAGCCGGTAATGTCCTTGTCGGGATCGGACCAGAGGAGATCGCAGAGGAGACCGCAATCCGGAATCTAAATAGATCAGTAGTGTCAATGGTCGACAGTTCATACTGACGCTAAAAGAAAAATTCTTATATTTGCACCCAGAAAATGGGGATAGGGTGGGGGAGGGAGACAAAGGACAGGGATTAGAAGAATCCCTCTCAAAAGACAGCCAATGCATGCAGATCAGTTCAACCGCCACACAAAACAGGAAGCGCACTTACATCTGTTGGACGCATGACACGACGGATCTGTTCCATAGAGTTGAGATCGGGGCTGAGGCCACCGTGCATGGTGAAGATCTTTTCATCGATAATCGCAGCAATCGGAAGACAGTTGAAGCAATCTGTGAAGGTCTTCCACAGCTTGATGTTGTATCTTCTCTTGCACTCGTCGTAGAAGCCGTAGATACGGTTGATGGAGGCGCACTCGTGGTTACCGCGGAGGACGAAGAAGTTCTCTGGGTATTTGATCTTGTATGCAAGAAGTAGACAGATGGTTTCGAGAGACTGCTTGCCTCGGTCTACATAGTCGCCAAGGAACAGATAGTTGGCTTCGGGGGGGAAACCGCCGTACTCAAACAGGCGCAGGAGATCGTAGTATTGGCCGTGAATATCGCCACATATCTATGTTTGCGCCGATAGTCAGTTCAAAATGGCCCGAGCAACCGGTTCGTCCCTTTGCAAAGAGTTGGGAAGGGAAAAAGCGTACCTTGATCGGGGCTTCCAACTCCAAAAGTATAGGCTGCGAAATGAAGATCTCTCTGGCCTTGGTGCAAAGGTGACGAATCTCCGACTCGAGCAGTTGAACCTGCTTGCCTGGACGGCTGCCCCTCACCTCCAACAGTCTGTCAATGATCGAATCCAAATCGATCTCATTTTGGTCCGCCATGGTGTAAAGCGGTTACCAGGGCGTATGTATAGAGGGGGGGGGAGGAAAGAAACCAGGAACCTCCCAGGAGGACAGGAAATGACAACTCGCGTCTTCAGAAATAGTCTATAGGGAATAGAAGGGTAGAACGAGGCGCGTAAGCAGGAAGAAAGATGTGTGTCTGTTGCCTCTTTTTCTCACGATCCTAAAAGCATGATTAATAATGATTAGCACATCTGGTCGAAAAGAAAATAGAAAACATGAGCCATAGGAGCATGCGTTCACGCCATTAGCGTGACCCACGACCGGAAACGTATGGATAAGACAGATTTACAGACCTCGAGCCGTTCAGAAGCACAACGTAACAGAGCTGCCGCCAATATAGAGACGGAGATTAGAAGAGGGCGTTTAAAAAAAAAAATGGCTCTGATGGCCCGGCGTGGCAGATTCCTCGGAACCAGCGAAAAGACGCAAAGAGAAGCAGGTACGAGACAGTTAAGGGGAAAAAAAAGGTCCAGGAGTATTTCGTTTCCCTTGAATTCTGTTGTAGTTCACCGTTTGGCCCGCTCTTGATGTAGGCGGGGCAAGGGACTCGACACCGGCGCCTGATGCAGTTGAATTCAGTGGCAGAGGCACACACGCACGCACACACACACACGGGGACAACACCAAAGCAAAGCTGTGAGAACCCGCTATGAGCTGAGACGGGCAGAGAGAGGTCGCGGCAACGACGACGTAGGTCAGCGAGTATTCCTCGTCGCTTATCGAGAGTGTTATTCAGGGGGGACGTTGGGTGCTGGCAAGGCCTGGCTTTCCCCTCTAGTCCTTGTGGTTGTTGATGGTGAAAGGTGGAAAATTTTCGTTTCAGCAACGCGCAGTCGAGAAAAAAAAAAAAAAGGGTGGCGTGAACAGCAAGGTTTGTTAAGCGGGCAGAAGGTCTGGGATGTGAGCTGCGGCGTAAGTCTTTGTTGCTGACGGACTGATGCGAGCGCTGGTCGACGGACGTTGATGTTGATGCTCTTTTGGCGATGGAAGAAAGATGGAGGAAAAAAAGACGAGGAAAAAACGGGAGGTTGAAGGGAGGGAAAAAAAGGGCCGGTTTGGGGTTGGCGGCAAAGCTACTGCTAGGGGGGTTCAGCACAACAACAACAACAACATACACGATATTAATACGGTTATAGTGATATTAATACTGTTATTGTATCTACGACACTGTAATAGACGAGATAGGCGATCAAAACAGTATATTTTTTTTGGTACCTTAAACCATCCAGAAAAACCAGCCAGAAGAAACGAAACGATCAAAAAGAAAGCAAGGAATAAGAAAAAAAGTAACCACGCTATGCAAACGCCAGATCGGAAGGAAAAGGAAAAGAAGAAAGAAAACATGCCGCCCAAGTAATATACAATCGGTCTAAAAGGGGGATATCTGGGGATGGTTGGTTATACCTCCTCCGACATGCCCGACTGTAGGCAGCGCACAACTCGCAGCTCATTCATTAGTGCGGGAAGACAAGAATAAAGAGTCAAGGTCAAGGGCTAAAAGCAGGACGAGCAGATGGCAGAAGGGGAGAATATATGTCGAGATCAAAAAACGCAGTCTTGGTCTTGAAGGGAAGCGAAAAGAAGACAAAAAGCAACCAGAGAAACGCCATGGGAATATAGGAAGAAAAACCCATAAACATGCATCCGAGCAAGGGAAAAAAGCTCAAGTGGTATAAGATATAAACAGCAGCAGGAAGAAACGAACGCGGTATGTGGACGGAAAACAGCAGCAGAGAGCGATAAACAGCGCATCATTCAAGTACTCCGTAGAGAAGAGAGGATCAACTGGGCCGTGGCCCGTTCAACGACGCTCGACTGGCTTCGAGCGGGAAAAACACACAAAAAAACACCCACCGTGCTTTTCTTTTCATCACAATCTTCATCCTCTTGCTCTTTCAAAAGGAGAATTAAAAAAAAAAAAAAGAACAGAGCCTTTTCTATATCCGAAAAGATAAAAAAACCGTACATAGATCGGTATGAAATAGTCGTCCCCTGGTTGTGGATGTTTCGTCCCCTGGACAGGCATCTTGGGTCTGTCGTTGCATAAATATAGAGTTGTATGCCTCCCAATTTTGATTAAGATTAATACAAATATACTGTTGGGTTCGTAAATGTTGTATGTATTTTCTGTTTTTTTTTTTTCCCTGGTATGTTGGTGGATATGTGTATATAGTGATCATCCAAGTGCCCGACCACCAGTTGCGATGATCTGGCTGCTTGTTCGAGCGATCGGGGGTGGAGGCCGGATGGGGGCAGCCGTAGAATGGTAATCAGCTCCCTGAGAATGCAGGTTGATATTCTTTGCGTTGTTGGCCCAGTTATCGTCGCCAAGGACCGTTAGCCAGTTTGTGCCGACCTCGTGCTTCAGTGCCTCAAGACGTTGGCGGTAAATGTCACCGCTGACGTCCCAGTCGATGTTGTCGATGGCAGGGAGAAGAGTTCTGTTCTTTGGCGGGTCGACGTCGGTGGTGGCTGTAGTTGTCTTTGGAGACTCCATGGATGCCGTGTGTGCAGCTATTGTGGTAGCGGTAGTTGGAGACACCCACTGCTGTTGTTCACGCACAGGTTGTCTATCAGTATCTTTGGGCTTGGGCTTTGGCTGGTCAACGGATGAGTCAGGCACTGCAGGGCCGTCGGGGAACTCGTTCTCTGTCGCAACAGGTGTGGGTGTGTTGGCATCGTTGGTGAGGTCGATAACCCGCTTCTTATGGTGCTTCTTTCGTCGAGGTGATGCCACTTCCGCAGCCGAGACACGAGGCTTTACGACATGGGTCTCTGGAGCGGGCAGCTGTTGGTCAACAGCGGCGGTGCTGGCGTCGGCCTGTGGGCCAGCGGCCTCCTTTCGAATGACAGGCGCGGCTTCGGGCTCAGCGGCTCGTTCCACGAGTTGCTTCCTCTCGGAGTATGAAGGGCCAGTGTTATCGATGAAGATGTCCTCAGGGTATCCGGGAGTCTGGCGGAACAGGTTGAAGATGGTGACCCGATGTCCAGCATGCGATTTGGTAAATGGGTTCCCGGAGATCCAGATTTCACGAATATAAGGAATGGCAGTCAGGCGGGCAATCTCCACAGGGTCCGTGATGGCATTGTCTCTCAGATCGAGGCGTTCCAGCGAGAGCAGGCGTTCAACACCGGCAATCGAGCGGAGTCTGTTCCCACGAAGGTTCAGAGAGGTGATGGCAGGCAAGGGGCTTCTTGACAGAGAGTGTAGAGAATCTATCATACAGTGGGATAGATTTAGGGACCTCAGAGCCACCAGGGAGGCAAGGCTGTCGGGAACCTCGGTAAAGAGATTCCACGATAGTTCTAACGAGTGCAAGGTATTTGCTACTGGCGCGAGGCTAGCTACACTAACGCTGGTTAAGGAGTTATCTGTCAGGTTGAGATGTCTAAGGAAGCGCCATTTGAGAGAACTCAATTGGGTGTTTCCACCTGTCATCATATTAGAGATACCACGATCACGACAGGCGGTCGATGAAGACTCGCTAGATTCCGAACTACCAGAACCAGACCTCTTCATTTTCGAGGAGTGGCCTCGAGGGTGATGGTGAATATGATGATGACTATGACGGTGGCTGGATCCTGGCTTGTTGGAGCTCGTGGGCCGGCTGGGGGAGATGCTTTCGGCACGGCCATGCTTCCTCCTTACACCATCCGAGGAGTCACCCCTCAGCATGGCAGAGCTACCTTTGGGGCTGGCACTGGTACCAAACACAGTTTCTGCGACGGGGGATCCTGGAGCAGAGATGGACTTTCCGAGCTCTGGGGCGACGGCTGAGCTGCCGTTGGACGGCCATCCGAGCACGGGCGACGGCTGGGACTTAGAGGACCTCCGTCTGCGCTTGTCGATGTCATCTAGTACGATGCCAGTCAGCAAGTCACCAATATCCTCGAGATGGGCACGCTTAAGAGTCAGGGACCTCAGCTGCTCGGCCAGGCGGTCCCAGCCAAAGAAGGACCGAAAGTCTACATCGATGATCTCCAGGGCACTCAGGTTCTTAAAGGAATGCAAGGGTACAGCGGTATCAAACGGAAACTCCTCGTAGCCGCTGATCAGCCTGGCTCTGTGATCAGGAGCCAGCCTCAGGCAGGGGATCTTGGTGAAGGAGGAGTAGAGGTATTTAAGGTCAGCTTCCAGGGCCGCCTTGGCCTTGTCTGACTTTGAAACGGAATCCCTGGATCCAAGGCCAAAGGAGGACCAAAACGAGCTCATGGTAGACATGACGCTACGGACGCTCGATACGGAGTGTATCGAGTCTCTGTCTCCTCCTGCGCCCCCCGCGCCCCTCGGCCGCTGCGGTTTACTCAAAAACGACACATAGGCCGAAGA